CTAAGAATAAAGGTAGTTATGTAATCAAAGTTGGTCAGCCTTGGTACTAGCAAGATGTACCCAATAAAACTTATTATATCCATGATATTTGTCTATTATAACAGATTACGTAATCATCCAAACATAACTTAGTCTTAAAGTGTCATCATGAAGAATTTCCCTGTATCTTTTAAAAAAAAAGAGGATCTTGCATTTTTTTTTTTCTAGAAAGCACTTCTCCCATGAAAGTTTCGGTGCCGCAAATAAATGCAGTGCAACGTGATAAGCCACACATTTAAAAGAGGACACCAGAGTTCCTTGTAACCCCATATGGGAATGTGAAATATATAGCTAATATATTCAAACATATATGTGTACATATTTGTAATTATCATGCTTTATTATATGACATATATTTTTATATTTGTGAAATCCAAACATGAACTTGTATGCTTGATATGTGATTTGTATTTATTTATTTATTTGTTCAAATTGCTTAAGCAATAGGCTATTGAAAATGAAATAGTCCTGTCAGTATATCTTTGAAAATGTATTTGATACTAGCGGCCTCTAGTGGTAGCCTTACTCTGGAAAATAAAATACTGATACAAAACGGACACGACAATACCAAAGGCAAAGACCTATAGATGGACGAACCTACCGAACTTTCTAAGATCTGAATATTGCATGATTCCTCAGCCCACATTTGTACAAGTAAGCCAGCACATTTATAGTCTCAATAACTTTAATATTGTGCATTTATACAGCTTTATAACATGTTTAAGCGACGTTTACATAATTTCTTCTCTGCTAACTTCGTGGCCTAAAATATAACTGACTAAACTAAATTCGCTGCTACAACGTTACTAAAATAGCCTTCAAATAGGTTTTAAAAACAGCAACCCTACACGCTCTACGTTATAAATTAAAGTCTATCTTATTTTATCATTAAATCGCCAGTGCTATTAAGGTCTCGTTTACCTTTGCTCAGTCGTGTGAAACTAGTGCTGCTTACATCTCTGTGCTACTGCTATAGGGTGAACACTTGGAGAGTTTACATACAAAAGGCCTCTAACGTTAAACGTCGTCTGAAAATTTCTTCTAATATAAGCATGTTTATCCAGCTTTGTGAAGATTCATTTTTACTTTTATGGAAAAGTTATTTTTATTGTAAAATAATGAAATAATTATTCATAAAATAATAATAATTTAAATAGAAATAATTGAACAAATGGGAGTATGAGGAAACTTATTTTCAGACACCACAGGTTTCTGAAATCTTTACTTGTAGTAGGCCTATCTAAAAATTGTTGGCAGTGTTGCGAGATATAACTGAATTTTCCAGCCCAAAAGCTGTTCAAAACGCACAAAAAACGCTCAAAATATTAGATAAAATTTTTGTTTAATTTAAATTTATTTAAATTGAAATTAACCACTTTAACTGTCATAATTTTAACAAAACAGTAGCCAACACAAGCAGTCACAGAACCACAACCGGATCACTTCAAAACATTGCCCTCCTCTCACCCACATGGTTTAAAACCTCTGCTTTTCCAAACCGCGGTATACCTTGAAAACTGTTATCATCCCATGCGTATTAGCCACTGCTAACTGAATGGAGTAGGAGCACACAGTCATGTTTTGTTCTATAGTTGTTCAGTATAAAGTTTACGTTAGAAAACCACCCAAATGTTGTCAACCCTCCTATGCCATTTTTGACCGGCAATCAAATTCAATACTGATTGTTGGTAGGTTTTTTTTTATATATATAATGCTGTGATACACCAATTAAGTCTCATCTAATAATGTTTTCTAAATGTAAATGTACAGACCTTTAAAAGAAAACCTTTTATATATATAGGACATTCTACTAGAAATGTGCATTATCTGCCCCTGAAATGAAAACAGAAATACAGTAAATAAAAATTATTTCATCCCAAAAATTCCTAAAGTGGACTGATGGTTGATTTCTGTGAGTTGTTCTGTTAAGGAATATGTAACTCATTTGGTTCTCAGATTTTGTGTTCTTTATTAAAAACACTTTACAAGTTTACAAACCCTCATTGTTCTTGTCCTCAGCCCAATTGAACCGACAGCTTTAATAGTTTTGTTTTGGTAAAAACTGTAATTAATTTAAAACATATACTTCAGAAATAGCAAAGTTTAAGTTGTTATCATTCACCAATTGACTTAAAAAACATGAAATTATAAATGAATTCTACTAATAAATACTACAGATATATAATACAAATAAATTTACAATTGCCCCCGTGTTTTGGTCATTCCTGTCATATTTGCATTAAATTTAACATAAAATGTGTGCAATACACCTTGAAGGCTATGACTTGGAAGTGACATCATTTGACGGAGGAGAAGCTGAGGGTGATCAAGGAATGCGTTCTGTCATCGAATATATGAATTTATGCTTGTTTTTGTATGATTTTTTTAAGACAACTAGCTTAAGTCAGGTCCTTTCACATTTTATAAGTGAAAAATTTTCGTTTCTGGTAGAATGTCCCATATAATTGAATCTCATATCTGTTATTTATAAAGTAATTTTTCCTTAAGAGTAGCATTGTAAATAATTATTCCCTTCTCAGTCATTTCTACAACATTTTCATTTATTCATTCATTTATTCATTTTCTTTTCAGCTTAGTCTCTTTATTAATCAGGGGTTGCCACAGCAGATTAAACCGCCAACTTATCCAGCATATGTTTGACACAGCAGATGCCCTTCCAGCTGCAACCCATCACTGGGAAACCCCCATACAATCCTATTCACACACATACACTACGGACAATTTAGCTTACCCAATTCACCTATACCACATGTCTTTGGACTGTGGGGAAAACCGGAGCACCCGGAGGAAACCCACACAAACACGGGGAGAACATGCAAACTCCACACAGAAATGCCAACTGACCCATCCGAGGCTCGAACCAGCAAAAAATGTTTTATAAAACAATTTAATTGTTAAGCAATTAAATTTAAATATGAAGTTGCTGCATGAGAGTCGATCGAGCTAAGTATGTTTTGGTATGCACTTGCTTTTCTCCCTGATTGGTAAAATTTGCTGTACAGCATTATGGGTAATGTTTTTTTTTTTATTTGTCTTTTTAACTGACTTAGGTGTGGGCGATGCGATGGCGCAGTGGGCAGCAATGTCACTTCATACCAAGAAGGTCGCTGGTTCCAGCCTTGGCTAGGTCAGTTGGCATTTTTGTGTGGAGTTTGCATGCTCTCCCAGTGTTTGCGTGGGTTTCCTCCGGTTGCTCCGGTTTCCCCCACAAGTCCAAAGACTTGTGGTATAGGTGATTTGGGGATGCTAAAATTGACTGTTGTGAATGAGTGTGTATGGATGTTTCTCAGTGATGGGTTGCAGCTGAAAGGGTATCCGCTGCGTAACAATATATGCTGGATAAGTTGGCGGTTTATTCCACTCTAACGACCCCAGATGAATAAAGGAACTAAGCCAAAAAGAAAATGAATGAATGAATTACTTAGGCGCAGTGGATAGCACGATTGCCTCACAGCAAAAAGGTAGCTGGTTCGAGCCTCAGCTGGGTCAGTTGGCATTTCTGTGTGGAGTTTGCATGTTCTTCCCATGTTGGCGTGGGTTTCCTCCACAAGTCCAAAGACATGCGCTATAGGTGAATTGGGTCAGCTATATTGTCCGTAGTAAATGAGAGTTTATGTGTGTTTCCCAGTGATGGGTTGCGGCTGGAAGGGCATCCGCTGCCTAAAACATGTGCTGGATAAGATTGCGGTTCACTCCGCTGTGGCGAGCCCGGATTAATAAAGGGACTAAGCCGAAAATAAAATAAATGAATTAATTTAACTGACTTAAAAAAAGAAAACAAAAGTGGATTTAATGCAAAAATAAATGGGTTCAACTAAATTAAACAACCCCAGAATCACAACAGGTCTGTGTTTAAAGGTTTATTAATTATTATTAAAAATCAATCCATATGGAGAAAAAATATATGTTTATTGCTTCAACCTGACCTCTGCACTCTTATTCTAATATCTGCCTGCTGGCTTATTTACGATGATTATGACAGTTGTTATTGTGGTATAAATCCTAACCTCCATCCTACTTCGCATTAAAGATCACCCCAAAACCAAAATTTACTCACTATTTATTTTTATGAGTTTCTTTCTTTTGTTCAAATCTTCAATAAAAAAGATATTTTGAAGAAAGACAAAAACCTGTAACTTCATGGCCAGGAAAAGCAAATTCAATGCTAGTGAATGGTTACAGGTTTCCAGCTTTCTTCAAAATATCTTCTTTTGTGTTCAACAGTAGAAAAAAACTCAAATAGGTTTCGAACCATTCATTCATTCATTCATTCATTTTCAACTTAGTCCTTTTATTAATCTGGGGTCGCCACAGCGGAATGAACCGCCAACTTATCTAGCACATGTTTTATGGACATGTGGGGGAAACCGGTGCACCTGGAGGAAACCCACACCAATGCCAAATGCCAACTGGCCCAGCTGGGGCTCGACCCAGCGACCTTCTTGCTGTAAGGCTAATTAAATGATGACAATTTTTGGATGAACTATCCCTTTAATTTTTACAAACACTAGGGGGAGCAACTCAACAAGGTTTCAGAGCATCCACCATATCCACTATAAATCTTCTCTAGTCTCTCCACTTTTATTCAGTTAAATCTAAATTCACATTCATTCAAATCTATTGCTTACCTCCAACGTGCGTCTTATCCTTCCGTTATCTGCATTTTTATAATCAGCATCTCCCCTTTCCTTTATTCCCATTTCAGATGACATCTCTCCCCCTTTCCCGTCAGTCTCCTCGCAGCACATCTCCAGTGAATATCTGTGGCTCCTCTGCAACACAGATGCACTAGCCTCCATCTCTCTTGATTTCCCCATCTACTCTTCTCTCCAGGCTCATTCCTCTTGTCACCTGCAGTGGGAGGGGCTCTGCAGGATGGCTGAACACTGATTGGCTGAGCAAGGAGGAGGCTTCGGTGACATCGTGATGCTGTGCAGATGCTCAGCAGCAGTGGTAGTCGAGAAAGACAGGCTAGCGGTATCCTCTCTCTCTCTCTCCCTCTCTTTCTCTCCCTCCCCCTCTTTTTCATCTTTCCTTTCCCTTCACGCACAGGCACGCACGCATACACACACGCGCACTCCGTCACACTGCAGCAGAAGGGAGAGGACGCACCGTGAAGCTGTGAGGTAGGACCAGGCCTCTCCTCTTCCTCCTCCATCATCCCTCTCTCTCTCATCTGCTCTCCGTCAAGGACTACCGCACCCAGGAAGCGCCTGGAAAAGGACTAACCGCAGAACGACGGATCTACAGATTCACACACACACCTACATCCTCATTTTTTTCTTTTTCCTCTCTCTGCGTTTCTTGTTGCCAGGCAGTGTTGGCTGAGCGTCAGGACGTGAGCATGTGTGCATGTGACGGGCTGCGTTTCTCCAGCTGACTGAACGTGGGTTTTTTAATCGCATCCATACTCTTCGCATCACTTGCCGCTTCATTCTGACAAAGGCGGACTGTATCCCAGGATGCCGTGCGGCAGGCCACTCTGCTAGGCCGCAGAAGCATGGGCAAAGCACCGGGGGGGTGGGACAGCACGGATTGGACGGCTCAGCTCCGGACGGGCGCGCTTACGCACTCCGCCGCTTCCGATGGGTGAGGACGGCGAGAGCACCAAAATCAATCACAGCTTCCTCCGAGACTATGTCACTGAAGGTATGTGTGCACACACACACACCTGCACGAGCACTCGCTCCTCCCTTCTCATAATACACACGCGAAATTTGATCCTGTCCTTCTCTCTGAAGTCCCGAATATAACCTTGATTTCGGCAGCTGTGCGGTGTGGTCGTCTCATTCAGCTGACTCATCAGATTTTGAGCTCCCGCCACACACCTGTTATTGGGTTACAGCATGCATCAGTGAGACAGTCTTCACTCAACTATCTGGTGCTTTAGGTTGGCTATACAGTTGAAGTCAGAATTATTAGCCCCCCTGTATATTTTATTCCCCAATTTCTGTTTAATGGAGAGAAGATTTTTTTTAAACACATTTAAAAACATAATAGTTTTAATAACTCATTTCTAATAATTGATTTCTTTTATCTTTGCTGTGATGACAGTAAAGAATATTTGACTAGATATTTTTCAAGACACTTCTATACAGCTTAAAGTGACATACTTTACCTAGGCTTACCTAGGTTAATTATGCTAACTAGGCAGAGGTGCGTTTCCCAAACAATGACATACCTCACGGCTAAACTATCATAGTACAATGCATCGTTTTGGAACAGAACGGTGTAGTGACGAGTGTTTCCCCAAACCGTAGTTTCTCTGTCGCAGATCCATCATTTTAACCAAGTTAGTTATAACGTAAAACGCCCATAATAATGTTCTAAACGGGGTGGGAACTACTTCTATAGAGAAGAACCCCATCATTTCTTGTGCAAATTATATAGTTTTACACGCACAAGCATTTAAAAAAAAATCCAGTATTAGTTTTAGTAAAAACATGGACTCACTTTCCATATTAAATAAAATATATGTAAATGACACATACAGGGCCTTTGTTTCCTTTACAAATATTATTGAGAATATTAAATATTTTATTCTAAAACATAAAAGCACTTACAATAATAACACAAATAAAACACATACTCTAATATCATATATAAATCATATAAATAAATAAATAATGTGGCGGTTTATTAAAAAAATTAAATTTAATATTCATTATTTATTAGGAATTGAAAAAAATCCTACTTTAATAATAATATTGATAGTATTAATGATGATGATTATTATTAATAGGTATTATATTGTATATTTATTTTTTTTAATTTTTGAAAGCCTACTCTTACAATTTGACTCATGCAAACCACTGCAGAAGTGTTGTGACCAACAGATCCATGTTATATACAGTACAGATACTTAATAAATAACCAACTCTAAATAAAAAGCCTTAACGTATGCTCTGTTTTGTGGTTTCACAAGCTTTGAAGACGTAACATAAATTTAGCTTTTAAATAATACTGTAGGTCACCTATAGCTTTCGTCATGAGCCACGGCTGTGTTCAAAATGACATCAATGTTTTCAAAGTGCACTGTAAACATGAAAATTGCTAAAACTGAACTGTAAAAAACACTTTGAAAGCAAATTACACCTAAGTGAGATGACTTTAATGCTTTTTGTTAATAATTTCAAGTTTAAATGTCAGAATGTTATAAATGAATAGGGGATGGGGGGATAACTAGGAAAAGAACACAGCCAGGAACTATGTTTCTACCTACAGCTCTAGAGGTGTAGTTGCAAGCATACAAGTTTGCGATGCAGTTTGCGAATGTTTGTTGAAAGGATGAATTTGGGAAACGTCGAATCAATGAACTATGTTTTTATTGACGGAACTTGTGACCTTAGTTGGCTAACAATGGTTTTTTAGAAACGCACGCCAGGTTAGGGTAATCAGGCAAGTTATTGTATAATGATGGTTATTCTGTGGACTATCGAAACAAAATCTAGCTTAAAGGGGCTAATTATTTTGATCTTAAAATTGTTTTTAAAAAATTAAAAAACTGCTTTTATTCTAGCCGAAATTAAACAAATAAGACTTTCTCCAGAAGAAAAAATAATATCAAACATACTTATTAAAATTTCCTCGCTCTGTTAAACATCATTTGAGAAATATTTAAAAAAGAAAGAAATTCATTAGTTGGGGGTAGGGCTGGGCGATTTGGCCTAAAATCTAAATCTCGATTAATTGAAATTTTTAACTCAATTACGATTAATGAATGATTATTTATTTTATTTACCTAGTTCACTAACAGGTGTTGTACAGTAAATATGCTCACATTTTACAAGTGAGAGTTGTTTGAATGAAGGGTGCATTACTTGGTTTTAAAAGAATTGAAGTAAACACACACACTATCCACTAGCCATGATTATTTATTGAACATCAGCATTGAACAACTGAAATTAAAACACACATTGCCTAAAACAAACTGTAACTTTTTTCTTATAAAAAAAATCTGATGAAAATAAATAACTTGCACTTTTAGCAACAAAATCAATTATTTTAAGTGTTTTCTTTATATATATATCAAAAGTAGAAAATAAGCAGGATCTCTCCTAAATAAATTAACTCTTGTATATCCTGTAAATAACATGTTAAACAGTGCATTTGTTGCATCTTCCATAAACAAATATTTTAATGTAAATAATATTTTTAATGTAATGGAAAATATGCCGTCTCAGGGCATCTCTGGAGCAGCTTTCAATAATTGTCAATGTAATGCAACGTATAGCTCAGGAATGGGTCCATCACCCTACTTGACCAAAGATCAGATTTGGCTGCAAAAGTATAAATCAGCCTTAAGAGAGCTTGATCAGGTGACTCCACACGCGATAGGGAAAGTCACTTAAAAAAATCTCCTTGAAAATTTTGATCGATTATAGTTTCTGAATAGCGATTTTAATTACTTTTTCGATTAATTGCCCAGCCCTAGTTTTAATGACTAATATCTGATAACTGTTTACTTTTATCTTTGCCATGATAACAGTATTTAATATTTTACTAGATATTTTTCAAGATACTAGTATTCAGCTTAAAAGTGCAACTTAAAAGTTTTACTAGGTTAATTAGGCTACAGTAGTTTTGGTAATTAGGCATGTCATTGTATTTCAATGGTTTTGTTGTATAGACAATCACAAAGTATTTCTTAAGGGGGCAAATAATTTTGACTTTAAAATTCTTTTTTTAAATAAAAAAATAGCTTTTATTTTAGCCAAAATAAAACAAATAAGACTTTCTCCGAAAGAAAAATATATTATAGGAAATACTGTGAAAAATCCCTTGCTCTGTTAAACATTATTTGGGAAATATTAAAAAAAAAAAAAAAAAAATGACAGGAGGGCTAATAATTATGACTTCAACTGTAATAGTGCACGTACAAACAGAAGCACTCTTTTGAATTTGATGTGTATCAACTGCATGCATATGATTTTTTTTTGTTTGCATTTGCATTTTATTCACATCATACCTAATATGGTCTAGTAGGGGTTGTTTATTGCTTTCCAGAACCTTTCCATAATCATGTTATCAGCAGCAGGCCAGGCTGTTTTATTTAGTGTCATCATCAATGCGCTGGCAGGAGCAGGAGCATGTCATGCTGTTTATCAACTATTACAGTGTGCATTGTGAAGCCATATGCCTAGACGAAGCTCTTGACTGAAAGTGTTTGCGTAGACAAAACCATAGTTCTGCTGTGCTTGCACATGTGCATGAGCCTCTTATTACTTTAAGTAACTTGCACTGCTAAAATAATTTTTGGCTCGGATTTTCAAGTGAGACTATTGTGTAAATGTATAGGCATTGAGCTCCAGGTAGTGATTCTGTGCACATTAGTATTTGTTTACTATGCAACTTGGAATTTATAGTGCCTAGCTGGAGTTGTTCAAGTCTTTAAAATTAGTACAAATAACTTAACAAAAGAGTTGAAAATTGTTATTTAATAATAAGTTTTAAATAATTATATTTATTATATTATATTGTTAAATATTATCAAAAGAAATATACATTTATAGAATTTGCTTTGTTGTAATATGGATAACATATATACAATATATATTGTTAAATATTCATAACAACAAAAATGATCATTAAAATGTTTGTTAAGAATAATAATAATTTGTATTGTTATTTTTAAAATTATTATTATTTTCACTGATATATCAACACTATTTTCTCTCTTTCTTTGAAGCTGATGTCATTTCTACAGTGGAGTTTAACCAGACGGGGGATCTGCTGGCCACTGGGGATAAGGGGGGGAGAGTGGTCATCTTCCAGAGAGAGACAGAGGTAGGTCAAATTGTGAGCAAAACATTTGCTGTGGATTATTGATAAAGGAAGATTAAAACCTTGTTTTTTTAAGCAGTGAGCATATTTGTCTTTATGGGAGAAGAAGATTAAATGTCATAATAATGATTTAAAAATGCTGTTTTTCTAAGCACTTTACATGTATTTTGTCACTTTATAGTATAGGGCACTGAAAATGTGTGAGGGGATTTTAATGAACATTTCCCAGAGATCCTTAAGACAACATTTAAAAAAGATGAACTTTAGTAAAAAATAAAAATTAAATATATAAAATAAGAAATCACTTTCGCAAACGCTCACGTTCAATCTGCCCAGTTGGTGGAGTGAACTCCCTAACTGCATCAGAACGGCAGAGTCACTCGCTGTTTTCAAGAAACGACTAAAAACTCAACTATTTAGTCTCCACTTCACTTCCTAATCTGCAATTGCCTCTCTGGATATACCACTAACTGTACTCAAAAAATAAATAAATAAAATAAAAATAAATTTTTTACTAAAAAATTACAACAACAACAAAAAAATTACTTAAATATTACTAATACTTTCCTTCTTAGACTGTACAGACCTGAAACTTGCTCTTATTCATTGTTGCACTTATTCATTGTTGCTCTTATAGTTGTGTAAATTGCTTCCTTGTCCTCATTTGTAAGTCGCTTTGGATAAAAGCATCAGCTAAATAAATAAATAAAGCCATCTGTTTGCATTCTCAAGGATATTGCATTCAATGTTTCTTGTAAGCTGTTCTTTAAGCTGCTTTGACACTATATATTGTAAAAGCACTACAGAAATAAAGATGCCTTAACTTGACCTGTATTAACCCAGATTTTAACCTTAATACAAAGCACATTATTTTTGAGACATTGAGTGTGGATACATTAAAATATTAGGCACTTAAGTGATTTAAACACTTCTGTTTATACTTTGGAGGTCATAAAAATGCTAGTGGGAGAATTTCAGGCCTAAATTTGAATCTTTAGTTAATTTTCTGGGAGATGTCAAACACATGGACAGTATAAACTAGATTTTGAATGCAGGAAGGTATTAATTAAGAAAGTAGTCTACTGTTTAATCAGCAATACTTTAAAACTGAATAGAATTTTAATTTTCAAAGGAATAATTCACCCAAAAATGAAAATTCACTCACCGTTTACTGGCCCTCAATGCTAGAAGATATATTGAAGAATCTATTGACATCCATAGTAGCAAAAACAAGTACTATGGAATTTAATTTTTAACATTCTTCAAAATATTTGATAACAGATCTGGAAGGTGAGGAAATCATGGCAGAGTTTTTATGTTTGGGTTAACCAATAAAATATTTTGGGATATTATTTAACTGGGTCTTTCTTTTTAATTCAGTCTAAAGGTGAATCTGAAGAGCTGGGAGAATCGGGTGAGTATAATGTCTACAGCACGTTCCAGAGTCATGAACCGGACTTTGACTATCTGAAGAGTTTGGAAATCGAGGAGAAGATCAATAAGATCCGCTGGCTGCCACAGCAAAACGCTGCTCACTTTCTCCTCTCCACTAACGGTAATTACACCTCCTCCTGTCTGAGGATTACAGGGGATTACAGTTCACCCGTATTTGTCCATATTGCTCTCCTAATTACAAAATGTGATACAGTATGCAGTACATTGCAAATGGAAATAGTTTAAGGCTAACATTGAAAGGTAATGTGATTATTCTGTGCGCTATTGACATAAAACAATGTCTCACTCTTGATGATGATGATGATGATAAATATTCTTTTACTGAAGGCTTTTTATTTTGTGTGTGTTTTTGCTTATACGTTAGCCATGAATTTATCAAAATAGCACTTTAAAAACACCAGTATGTGGGTACAAGCCTCTGTCTAAATGAGTAATTTAGTGAGTCATTCACTAAAATGAATTGTTTAAAGCCGCTGATACATTTATAAACAAAGCAAAGTGATTGTCTTTATGAATAAATAATTGAATAATGATTTATAATTGAATTGAATCAAAAACATATTCATTTAGCAATGAAAACATGCAGTGTTGCTCTTAGACACACAACTGTTCTGGGTTTTCTTGGAAATCATTTTGAAAAATTATGTTTTTTCCCTAAATCAGGGTATAACTCTCAAAAGCTTACAACTTAAAACTCTCAAAAGCTAATTTAGGCCTTAAAAAGTCTTAAATCTACTGAAATGTTCTGTTGTAGGCCTTTAATCTTTATTAACAGGTCTTAATTTTCCTTCATGTGTAGCTGCCCAATCTGGCCATTAACACCCACACAACACCAACAATCCATCTCAATAAAACTTTTAACTTTTTATTTAAAATGAGCATTTATTTACTTTTCTTACAGTAGCATTTGCTTAAAAGTTCTCCATTTATTTACTGCTGAATATACTAACCTGATGTAATTTTTTATTATTAAATTGATATTATTGTAGATTGTAGTAATTCACAGCTATGTTTAGTTCTATTGGTAAGGGTTTGTGAATAGATATATTTGAAAATTAATAAAAATCAATATTCAAACAAAATTATTATTATTGCATTATTGAATGTCTAAAGTCAAAGTCTAAAATTTCATTCATAATGGTCTTAAAAATTACTTAAAAAGTCTTAAATTTAACTTGGTGAAACCTGCAGAAAGCCTGTTAAATCTAATTTCCTGATGTTCTTTATAACATTTTGTGTGATATTACTTATCGTATATTGTAAAACCAATGATCATGCAAGAATAATTTTGCATCCATAACAACAACAACTGTAAGTTTATTTTTACTGCATTCTGGTTGTCTTCATTAATGCTTTTGGATGTCAAGGCATGTTTTCATTATTATTTTGCAAAGTCATATTTACTTATTCAATATAATTTTTATTTATATATATTTTTTCATTTATTTTTTATTACTATTAAATATATATATATATATATATATATATATATATATATATATATATATATATTAGGGTTGGGCGATGTAGACCAATTTGGCGTCGTACGATGTCTAATGTGCAACATCACGATAGACGCCATTGTCTACATGAATCTAAAATGCCATTTTAAAACTAAAGCCTGATTTATACTTCTGCGTCAGGTGACCGGCGTAACCCACGGCGCAGGCAACGCGCGTGGCTGTGCATTTATACTTCTGCGCGCTGTCTCTGTCGGTCTGCATTAACACTTCCGAAACGCTAGTTGGCAGTGAGGTGTAAATGTTCCTCTGTGTCAAGTTTCTTCGCTACTTTTTTGCATTTCCTGAACACTTCCGGGATGTACAAGTGGCTCAAACTCGCTCATTTTGAGGCAGGAACCGGCGGACGTGCAACAACTTTAACTATGAGGTAAACACAAAACAAAACTTTCCATCCGGAGCTCCTTCACGGGACTCCACACTTGTAAACAATCGCTCGCGCGGTGTTGCGCCATTCGCGCGCCTCTCGGTCCCGCCCAGACTCGTCAGCGCTACCAAGCCGACCAATCACAGAGCTTACGCTACGTGTCGTTGCAACGTGTAGTTACATTTTTTGAGAGGTGCACGTCAGCGACGGCGATGGCCACGGCGAAGGGCTATGCGTCAGCGCCGTAGCATATGCCGGTGTTTGACGCAGAAGTATAAATCAGGCTTAAGACGTTTTGTGTGTGTGTGTGTGTGTGTGTGTGTGTGTGTGTGTGTGTGTGTGTGTGTGTGTGTGTGTGTGTGTGTGTGTGTGTAATTGTGATGAGTTTTTATCCTGTCGTATATCACTATTAAACAACTTTCCACTCAAGTGAACAATGAAGTTAAACCAACATAGGCTCATTCTGAAATCCAGCTCTATACACATTTCTGGAGATAGCGAATTATGCAGCCAGAAGTATGTATGGCTGCATTTCGTCTTTAAAACGAACGGTAGGGGGCAGTATGACGCTGTTCCTTTTCGTGCTTACCAGCTGAGCGCTTACCTCCGTATGGACAGCTTTACCTGATCAATTAGTGCTTTTGAAAACAATGTTGGTTGGGTTTAGGAAAGGAGGAGGGTCATTCAGTCAGTCGACAGTCTGTCAGAACAGCAGAGACGTATTTGGTACTCTCAAGAAATGCATATAGCAGTAAGTTTTCAGAATGAGCCTGGGTTGCGAAAAACAAAAAAAAAACTATGATTATGATATTACCATTAATGATAATATTGCACATCCCCTAACTGAACTGCAACACATACCTATTAAATCAACCAACCAATCAATGTTGAGTCATCATACGACATTGTTATTAGTTTCATTATCAAAAATGACCTGCATTTGCAAAGGCATCAAAATATATAACAATGTCTTAGTTTAGAAGGTGTCAGCTATATAGTTAAAATGATTGACTGATAATTTCTTGTGTGTGATTCAACAGATAAAACGATAAAGCTATGGAAGGTGAGCGAGAGAGACAAGCGGCCAGAGGGCTACAATCTGAAGGATGAAGAAGGGCGAATAAAGGACATCTCCACCGTGACCTCATTACGGGTATTTTCACAGCTGTAATTGCTCTTTAGATCAATTTAGTGCAGAAAGTTTTACTACTGCTTTGATTTAGCATTTGTTACAGTCACTGATTTATGTCAGACTCCATAAGAGCTTATTATACACTTCTAACTGGAAATAGATTTCTGATTAGTCAGTCATTACATTCTCTGATTAAATTTTTTCATGTAATGTCCGCTGAATTGCTTAACTGTACATTGTCATTATCAGCCAATTTCCTGTACAATAGCAGTGCAATTTCTCATATTTCTCTGTGGTCGTCGTCTTCCCACATGATGATGATAATAATAACCCAAATCAATAGTTCATGTCCAGTTTTCGATTTATTTGGTAAGTAGTGGTGTAAAAAAAACCAGCAGATTTACAGTCAGCGGCCATTATGGCAAAATATTATCTCTTTAGAGTAATACAAGATGACCCTGCGATGCTGACTGTATAGTTTGTCTTATTTTAGTAGTTTTAAATGTTTTCGATGTCATGGACCCCCTAATATGATGAGGGACCCCATCCTAAAAAAAAGACAAAAAAAAGGTTATACTGTCAAAAATTCTCATTTTAAATGGGTCTAAAATATTTTTGGGAAAATATTTGCTTTCTTTTCTACTTATTGTAGCATTTTATGTAAATATTTTAATAATTACATATTGTAATTTATGTTTTTATTATGTTTAATCTAATTATTTAGTTAAAATTTGTTAATTTGCTTTGGTTTAGTCAAATATTACATTTTAATTTATTTAATATTCTCAAATTATTAATGTAGTATTAATGTAAAATTATTTAAAGTGTTCTGGATGTTTGTTTCTTTTATACTAATATGTGTTTATTTATCTTAAGAAAATCTTTATTTTTAAATCCTTGCTTGACTGCATTTACCAATCATTAAATTATACTGTATAACCTTCACTGCTTGAAAAATCCTAATTAATACATATTCACACAGAAAGAATTTTATTAATATTCATATCAATTTACAAGCAAGAGAATATGCACAATTTTAAGTCATAAATGAATGTACATAACATTTTTATCCTGTGTTTGTTAAAGAATTATGAGTTGCCATCCAGTTTATGTGGAGTTTTGTTTGTATTATTTTATTGTAATATGTTGCTTCAAGACTTCTGATTAAGTAGCCAAATAAGAATGTCAAATAATAACAAAATGTTACAAATCTAAGCATTTATGATAAAAAAATTAAATATTGTGAAAAAAAAATTAAATTGCCCTATTGCAAGAAGCACAACTGTATGTTTATGTACATTTAAAATACTGTAAGTTAATTAAAGCTACAAAATTAGCTGCCATGTATTATATGAATTATACTCACTGAAAAAAGTGGTACCCTAAAAGCTGTAACATGTTTTTTTGTGAAAAATATTAATTAACATGCCTGAATCTATATTCACAAAAACTGTTTTTCTATTAATTAAAGCAAGAAGAAATATTTGTTTACATTAAAAGATCACTTCTTTGGATATTTAAACAGTTTTGTATCTGTTCAGCCAATCTCTAGTTCTGGCAGGAGCACTTTTAGCTTAGCTTAGCCTACTGTATATCATTGAATCGGATTAGTTCATTAGCATCTCGCTCAAACAATTTTCCTATTTACAGCTTTACACTTCTGTAGAAAATGGTCAATATAAAAAGGAACTATACTCTCACTATGGCATAATAATAAACCATTCCCTGCTCTACCGTGGCTGCAGCAGGCACAATAATATTACGCAATATTACGCAACACCTAAAATACTCCCCAGCTTGTTAACTATGTGACGCTGCGTATAATATCATTGTGCCTGCTGCAGCAATGGTAGATAAAAAATTATCAACATTTTTTTTTTTTTTTTCAATTTTTTTTTTTCAATTTTTTTTTTTTGAGCGAGATGCTAATGGTCTAATCTGACTCAATAAATTATGCTAAGCTAAGCTAAAAGTGATCCCGCAATTTCCTAGGATTGGAGAAATGGATTCAAAAATGTTTAAACTCAACTGTTGGCAGAGCATTTACTGTAGAATGAATAGTTGCTCATCTTGCACGTTTAGTCTTTACCTTCCAGATGAATACCAGTGCCGAGATAGCACTAGCATACAACTCTTCTTGACATAAAACCACATCTTTGAAGAATGTCCCACCCCAAAGCCTATTCAGTTTAAAATATTTTCTCTTTTCTAATTTTTTATTATGTTTTTTAATTTATTATCAATAATTATTTTACCTAATACACCATGCTGCAAACCTCAACTTTCAGTACTGACAAGTTTATATGCTGTTAATATGTAAAACAAATTCATATCGAGGGCTCAACAATAGGGACTGCCCGGGGCCAGCGTGCGAGACGCTTGGGACAGTATACAGAATGGTCACTGGCCCGATCGGGGCTGCCTTGTCACTAAAGTTTATTTTGGCTCCAACTGTTTGTCAATTGCGTGCTTTCATGCCCATGGTTCGTGTGGCATATGTGAATTCCGCAATCGTGCTCGAATCCACGCCAAATCAATCGGTCTGAGATCACCAGAATGAGGTGGTCTTGGCTTGATTGAGCAGATCGATTGTAGTGAAATAAAACGATCCAACGAACCAGGCTATATCACAGTGTTTTATGGTTGTGTAATGGCCATATATACCACTATGTGAAGAGAGAATGATGAGTAGGACAGGATGTCATTTCTACCAGCAAATGTGCGTTTCATGTTTAATATGAAAGTGGAAGCATGCTGAAATATTACAGAGTGCTGTTTATCCGTTAGGAATATGGGTCACACTTTACAATAAGGTTCATTAGTTAATGTTAATTAATGTATTTACTAACATGAACAAATAATGAACAAAACATTTACTACTGTATTTGTTCATGTTAGTTAACGTTAGTTAATGAAAATACAGTAGTTCATTGTTAGTTCATGTTAACTCATGGTGCATTAACTAATGTTAACAAGCATAGACTTGGATGTCAATAATGCATTAGTGAATGTTCAATTATGATTAATAAATGCTGTACAAGTGTTGTTCATGATTAGTTCATGTTAGTAAATGCATGAACTGATGAACCTTATTGTAAAGTGTTACCGGAATATGGAATATTTTTCCATATTTGAATCTTATATTTTGTATTAGGCCTGTTGTTTTGTTAATTTGTTTTGTTCATTTCGACACCTCAAAAGAAAGATCAAAATTGCTTCATGATTGCTTCATGAAAAAAACTCAAAGGCCATAATTGATTAAAACGTAGGCTAATATGATTATAATGTTGATGGATCAAGCAAGAACAAGAAGTGAAATGCATTTTAAATCTAGGTTTACAAATAAATGATAAAATAAAAATATTGATTGTATCATAGACTGATGCAATGAGCCTGTTTCTAAAATTAGGCATTTTGGTGGGTTTTAAACAAACAAAAAACATAAAATTGTTGTAGATTTCAACTAAACCCAACATTAAACAATTCACTTTAATTAATCTAATCATTATTTTATTTAAATAAAAAAAATCTAAATTGTCAGTTATATTTAAAAAAAAAGTTATGCTGAATAATTGAATGGCTAACTTCTTTTTTTGGTGGGGGCAGAGGAAATTTTGGCAGGGCAAGTAAAAATCTTAACCGGCCAGTAGAAAACATCCCTAGTGTTGAACCCTGACATCATATACTATTTGTGCACATCATATACTGTTTGTTGCACAAAATGAGAGTTACAGTGCAATTTATTTTTAATCTTTTAATCAATTTTGTACTGTTATACATATTTTTTTCTATTCGTACTGTTATTTTCTCTTTTACTTTTGTTTGTTCTGATAAATAAATCTTTTAAAAAAACTCTAAAGGACTTATAAAATTAGCCTATTTCCAATTCCTGTCTCCTTTAACTATTGCAGGTCACCGTTTTGTCACAGAGTAGTGCTGCCAAGATTTCGAGTTGATCTAAAGCAAGAGAAGCCAACTGATACAGAAATCAATTTGTTTCAGGTGCCAGTCCTAAAGCCCACTGACCTGATGGTTGAAGTGCGACCGAGGAGAGTCTTTGCTAATGGCCACACTTACCACGTCAACTCCATCTCCGTCAACAGCGATGGAGAGACGTATCTGTCAGCCGATGATCTCCGGATCAACATGTGGCACCTGGACATCACAGACCGAAGCTTCAGTATCCTTCATGCATCATCTTATCTAGTAAAAGACCAAACAAAATGCAGACAGCCATTGGGAATGAGTTACTATATAAAACTAAGTAACTGGGACAAAGGCATTGGCTTTGCAGTCAGGTGAATGCAGCATGAAAAAAGCGTGCTGTGCTTGAACTGGAATGCTTTTGTTCCTTTGTGTTTTTGGGACTGGACTGAAGGCAGTGGTTTTGTGTTCCAGATTGTGTAGCTGCTCTTCTTTGGAGCAGGGCTCTCTGACCTAGAAATAAAATATCTATGGAAACATTTAAATAATTCACCAAGGAAACAGTCTCCTCTAAAACACATAATAGCTGCCTTCAGGAAAATTGCAGGTTGTGCTTTTATGCCTGCACGTGATGTGTAGTGGTTACTTGGTGGATGTGTGAAGGATGTATGTGTGTGTGTGTGTGCTGGAAATAATAATCCTACAACCATGCACATTTACACCATTCAGGAAGCTGATGATACATAGTTTATTTATAAGCTACCGCTGTTCGAATGTGCTTTCATTTGTAGAGCGGGTGCGATGTCTGTTTCTACACTGGGCTTTAGCATTAAGTGGTGTGAAAATAAAAGTGATAGTTCTCCCATAAATTTTATTCTGCCATCATTTCTCACTCTTCATTTGTTTCAAACCTGTTTGAGTTTTGTCTAAAGAAGTTATTTTGAAGAATGTTGAAAAGTGATTGACTTCAATGTTGTTGGTTTTTTTCTAACTATGGAGGTCAGTGGTTAGTTAGTTACTTTGATCTTGAACGTACACATAACACAGTCACAAAACATATACTTTAAAGTCTTACCTCAACTAAGAACATTGCACTCCTGCTTTATTCAAAAGATGAAGTGCGTTTGGCGCGAAGGGTTATTTGTAAGTTACGTTAATTGCCTTCACTGACCTGTAATGGTGTCCAGATGGCAACAACATGAAGGCCTTGTTTAATGGGTGCTTATCATCATCACATATGGCCATGGTCTTCCTCCAAATTGCTGTTATACAATTCATTTATAGATTTTTGTTTAAATCCTATGATCTTACCTGCTATCCTATTGACCCTATTTAACTTTATTTAGCACTACTTTACAGTGCATCCAGAAAGTATTCATTACCCTTCATTTATTCCACATTTTTTACTTTAAAGCCTTATTTCAGAATAGATTCAAATAATTTTTTCCCCAAAGTTTTACACACAATACCCCAGAATGACAATGTGAAAAAAGATTTTTGAAACTGTTGCAAATTTATTAAAAATAAAAACCTGAAAAATCACGTTCATCAGTATTCACTACCTTTGCCGTAAAGCTCTAACTGAGCTCAGGTACATTCTGTTTTTACTGATCATTCTTGATGTTTCAGCAGCTTAATTGGAGTTCACCTGTGGTAAATTCAGTTGATTGAACATGATGTGAAAAGACATACACCTGTCTATATAAGGTCGCAGGGTTGACAGTGCATGTCAAAGCGCAAACTAAGCATGAAGACAAAGGAATTGTCTGTAGACCTCTGAGACGGGATTGTCTCAAGGCACAAGCCTGGGGAAGGTTACAGAAAAATTTCTGCTGCTCTGAAAGTTCCAATGAGCACAGTGGCCTCCATCATCCGTAAGTGGAGGATGTTTGGAGCCACCAGGACTCTTCCTAGAGCTGGCCGGCCATCTAAGCTGGGTGATCAGGCGAGACGGGCCTAACTCAGGGAAGTGATCAATAACCTGATAGTCACTCTGTCTGAGCTCTAGTGTTCTTCTGTGAAGAAAGGAGAACCTTACAGAGGGACAACCATCTGTGCAGCAATCCACCAATCAGGCCTGTAGAGTGGCCAGACGGAAGCTACTCCCCGCCTGGAATTTGCCAATAGGCATCTGAAGGACTCTCAGACCATCAGAAACAAAATTCTCTGGTCTAATGAGACTAAAATTTAACTCTTTGGAGTGAATGCCAGGCGTTACGTTTGGAGAAAAGCAGCCACCGCTCATCACCAGGCTAATGCCATCCTTACATTAGCCCCTTTCACACATACAGACCTTTCCGGAAAATTGCCGGCAATTTTCCGGAAAGGTTGTATGTGTGAACAGGTCCTTTTTGAAAATACCGGTAAATTCGTTCTGGCTATTTTCCGGAAAGAGAAGTTGTAACATTACCGGCAATTTGCCGGAATGCTGCGCTGTGTGAATGCAGAAGGAAGATTACCGTAATAAGCGCGTGCACGTCTAGAACGTGCTGACGTGAGACGTCTGCTTTAGCCAATCACAACAGTCAGACGCATTTACGTCCGCGCGGTTTGAGGATAAAAGCCTTTGAATATTTTTCCAGACACATTTAGCTGCTAGAAGTTAGTCAGATCTCGTTTATATGTTCTTCTTAATACCAACTGTGTAAATAATCATCGATGAGATGCTTATGATAAGCCGTTGTTTGTTTACCTTCAAGCTTTGCGTGTGCTTGTGAAACAGCCTGTGAGCGCCTGCACACGCACATATTATGAACATCTCGACATGCGAAAGTGATCCTGCGAAAGTTGTTCACAATATTGATCATCCACAGAGTTTTTAATTTAGTCAAATGTTTACAAACACAAGCGCAGCCGTTTAAAGCTCATTTGTGGTGAATGATGTCAGAATTTACCGGTATTTTGGAATGGATGTGTGAATGCTCTTTTCCGGAAAATTTCCGTAACTTCCTCGCCTGTGTGAACAGCGCTTTTTTCAATATACCGGTAAAGTCTTTCGGGACATTTTCCAGATATTTACCGGTATCACTGTGTGAAAGGGGCTATTGATGCATGTTTTTGGCAGCATCGTGCTGTGGGGGTGCTTTTCAGCAGCAGGAACTGGAGGACTAGTCAGGCTAGAGAGAAAGATGAATGCAGCAATGTACAGAGACATCCTAAATGAAAACCTGCTTCAGAGTGCTCTTGACTTCAGAATGGAGTGATGGTTCATCTTCCAGCAGGACAATGACCCAAAGCATACCGCCAAAATATCAATGGAGTTACTTCACAACATCTTGCATCATTTGGCATCATTTTCAAAAAGACTTGAGGCTGTAATTGCTGCAAAAAGCACATCAACAATGTTTTGAGCAAATGCTGTGAATACTAATGTACATGTGATTTTTCAGTTTTTTATTTATTTTTTTAATTTCCAACAATTTCAAAAAATCTTTTCACATTGTCATTATGGGGTATTGTGTGTAGAATTTTGAGAAAATAAATTATTTATCCATTTTATAATAAGGCTGTAACAGGAAAAAAATGTGGAAAAAGTGAAGTACTATAAATACTTTCCAGATGCACTGTATCAAAATATCTAAAAGCTTTAGAAGCTTTAATGGCTTTTAAAGCTTAAATAAAGTGGTTAGTATGATTGATTCTTTCAATGTATTTTGAAATAATACAATATTTGTCCGAGGAACAGATAAAATTTTATTCCATTATTTATTCGTCATAAATAAATCAGATCTTAACATCTGCATTCATGAAAGTTTCTGAAAGTTTTAGTCTTAAGCTCAAACTAAAAGTAGCTTTAGGGCTGTAAATCCGAGATGCTCCTTGACTCCTTCTCAGACATTGTGGACATTAAGCCAGCCAATATGGAGGACCTGACGGAGGTGATAACAGCTGCAGAGTTCCACCCACAGCACTGCCATCTGTTTGTGTACAGCAGCAGTAAAGGAACACTACGCCTCTGTGACATGAGAGAGTCGGCACTCTGCGACAGACACTCCAAAAGTAAGAACGTGCCTAGTGCATTGATCAAGAGCGACAATAAAGACATATGGCTATGAAAAACAATTAAGAGACCACTTGAAAGTTTTGATTTATTGGATATCGTTTTTGAATAAATTGTTAACTCTTCAGTACTGTTCAAATTGACTACCTTATTATGTTTGTGGTTGTTTTTGCCCTATTGACTTCCATTATAATGACATTTTTTGATTGCGAAGCTACGACACCAAATAGTCATGCATTCTTGACTGTTGGTGTTCTTCCCTATTGGAAAGAAGTAAAACTTTTCATTTTTACTGTTGATCATAAGTGCGCTGCATTAACCCTTTAGATAGGCCTGTGTAAAAAAAGTTTCTGTCTTCATATGGAGTTTTAAAGAGTAAAACAGCAAATTATAGTGCCCGTTCATAAATACATGTACTTTGTTTAATATGTTCTGAGAGCTGAGGTGCATATTTTATATTTTCTCAAACATTTCAAGGTAAGTGCATAAAGGTCTCGCTCACACACTCGCACATACCCACACTCACACACACACACACACACACACACACACACACACACACACACACACACACACACACACTATGCTTTATATAACTATATGCTTTTTTATCCCGAAGCTAAGCTTTTTTGTCAATGCAATTAATGATCAACAGTAAAAATGTTAAATTGTACCTCTTCCTAACAGGGAAAACCAGCAACAACAAAGAATGCATGATTATATGGTGTCATAGAGGCAATCAATAAATGTCATTATAATGGAAGTCAGGGGGGCAAAAAAAGTCACAAACACAACAATTTTGCCCAGAGTGAATTGTTGAATGTTTGAAAATTTTCAAAGTATTTTTCCAAAATATGTGTCAAAATAATATTTGTCTTTAAAAATTCATTCCATTTGCTGAAACACAGAGAAGGTTGTGGCCAAATTAAGACTCAACGTCTTAATATAGATTTCCTAACTCTTCTTAGTTAAACAAATTGGTATATTGGTGTAGTCCAAAAATGAATATGAAAGTCTCAAATCATGGTGTCTTTTTGTTCTTTTATGCAAATAAAAAGCTCTAAATAATTATATTTTTATTTCAAATTTGATAGAAATTTCATCAGTAGATAATAGAACTAAACTAAAATGACATTTCACTCATACACACAACTATACATTTTAAATTCAGAGAAATTGAATAGTCTCAATTCTTTAATAGCTTCATGTCGTTTCTCGGTTTAAATAAAGGCTTTTTTCCCCCTCTAGGTTATCTGGATCTTTAAAAAAAATTCCCAAAAACGTTAAGCTGTAGTTTTCAACATTGAGAATGATAATATTTAGATTAAGGATGCTTTACACAGTTTTCACAGTCAGCATGAAATTAATCATTTCATAAATAGAAGAAAGTGCCTCTTACTGTAACATGTGAATCTTATACAAATCTTGAATTCAACTTTAAGATTAAAGTCATTTTGAGGAATTTGTTACTTAGCCAGAACCTGCTGGAAGTAGCTTAGTTAAAAAGACAGCGAGACACTGACTGAAAACAATTACGAATGGCTGTGCTAGCAGCTGGGGGAATTAACACTGTAGCAGATGTAGTGAGATTTACACCTATAGCTGCAGTAAAAGACAAGCAGGCCACAGTGTTGAAGATGTTTCAGTTCTTTCATTCATACTCTGACTAACCTAAAATAGCTAATGATTCACAGACAGCACTGTAAAAGTTAAGCTAAACATTATGGAGACTCATTATGCTGATAAAAGCTGCCTCATTCTGATTGTCAACTGAATCTTTGTCTTTTCTCCAACTTAGTCTTTGAGGAGCCAGAGGACCCAGGCAATCGTTCCTTTTTCTCTGAGATCATATCATCAGTTTCTGATGTTAAGTTCAGCCATAGTGGACGATATTTGCTCACCAGAGACTATCTGACTGTCAAAGTCTGGGACCTCCACATGGAAAAGGGCCCAGTGGAGACATACCAGGTGGGTACCATGAAGGTGATGGCATACAATAATAATCAAGTGTGGGTAGTCTGCTAGGAACACAAAAGGTATGCTTTTTTGGTCATTGAACAATCAACACAGGCTCATTGGAATTATGTAGTTAGCTTAGAATTTTGTGAAACTGTAGTTTTTAGCTAAAATGGATGCTATGGAGCAGTATGACAACAACTCACCATTATTTGTTCCTTTTCACACTAATGATAGTTACAGAGACATTATTATTGATGAATGAATTATTACTTAGTGCAGCTCTTCAGCACAACACCAAATAAATACCAATGGTGTCTGTGATTTGTAATCAGATACATTTGTCTTAGATGTCTACCTGTCTATTTGTTCATATGGACAACTTTTCCAGCATGGTCAGCTCAGTAGCTCACTTTAAACTAGAGGTGGGAGAAAAAAACGAATGCATCGTGATTCTTTCTCTAATAATTCAGAATTAATTCTGTATTTAAATTTGACCATGACAATGTGGGCATGAGCTCTAAACTGAAGAATAATATGCATTGAAGGTGCATTTACGTATGCTGCTGAATTCCCTTCATTTGGACGGATGGATAATTACAAGCTAGATGCAGCACTTCGTTGTGCGGCCGGCTTCAAGATCCTCTTTAAAGTGAAAGTGAAACCTTGCCATTATAGATGCCGAATCAGATTGGATCAAGAAGTCACTAAAGATTCCAACCCCTACTTTGTACGGAGTTAAATCTGTGCCGAACACTTGGATTGAAGTGCAGTGAAGCACGGTTTTTCAACCTGTGCACTTTTGTCTTTTGTTTTCTTTTGAAAGCACTATTATGGCTTGTTTTATCTGAGTTGTACAGTACGGTTTGGTTCGGTTCAATACGCTTTATGGCTGTTTCCACTGTGAAAAGTTACCTAAAAGCAAACCATACTGTACCCATTTTTGGGTACCCTTTGCAAAGGGTACCTAGCACGCCAAAAGGGTACCTAAAGGCGGAGCTAGATGCGTAACTGGACGCTATTGGTTTACAGAGATACTTCACTCAATCCTGCAACAAGCCAGAAGAATGAGAACAAAGAAACCGCCATTTTTTAAATACAGCAGAGAAATTACACTGTAATAATATATACATATAATAACAAGCCATGGTCGACCTGAGCTCAAACAAACCTTGTCGTCGTCTTGATCACAGCCACAAAGCCAAGAAGAAGAACAAAGAACAAAATCTGCCTTGTTTTGTTTTTTATACGAGGCCGTCTAAAAGTGCAAGCAGATTCGCTTTCTTGATATGATGATAATAACGTACGCATGATTATTGAAGTGCTTCTGACATCCGATCCTTTCAGAAACGGACAAACGGGAGAGGGAAGTGCGAAAAAACAAAGTTTAAGCTGGATAAACAAAGCAGCAAATGATTCTTTCAGCAACCTAAAACATGAACAAATTGTCGTGTTTAACTATTATCATCACCTTTTGGACTATTATAACCTCGGAATGAGGAAATTACTTTCTAAAAAAAGGTTACATGTGCTGATGAAGATTAAAGATACAGATGAGAGGTTTGCACTGACTGTGGGCTATATGTTGTGTGTTTTTGAACCCAAATACACCACTGTACACTATGCCATTGGTACCCTTTTGGCAGTGGAAACGCAAGCATGATAAGGGTAACCCATACCAACCCTGTACAGTACCATACTGTACTACTCAGTGGAAACGGGCCATTAGTTGGTTTAGGGTTAGGGTTTAGTTAACTGTATATGGTCTGGTTTTCAGTTGGTTGTTAGCTTGTCTAAGTGATCTGTACGACAAGCTTCACATTAGAAATCTGCGCAGGACTAAATTTTAAATCACGCTCCCGCCCGCACCCGCCAGGTTTTATTCCAAACCTGACCTCTCCCGCTTATGTTCTGCATTCGTTGTCCTGCTGCCCGACCCGCTCCATTTTCTACCTGCCGCACCCGTTTCCGCTATTGGGCGGGGAGAGAACAAAACCGGAAACCAGCTATACAGAGTCCAGACAGCCTATAACACGCTGTCTGTATAAACACACACACACACAGCACCAAGCAAGCCAAGCAAGGGACACACACACACAGACAGCAACATCCTGCTCTCTCATTTACACACATACACACACACACACACACACATGGCACATAGCTCTCTCTCTCGTTCGTGCACACACACACACACACACACACACAAACAGCAACAAACAAGCTAAACGCAGCATCAGGCTGTCTCATTCACACACATACATATGCGTACTCGCTCGCACGGGAGTCGGGAGTGATATTGTTAGACTGCCAACTCCCGTCCAAAATTACACCAGTTACCGACCGTTCCCGCACTTTATTCGGAAATTTATTCCCACGTCAAAAGAAATCTGGTCAGGTCCCGCTGGAATGCAGACATCTACTTCACATGACTGTGTAAAAGAATTAAGTGTGTCAGAAACAAATAACAAAATGTAACCTAACTAATTTATTTAAGATATGCAAAAATATAGACAGCACCCTTTAGTAGATCTGCTATCCGAAAAGTGCAACAGCTAGGAGCTTAATTTAATACATTTTATCCCATAAATTAAGCATCTGAGAAATAAAAAACAGCAATAAATCAGCCATAAAAAAAGATTTCGCTCTTTTATAATATTTCTTTCTATGTCAGGTTCATGAATATCTAAGAAGCAGACTTTGCTCTTTGTATGAAAACGACTGCATCTTCGACAAGTTTGAGTGTGTCTGGAACAGCACTGACAGGTAACCATTTTAATTGATCATGTTTATGCAGTATAGGCATTATTCCTGTATTGTACTTAAACCCCCTTTCTCTCTCTTTCTTCTTTGCTCTTTCATTTTTTTTCTTTTCCTCATCGCATTTTCTCTTTATAATTCACTCCACTTTGTTTATTTACCCATCGTACTTTGCTATCTCTCATTGCGCCTCCTTAAGTGTGATCATGACAGGAGCGTATAACAGCTTTTTTCGGATGTTTGACCGCGAGACGGGTCGTGGTGTGACCCTGGAGGCCTGGCGTGAGAGCAGTAAACCGCGTGCAGTGCTGCGAACTCGCCGCGTTTACACCGGGGGTCGGCGGCGACGAGGGGACGTGGGCGTAGACAGTCTGGACTTCACCAAAAAGATTCTGCACATGGCTTGGCACCCGGCTGAAAACATCATCGCCATCGCCGCCACCAACAACCTCTATATCTTTCAGGACAGGGTCAAACCAGAAAACCAGTGTGAAGAGACATAAAAGGGGCCGCAGTTATGCTCTTCACAGGGCCACACATGCATTCAAATCATATCAGATTTATCCTTTAAAACACATACATTTTTGGTCCTGCGGAAGCACGGCTTACTCAAAAGTAGACTGATGGAGTTTGCCGATCCAGAAGAGCAGTTATGTATAGCTAATGACTTGATCTGATAACACTTTGGTTAATCACACCGCCAAGAATGTTGCCAATGAGCTGTGGTACGTGGAATTTATGACTGACATCATGATCAGCCAATCCTGGACTCCTTTGATGTGTGGATGGATGTCGATGACCATTTCCTGATTGGCTGCACCAATCTGTGATTGGTGTTCGATTTGGGCTTTTGGTCTAGGAATGAGACTCCTCTGCGTCATGATAACAAGAGTGCTCTGAGCAGTCTTCCTATCACGTGCTTCCCGAAAAATCCAATCCCACAATGCATCTGCTTTACGAGCACTCATTTTGCTTCACATCGACCATTTGTGAATGCCTATACGACCGAATCACTATATCTCGCACTTGGAGGAGGAATAAATTCCAGTACTTGTCTCAAATGTATGCGAAAAAACCTGAAGGATTGATCCACTTCTTCATCTGAACACTGTCTTAACCAGGTTACACCTCACGATGGGTTACATTCACACCTGTATGGTAGGAAAGGTATTGGTCAGTCTCAAAAAAAAAAAAAAACAAGTTAATAATATACCATCGCACTGCTAATATGCTTTGATAAGGGCCTCCTGCAACGCTGTGCACATGCATTAGGGTCAAACTCTGATCTAGTCCAGAGTTCTGGACTCTCACAGCGAAGCACTGCCTTTTTATTAATGATTGTAGCTACTCAGAATGGGAGTTTTCAAAAAGTGTGTGAAAATAATAATGAAAACAATGCTGACAAAGATTGGATGATTGGTTAGGTAATTAAAATGAATAGTCTGGCATTAAAACAAGGGACTGTTCACACAAAAATTTTAATTGAGTCATTATTTGCTCAGCCTAGCCATATGTATAAATGACACATATATGTGCTTTTTTTTCGTAAAACAAAAAAGTCCTGCCTCTGTTTGTACATATTATGGTAGTGAATATTGACCAGAATTTAAAAAAATGCATTTAATACCCCAGAATGTTCCTGTACATTTGTTATATTTGTTAAATGTTTTAGATGTACAGTATATGAAAAGCCATGTGCATGGTGATACAAAAATCAGGATTAATAGAAATGCAATGCAAAATATCATTCATGTACCATAATTCTGACTTTAATGTGTCAGCCGAACTTGTCCAGAGTTCGACCTTGGATATGGGCAGCTCAGTGGTTAGCACTGTATCTCACAGCAAGAAGGTTGCTGGTTCAAGTCCTAGCTGGGCTAGTTGGCAAATCTGTTTGGAGTTTGCATGTTTTCCTCTGGGTGCTCCGGTTTCCCCCTCAGTCCAAAGACATGCGCTTTAGGTGAATTGGCTAAAAAAATTGTCCGTAGTGTTTGAGTGTATGAATGTGAGTGTTTCCCAGTATTGGGTTGTGGCTGGAAGGGCATCCGCTGCGTAAACCATATGCTGGAATAGTTGGTTGTTCATTCTGCTGTGGCGACCCGTGCTGAATTAGGGACTTAAAGGAAAATGAATAACTTTTGGGATTTTTTGAACATGGTATGTTATGTCTTGCTTTGATTAGTTTTACTTTATGAAAGCATTGCACTTGTGTGCTTTTTGTTCAGGATTTTAATTAAATGATACATCAAATTTCAGTTTGTTTTTACTGAACTGCATTGACATGTTGCATGGGACAATTTTTTAAAACTTGTGGGCTTAATGCTCGTCACTTTTCACTACCATTTTATGGATGAGCACAAGCTTGTTGTTTTATCTACTTCTCTTTATATAAAGAATGCCGTATGTGTCCTGGATACAATGCCAGGGTGAGTAAATTATGACTGAATTTTGAATTGTGAGAGCTTTACCAAAAATAATAATTTTGACACTTTCCTCAGTTTGCTGGAAATGTTCTTGCAATGGAAGTCTGTGAGGTATTGAAAGCAGATTTCTTTTCAGATATAATTTGCTCCTACAAGAGCAGTTCTCAAACTTTTTGTTCACAGTTCCATATTTAAAGTTTATTAATTGATTTACGGAATACAATTTTGAAGACAATTATTTCACAAACTGATATTCACAGTTTATATTTAATAACTATTTTTGGTTTGGAATGATTAGGCCAATAAAAATGTTAATCAGTTTTAGAGTTTTAAGATGCAAGTCATTTCCATGATGAAAATCAGACACATAAACTCATATGCAGTTAAATTCTAAGATAAGAAAAATATCTAATATAATTTAAAGTAATATTTATCTTATTTTAAGTTGTCTTTAGGACAAAACCTTGCTTAAGTACTACAGGCTTTTATTAATTCAATCTTTCCAAATATGTGGGATATTTCAGCTAGAAAGTTGTCTAAATTGTTTATTATATGCAAAATCTTCATAATTCTGATTTCTTTTGAAGTCCTAGCATGAGTTAACAAAATCGAGGGCTTTAAATTATGATTGTAGATTATTTTAACAATCTCAAAAAAAATTTTTACTGTTTGGTCAAACTTCTTACTTAATATGAGTTGAACCAACACGGTTCTTAAGGTTTTTTTTTTTTTTCTTAATAATTGCGTGTTCAATCTACCTTAATTTCTAAAAACGATTGTTAACTTAATGGAATTGTGTTGGGACAACAATTGTTTGAAACCCCTTTTTACAGTGCATGTATAATATTGATGCTTTTTCAGGACTTGCCCCTTCTTTCTGGACTTCCATTGTAAGTGCATTGATACCGATGAAGTGTTGAAATTGTTTGCCAAATTGATCGCCAAAAAGCTCAACTTGAATTGAATCTGGAACGTTCCAAAATGCATCAGTCAGTATAAGCGGGTGAACATTTCCAGATGTGAGTCTGCACACTGTGTACATGTAGTGACCACGCAGGTGTACATGTAACTCTCTGTATCCACTGTAGAAAGAACACGGCGAGTTCTCTTTCGTTTAAGGTGCCATTCACCTCTTTGGGTGACTGTTTGTTTGGTGTCGATGTGGTGATGAATTGTTGGGTTGTCTGTGTAGACTTTGACACGGGGGTCAGTGATTGTTTTTAATATAATATGAAAAAGGCTGAATGAATGTAACTGTTAAACACATGCTTTTAATGAATCCATTTTTAAAGTGTTCTAATGTTAACGGGGTGCTCTCCAACTGACGAGCGAGCTTGCTTGCTTGCTTGCTTTCTCATTTCCCTTGCTCTTCTGTGTTTTCTGATGTTCACGTGTTTTGCTGTCCCATTTTTTCTAGTACTCTTTGCTCTACATCTACTGAGGCTGTGCCTCGTACAATCAGTCTCCAGCTACTCTTACCCGTTTGTTTTACATCGGTAGTTCATTCACATCATTTTTCTACCCTCAGACGACTGCTGTTTTTCTCTTTCTCAATCTTTCGTTCTCTGTTACCATGGCGATAGTCTTGCCATTATGCATTCTCTCATGCTTTTTTCTCAGACATGCAGTGAAACACACACACACACACTCACATTCACAATGCAACCAGGGAATAATAGCTTGAGTTTTTCAGGGCACACACTTTCTTTCTCACACACACGTACACACACACACACACACACACAAATAGGTCTATACATGCAAGCATACACACAGAAACGCATGTTTATCATTATCCAGTGTTACTAATGTGTATATCTATGATGCCTAAACATATTCTATTGACACTTAATGGAAAAATAAAAGAGGCCAATGGAGGAATGTGATTAAATTGATATGATCTCTGTATGCCCACTTAGATTATAGTTGTTGTTTTTTTTTTCTTTTTTTTCTAGTGCTTTTTCTTGCTCTTTCTGTCTCTTTGTATTTAACACACACACACACACACACACACACACACACACACACACACATGAACTGACAGGCTTACAGTAAACTAACAGCACATGACTGCAGCATTGAGATATTTTGAATTTTAAAGGCACTTTATTATTATTTTTTTTTACATTTCCAGCAAAAATGAAAGAATAATCACAAAAAAACGTTGTAAACATCTTGTCATAAGACCTTTAAGGAAAACACCTGTGTGAAGAGTTTTTCCTCGAAACAGACAGCGGCATCATCAGAGTGTGTTGTAGTTATGTGCGCATTAAAAATAAAATGTAAAAGTTACCAAGCGATATATGAGGCAAGTGTTTACAGAAACAATTAATTGGATGAAGATTCTAATTAATAATTGGAAATATTTCATGCATTCATATTCATGACAAAAACAAAATCAGTTAGAAACAAAAACCCAACAAATGTGATTAAAGATCCATTCTACTTGGATCATAATGATAAATCTGACTGAATTTCTGAAGCTTTGTGGGGGAGAAAAGGAAAAAGGTCAGACACCATGAGCTTTCTTTTTCCCAGAACTGGTGGTTTATGATATAAAGCAGTTCTTCTCAAACTTTTTTCACCAAGTACCACCTCAGAAAAAAATAGTCTCTCCACGTACCACCATAATGACTGGTATTGAAATACAGTACATAGTAGGCCCAATTAAGCGGCTACAGCTCTGCACAGTTCACAAACGTGGCAGATAAATTCTTCTTATTATGAATATTTATTATTGTCAGCCACTTTAAACATAATAAATAGTTTGAGCAATAACAAACTTACTGTTAAAAAAAAATAATAAAATGTCAACGTTTAAATTAAAATGCGATTTTGAAAGTTAATTAAAAATGGCTCTGCTCTTTAAGTACAAGAAAACTGCTGTACTTAAATGTAAAGTATTATCATAAATAATAATACTGGACATCCCAGGTAGGTCCCACGTGGGCCAGCCCAGATTATTATAAAGAAATCTATTCATCAAAACCTGCAAATGTTTCTTGGACCTCATAAACAGGTTATACCGTATGTCATAATATTATATAACTCTGTCTGATCAATTTTGAAATTCATGTTGCATGTATGTATGACTTATTTGTATATCTTGGAAATCTATACGGTAACATTTATTTTAAATATATGAATTGGATTTACATATTTAAATTAGAAATTAGATCTGCTTACTGCTCGTTAGAGTAGGCTTTGTGTGTCCGAGAAGCAAGTGATTAAACTATACCTGTCAACATTTGGATATAAAAAAACAAGATACGCCCCCAACCATGGTTACAAGTATGGGGAGGAAAATAACCTCAAATGATAGAATACATAACAAACATTAGAAAGATGAAATGAAAATAAGAAGTTTAACCTAATAAAATCAATTTCCTGATCACATCGTTGTTATCGTAAGCGTCAAAGGGTCAAAAGTGTGTTAATTTTTTTTACTTGAATTATTCAGCGATTCCTCCGCGTCCCACTAGAAGGAAGCCTGCGTACCACTTGTGGTACATGTACCACAGTTTGTTTGAGAACCACTGATATGAAGCATGGAGCAAGGCAGAGATATGACTTAGCAAGAAATGTAGATCAAAATGTTTGCACACAAGACAAAAACATACAGCAACCGGTTCACACATAACATACATTTTTCACACTTTTTTTTTACACATTTAGATGTCTTGCTCCATGTCTTGCTGCAGTTGGATACTATTACACTTCCTGTAATAGCTTCATATAGCTTCCTGAAAGCTATATGAACAGATTTTGGGTGAGCTATTACATTAAGAAATGGTGTACATTAATGAAACACAATGTGTTTTATAGTGTACATTAGAATATAACTTTAATATTCTAATAACATTTGTACAATAATACAAGACATGGAATAAAACAGAAACTTGCACACTAATGATAAGCATATTACAATGATTCCTTAAGAATTATTTGAGAAAATCTCTGCTGAAATTTCTGCATATCACAGCAGTAAATAACATTTTAAATTCCTTTTTAATCAATTCCTTTTGATTGTAATACTATTTTTCTATATATATATATATATATATATATATATATATATATATTTTTTTTTTTTTTTTTTTTTTTTTTTTTTTTTTTTACTGTATTTTTTTTAAGTAAAGGCTGCTTTGAGGAGCATAATAGATTTAAGAGATTGGTAACACTTTATTTTGATGGTCCATTTGAGTATTAGTAGACTGTCTGCTTAATATTTCTTGATTCTGCTCCTTCAACAGACATTTAACTGACTATATTAAACATGTCAACTTCCACTAACCCTAACCCCTACCTAACAGTCTACTTAATATCTAATGACAATTAGTTGGCATGTAGATGCTATGTAACATAAATTCAACAAACAGACCATCAAAATAAAGTGTGACCAAGAGATCTTAATTATTCCAAACGTGTAGTTTAACTAATGATTCATATAATATTCATCTTGCATCAGTAACCAATCAAGTGTTTCTGAAAAGGGGCATCATCAAACTTATATCAAAAACTGCCAAACATAAAATCCATTGTCTCAATGCCTCAACAATAATCATATACTGTATACACTGACTGGGCACTTTATTATACTGTCCAACTGCTTATTAATGCAAATTTCTTATCAGCCAATCACATGGCAGCAACTCAGTGCATTTAGGCATGTAGCTGAGAGGAAGGTGACAGTAACTCAAAAAACATGACAATGAGTTCACGGTACTTAAATGGCCTCCACAGTCACCAGAACTCAATCCAGTAGAGCATTTTTGGGATATGGTGGAATGGGAGATTCAAATCATGAATGTGCAACCGACAAATTTGCAGCAACTGAGTGATGCTATCATGTCAATATGGACTGAAACCTCAGAGGAATATTTCCAGTACGTTGTTGAATCTATATGAAGGATCAAGGCAGTTCTAAAGGCAAAAGCGGGTCCAACTTGAAACTAAGAAGGTGTACCTAATAAAGTGGCCAGTGAGTGTAAGATCTTTAAGTAGCTTACAAATGTCAAATTTAGCTTGATTAAAGTAATAATAAAAGCTAAATGTTGCCTGTTAATTGTGCAAACTGTGACTGCAGTAAGCACAACCATTTAGAATTAAAGGGAAGGTTCAACCAAATTTTTAAAATGTCTTAAAGATTTGAATCAAACTGGTTTGGAACAAGTGGGAGGATGAGTAAATGATGACAGAATTTTCATGTTCGGATAAACTGTTGCTTTTATCTCACTTTGAACACTTTTACTGGCTGCGTCTGAAATCACCCACTACTCAGTAGGTACTACATTTGATTTTTTGGAAAGTATGTTCTATACCAGGGGTGTCCATACTCAGTCCTGGGCCAGTGTTCTGCAAAGTTTAGTTCCAACCCCAATCAGACACACCTGGACTAGCTAATGAAGCTCTGATAGGCTTACTAGAAACATCCTTGCTGCTGTGTTGAGGCAAGTTGGAGCTAAATCTGCAGGACACCGGCCCTCCAAGAGCAAGTTTGGACACCCCTGTTCTATACAGTATGAATGTGGGTAGTATGACTGGAACTCGGATGTATTACATCTGCCATTTTGTCATAATCACATGACCTACCCACGTTAATTGTGTCGCTTCACTTGTTTTCATGAATTCTCTGGCGAAGGATTATGGGATAGTGTAGCATTCATCGGATGCACACTTCAGAATCTTGCCTAAAGTAATAGGTCGTCCGGGTACTTCTAGTATAGTTTGATGCAATTTCAGATGCAGCCACTGTGATTGTACATCTTCTTTACACGTTGATCCTAGCACAAAGGAAAGGAGCAAAGAAGAAGTCAAATGCAAATTTAATGGCTTTAAGCATGCTCTTCCTCCAGTTGCGCTCAATTTTGACCTGTCGTCCCTCAGGCACCAGATTCGAGCTGCAGTTCAGGCAGTGTATGGCTTTCAGTTCAAACGCAGGTAGTTTGCTACCCAATTTTCCCTCCAGTTTTGTGCTGAACTCCACCATGCTGCCTGGGTTAAGATTCAGCAGCACTTGTCTGAATTCATGACTTGCCATTAAGAGAATGTCACCTGCTGGATTGTCCACTTTTGTGACACCATCCACCGGCATGCCAACCGTCACCTCGAAACGGTAACTGTCAAAACGTTTAACGTGGCATTGGTGTGTAGCATAAGCTTTTATCCGACATAACTCTTCCTCTTCCTGCCTTAGGATCAGTATTGTTGTGTTGACAGTTCCTGTGGTGACTTGAGTAACATTCACGATCGGAAATGAATTGTTTTGTGGTTCACACTTCGGATAAACCTCACCGTAGAGACACCGCAACCAGTCGCCCATGAACACCGGTAGCATGTTTATAACAGACTGAGCTCCATTTTCCTTCTCTGCTACACGAACATAACGGAATATTCCTGTCCATGTGACACGATGGCCTTCCAGATGGCTGCAGGAGAGCTGCGTTTGAGCCATTCCTCGTTCTTTCCAGGCTTGCGGGCCGCACAGTGTGCCATATTCCTCCCAGGTGAGTGTGGAGTTATAAACCTTGAGGCCTTCAGCATTATAAACATAGACGCCGCAGAGTAAAATCACTGTAGTGATGCACAGGAGGATCAGTTTGACTGGACCTCGGTGGGTGATGGAGCGGAAGACATTCAGAATTGAGAGGCTAAATCGAGTCCAGAGTCGCAGTGTCACAGGGACGGCGCACACTGCCAGGGTCACCAGCATCTTAGTTAACTCTAACTCCAGGAACCACTTAATCAGCTGAATCAGCAGCAAAGCTATCAGACCCATGATTAACACTGGTAGGGCGAACAGGAAGAGGAAGTAGGCAACACAAGTACGGATCAGGCCGATGGTGGTGGAGTTCCGAAGCAGAACCACAGAGAACTCGCACCAGACAAAGCAGACCAAGTACGGCACCAGGAAACAGTACGTCCCTCTGAAGCCCCTCATGCGCGCCATACTATGAACAGCAAAAAAAGAGGTAGGTTTGATCATGATATTTGATATTGATACATCAGTTTCAAAATATATAATCCAAACTTGGTCCTGGAGGGCGATGTTCTGCAGATTTTAGCTCCAACTTGCCCCAACACACCTCCAGTTATATTTCTAGAAAGCCTAGTAAGAGCTTAATTAGGTTGCCAAGGTGTGTCTGATTGGGGTTGGAACTAAACTTTGCAGGACACTGGCCCTTCAGGAACAGGTTTGGACACCCCTGCTTTAGGCTGATCTACAACTAAGCTTTAATCAAACATAAGATTTATTTATAAAATGTCTGAAACTACAAAAAATCCCATTAACTTTGTTTGAGGCAGTCAAAACTTTTAAACAGTAAATCACAATTAACACCCAATTAAAGGTCTTCAGGCTTTCATCTAATGTATATAACTAGCACCTAGAATCTCAAAATGCTAATTCATGCAAGAAACATGCAAATTCATGTTAAACTGACAGCAACATGCTAGTTCTTGCTAGTTTATGGCAAAAACATGCAGCTCTATGCTGAAAACAAGTTAATTCATGTAATGAACTTGGCCATTCTTGCTAACAGCATGCTAATTCTTGCTTGAAACACTCTAGATACATTGTAATTTATACTACAAACATGCTAGTATCAACACATGCTAATTCATATTAGTTGTTATAATGATCTACTACATCAATTCCATGTTTTTATTTTGGCAAAACTTGATACACATTTTTTAGTATTGACCTTATTCTTCACGTAAGAGCAGGCAAAACCATTGGAAACTTAATGGCTCGAGACTTCTGGTCTCGTTCACTATAACTAGCACCAAAAATCTATCAAAATGCTAATCCATGCAAGAAACATGATAATTCATGTTATAAAACTGATAGCAACATGCTAGTTCTTGCAAGTTCATGGCAAAAACGTGCAGCTCTATGCTCAAAACAAGTTAATTAATGTAATGAACATGGTCATTCTTGCTAACAGCATGGGAATCTTTAGTACCAACATGCTAATTCTTGCTTGAAACACACTAGATACACGGTAATTCTTACTAGAAACATGCTAGTATCAACACATGCTAATTCATATTAGTTGTAATAATGATCTACTCCATCAATTCCATCTTTTTATTTTGGCAAAACTTGATACACATTTTTTAGTATTGACCTTTTTCTTCACGTAAGAGAAGGCAAAACCATTGGAAACTTATTGGCTCAAGACTTCTGGTCTCATTCACTATAACTAGCACCAAGAATCTATCAAAATGCTAATCCATGCAAGAAACATGCTAATTCTTGCTAGTTCATGGCAAAAACATGCAGCTCTATGCTCAAACAAGTTAATTAATGTAATGAACATGGTCATTCTTGCCAACAGCATAGGAATCTTTAGTACCAACATGCTAATTCTTGCTTCAAACACACTAAATACACAGTAATTCATACTAGAAACGTGCTAGTACACTCTCAGAAAAAAAGGTACAAAATTGTACCTTTTAGGGTACAAATGGCCCGTCACTGGGGTGGTACCCTTAAGGGTACAAATTTGTACCTCTATTTAAAGGTACAAAATTGTACCTTCTACATTTGTACCCTTTAAGGGACAATTTTGTACCCCCACCGAAGGTACAAAAATGTACCTTTTTATATTATATAGCATTTTCAGGGTACTGACCCAGGCATTTTGATCTTTTGGTGACTGCATGCACAAATAAATAAATAAAATATTTTGGTTCACAGATGTCCATTTTTATTTATTAATGTAGAAATATTTCATTACAACTCACAACTGAATGTGTTAAGAAATAAAATTACACAGCAAGTATAAAGCAGACATGTAAAACAGTAAAAAGAACAATTTAGATAACAAATAAAAACTGTTCACTCACTGTACAGTATATAATCTACCCTTAATACAAAGACCACAAGAATACTGTTTAAGATTTATGAACACATTACACAGGCTACATCAAGTACTTCACTTTATAAAGTCCAGAGTATTTGTCTTGAGTCAGAATACTCGGTCATAATAAATAATTTGTCATCAACATTTTCTCTGTATTTCAGAATGAAGGCAAACTTTCTCTATAAATTGCTTCAACAGTGCAGAAAACCAAAAAACATCAGTAGCCTCTTCCTCAACATCAGTAGATTACTCCTCATCATCCTCAAGTGGAGTTGTAATTTGTTGTAACACAATTTGTGTTTATGCTTTTGATAAACATGACATGTAAAGCACTCATAACTGGAAAATGTTCTTTGATAGTCATTAGGACCACAAGTTATTTAAAATTTTGCTTTATGCATGAATGAGAGCAGTGTGCTGGATTAACTTGATTGTGATTATCCCAAGAGCATGTAGAGAAACAAAAAACAAGGTTGATCACTCTGGTAACTGGAGTAGATCGAGGCTTGTTGCTGTCCACCGTTCATTCAAAACATTCCACTGCAGAAACATCAATGTGATCTTCTAATAAGATGGATATGTCAAAAATGTATATTCGTCCACATCATTAGCCCGGCCAATCGCAATCCCATCAACTCTGAAGACTGCCGTGACTCGTCTTGTTAACACAGTTGTCCAGTCGGTGGCCTCCTCCTGTACTTGAACTGTTGGATGTGGTGAAGATGGTTCACTGTAAATGACAAAGCAATGATTACATTAATATCAGTCACTCTATAACTGATGAAGAGAAAATCAACATGCATAGAAAGTAAAATAATTAATATTCACTGATTAAAAAAAAAAAAAAAGTATCACAGATTAAAAGACTAATATAAATTTCATTCATTCATTCAATTTCTTTTTGGCTTAGTCCCTTTATTAATCTGGGGTTGCCACAGTGGAATGAACCACCAACTTATCCAGCATATGTTTTATGCAGCAGATGCCCTTCCAGCTGCAACCCAGTATTACGAAATATCCAGACACACTTATTCACACACACATTTATAAACTACAGACAAATAAGCTTACCAAATTCAGCTATAGCGCATGTCTTTGGACTTGTGGGGAAACCGGAGCACTTGAAGGAAACCCTCACGAACACTGGAAGAATATGAAAACTCCTCACACAAATGTCAACTGACCCAGCCGAGGCTCGAACCAGCGACCTTCTTGCTGTAAGGTGACAGCACTACCCACTGCGTCATCCTAATATGAAGAATATCAAGCATTATAAAATGCATTTATCACAGCATATACTGAACAGAAAACAACATACGCACCGGAGCACAACGAAATGTTGAAGTGTCTCGCTTAACAAGGCTGGCAACATGAGAAGTGCTGCTGTAAAATCAATTTCTGGAACATAAGATGTGGCATACAAACAAATATGAAAAAATCCATACAAAGCTAGAATTTAATAATATTAATCAAGTGGAGAAAGTTTAGAAAGAGTACCTTAGAGTCAGATCCATAGCATTCTTCAGTTGATCTCTCATCTTTCGATGAAAACCTAGAAAATAATTTTAAACACGTGGGTGTACATTTATTGTTGTTTGTAAGTAAAAACCTACAAATTTAAAATAGTATGTAAGCCATTAAAACCATGGTATATAGATAATGAGAGATACTTACATCTTGTAACTGAGCCATGCTTTCATATGACATGCCTTCATTGGTCTGATGCTGTTAGCCTGCATTATGTTGTTCAATCTTGTCCTGAAATACAATTGGAAACTTCATAAACTTCTGGAAAGCAATAAGATAAAGCAATAACTATTTATTTATTTTGAGATATTAATAAAATAGGTAAAATAGCTCAAGGTAAGTTACCAGTTTCAGAACAGATAAGACAAATTATTACATTAAAGAACAAAGTATAACTTAAAACGTCGATTTATACAACATGGTATGTTAATAATTCTACATTAACATAAGTATAACGTTAAACGATAGCACCAATTCTGGACATGAGAGTTTGTGGACACTCCTCAACATTAATATAACTTAGACACTGAAACGAAGATATGTACAAGCATACACACGCCACGTTTGTAACTAGCCACGTTTACATAATCAGTCGCTTTGCCGGTGACAAAATTGTGATTTTGCTTCACAAAATGGCGGTGTATATAACTGTCTAAAATTACATTTCCTCGGTCAACCGTGGCTAGAAAATGGCCTCAAAATATAAAACATTATCGATAATTACAAATTTCCAGTATTAATAACAAAAGGTTTTATATCAAGGTATATGAAGACTTTAGTCGCGCCAGCTCCGGGCCACACCGCACATTACTCACGGCCCGATTCCGGTGCACGGTTACGGCAGCGTCGGCTCGCTTCTGCCGCCGCATCTGGCCCGAGTAACGATACAGCAGACGGACTCGGGCAGGCGAGAATCTAGCCGCAACTGGCCCGAGTGTATTTTCCTATCTTGGTTGGGATTATATTCCGCCGTGGCAACACTTATTAATAAAGCAGTAACGTAACGTAAGATATAAGGCGCGAATACGTAACGTAGGCGATAAAGGGAGCTTTTACACCGAGAAAACTAACAGCATATAACACTCACCTTCTATAACGTTATGTCCCTCGGTGACTTCGATATCACATTGTATTAACTTCTTTAATAAGCTGCAGACATCTTAGCAAACTCCATCATGCAGGCCAGCCCGGAGCACTTAAAGCGGGGGAAAGCCGAGACCCGAGAGTCAGACAAAATCAACAGAACACGGCTTCACATGTAAAAATGAGACTGAAAATACATATTTAATACATTCTTACCTGAAAAATGTGGACTCCAAAATAGACTTTTCTTTGAAAAGCGTGAAGTTCTGTGTAATCAGCCAGCATACTCGACCGACCGCCTCAGTAACAAACACTACTATAACGTCTCAACAAGCCAAATTCTTAAAGAGACAGCAACATCACCACCTGTATGAAGATGCTGTCACTCTGCATGGTTCTTATTCTACATCCTGTATACTATAGGGTCTTAAACAGTTAGCAAAGACCAGTATTTACGTTTTTTATGATTAAAATTACATTCAATTATAAATTAAATTATTAACGATTTTGAGATTTTTTTTATTTAAATACATGAAAAAAATTTATTATTAAAATATCTAATTCAATCCATTTATTTATTATATTTATAAATTATGTATTTTAGTATTAATGTTCAGTATTAATGCATTTAAATTAGTGTCATATAGTGTCTTGATCTTATCATGAGCTGAGGGTAGAATTTTGTTCCTATAGGGAAACAAAATATATAATTGTACCTTTAAAGGTGCCAAATTGGTCCTTTACGGTACAATTTTGTATCCAAATGTGCTATAAAAGGTACAAAAATGTACCTTTTAAACCTAAATCTGGACATTTGTACCTTTATAGCCCATTTAAGTACAAAATTGTACCCTAAGGACCAATATGGGACCTTTAAAGGTACAATTTTATATTTTGTTCCCTCTAGGAACAAAATTGTACCTTCACTGTACCTTTTTTTCTGAGAGTGTATCAGCACATGCTAATTCATATTAGTTGTTATAATGATCTACTACATCAGTGCCATGTTTTTATTTTTGGCTAAACTTAATACACATTTTTTAGTATTGACCTTTTTCTTCAAGTAAGAGCAGGCAAAACCATTGGAAACTTATTGGCTCAAGACTGGTTTCTGGTCTCATTCACTATAACTACCACCTAGAATCTATCAAAATGCTAATTCATACAAGAAACATGCTTATTCATGTTATAAAACTGATAGCAACATGCTAGTTCTTGCAAGTTCATGGCAAAAACGTGCAGCTCTATGCTCAAAACAAGTTAATTAATGTAATGAACATGGTCATTCTTGCTAACAGCATGGGAATCTTTAGTACCAACATGCTAATTCTTGCTTGAAACACACTAGATACACGGTAATTCTTACTAGAAACATGCTAGTATCAACACATGCTAATTCATATTAGTTGTAATAATGATCTACTCCATCAATTCCATCTTTTTATTTTGGCAAAACTTGATACACATTTTTTAGTATTGACCTTTTTCTTCACGTAAGAGAAGGCAAAACCATTGGAAACTTATTGGCTCAAGACTTCTGGTCTCATTCACTATAACTAGCACCAAGAATCTATCAAAATGCTAATCCATGCAAGAAACATGCTAATTCTTGCTAGTTCATGGCAAAAACATGCAGCTCTATGCTCAAACAAGTTAATTAATGTAATGAACATGGTCATTCTTGCCAACAGCATAGGAATCTTTAGTACCAACATGCTAATTCTTGCTTCAAACACACTAAATACACAGTAATTCATACTAGAAACGTGCTAGTATCAGCACATGCTAATTCATATTAGTTGTTATAATGATCTACTACATCAGTGCCATGTTTTTATTTTTGGCAAAACTTAATACACATTTTTTAGTATTGACCTTTTTCTTCAAGTAAGAGCAGGCAAAACCATTGGAAACTTATTGGCTCAAGACTGGTTTCTGGTCTCATTCACTATAACTACCACCTAGAATCTATTAAAATGCTAATTCATACAAGAAACATGCTTATTCATGTTATAAAACTGATAGCAACATGCTAATTCTTGCTAGTTCATGGCAAAGACATGCAGATCCATGCTCAAAACAAGTTAATTCATGTAATGAACATGGTCATTCTTGCTAACAACATGGGAATCTTTAATACTAACATGCTAATTCTTGCTTGAAACACTCTAGATACACGGTAATTCATACTAGAATCATGTTGATATCAACACATGCTGATTCATATTAGTTGTAATATTGATCTACTAGACTTCTCGTCGCATTCACTTCCATTGATTTTGAGTTATAAAAACAACTTGTTGTGCTGCTTAAATTTGTAATTATATTATTATACCAAGTAGTTTGACCGTATTCTGCCAGTCGTGACTAAAAGTAAAAGTGCTATATAACACACTGCTGTTCATTCTGATTGGTTGTGCATTCTGAGGAATGAGATTATGCCAAAATTGCAAGAAGGACTTGTCTAACCAATCAGCTGACAAGCATTCCAAGATGTAATAAATAGGCTTAAATAAGTGTATGTGAGAACCTTCACCTGAAGAACAAATAAAACAGGTAGATGTAGAGCACACAGGGCACACTGAGCTCCAACACCAATGATTCCCCCAGAGGGATGGTTGTGAAAATTTGTCCCAGCATTCTGGCCGTCACCATGTCCTTTGGCAACCTGCTGGTCAATGCACACAGAGATGAAGCCACCTCAATGAAGAGTGCCTTTCTTGCGTAGGCTGCCGCAGATGGACTCAGGCTCATGTAGCTTAATGCTGTGAAGAAAATGGCCACGGTGGACAGTTCTGAACATGGGATCCAGCCTTTATCTGCAACTGGGAACGTGAAGATCACAAAGAACACCGATATCATGAAGTAGAGGTACTGCTCCAGGTTGTTCCAGCCAAAGTTGTTCTCCGCTTGCTCTACATCCAGGCTGGGCTCAAAGTGTGTGAGGAGAGCGGTAAAGGCACGGAAGTTCTCCCAACCTTTGCTGCTCTGGAAGACTCTCAGTGTGCAGATGGCCATGGAAATAAAGGACAGGTAGAAGATGAGGAGCGGGATGGCGAAGGCAAACAAATCGATGGTGAGATTGGAGATGATGAAGAAGAAGATAAGGGCATTGACATGTTGTGTCGGGATAATAGTGCTCAGCCACTGGACACCAGCACGAGACGCCCAGTCAATTAAATGTTCCTTCATATCAATAATGGCATGAAGAGGATATTGCAGACCCTAAAGTGAAAGAATGAACATTTAAATCTGTGTGTGATGTGTTTGAAGTAAAACTTCAATAAACTAATGATGATTGTGAATATCAGTCACTTCTGCATCAAGTTTGTTTATTAGTTTTTCACCAAAAAGTGAGCTTTTATGTCCAGGGCTCTCCTCATGGCATCGCTGCGTCTGGTAGTCAGCATCAACCCACTGCTCCTCATTCCCCAGCTAGACTTTCGTTGGCGCTTATGAGTAACAGGAGCCATTTCGTTTTTTTCCTGTTTGAAAATAGCAGAACGTTTAAGTCTTGCAGCTCATTTGAAACCATTACACTCTTTTTTTAAGATTTTAATTTGATTTATAACCAAGGACAGTGATACCGAGTTCAGACTGCACGATTTTCAGAGTAGTTGCATAACAGATGTTTTCACCCTGCATGACTATCTAGGGTAGTATTCCAATGCTGTTGTATTCACACTGCCAACAACTTTGTCTCAGTCTGCACACTACGTCCCACAACAAACTATTAGCATTTAGCATTTTGTCTCCTTACTTTTTTCTTTTTCAACCCGTTTGTAGTATTGCTCAGATGACAAGTCAAACAGACACAGTTGCTCCTGTCTAAGATCCACTAGATATTATTTTGTCCAAATAGGCCCCAAAAAGCCTTTTTCTGAACCGAAGCCATGCTTTTTGATATTGTGGTCTATACCTTCATTACTCCTCTCTCAATTTTACACTGGCCTGGATGCTGCTCTCTCATTGGCTGCAGGTAATCGCTGATGTTATTTTCAATCAGAACACATTTCACACGGCATGATTTTGAATTGTGGACAGCTCCGGATATTTTGCAAGAATTTACAATTCTCTCAGATCGCATCTTTGATAGTTCACACTGTGTGATTGTTACTCGCGTGAACGAGCACTAATTTTTCTGTGATTTCAGGCATTTGTTGTGATTTCTCAAAACCCGTCGAAGTCAAAAAGTCAAAATCGGAGCTAAATCATGCAGTCTCAATTCGGCATAAGCTATTATTTGGCACCTGCTTTTAGCCAATTAAATTACACAGAAACTTAGGGTTAACACAAAAATAAAAATACTGTCAAATGACTCTGAGTTGCTTTGACTTCCATTATGTTCAAATACAGATTTTTTAAGATAAAAAGGACAGATAGCCACACAAGATAACGCAAGAGATAGGATTAAAACATACAATTTTGAATTACAAAACCCTTTTTTCTCAAGTAAAACATACTCCAATAATCTTCATTTTAAGACTTTGAATGTTTTTTTTTTTTTTTACAGTGTAGCACTCACCTTATCAAATCTGGCTACATCGCTTTTATGTAATATCCCCTCCTCTTCATTTGCATATACACCAGAGGGGCTTAGTGTGGGAGTACGGGAAATGCCTTCTGTGAACTTTTTTGTCATCTCCACAAAATCTTCCACATCCACATATTTAGAGCTAGCTGTAAAAAGAAATGATTGGCTGTTATGAGTATCTGTGCATTCACACTAACATCATTGAGAGTATCATTCTATAGTGATCTGAAACAAAGTTTATAGGAAAACTTTCTTTGGACTTTTGATTGGTAGCAGCCTGACCACATAATAGGTCATTACTACCATACATTTCATAAAAAATACCAAAAAAGTCTTGACGCCTATCCAAGCTTTAGGAAAAACAATTAATAACTTGACTTCTAGTTGATGATTTGGTATCAGATGTGGCTTATATGAAAGTCAATGGCCTCTAGATTATGTGTATTTCACGAAATAAAATATGACGATGCCTTGATTTTAATTATTTAATTAGGACAGTAAGGTCTGACTTTGCTGAGACAAATGTTTTGTCACTTAACAGAAATAATGCACAGTATAGAATATACAGTCATGGTGCAGTGGTAACAGAATTATTATTGTGGATGACTCCCATGATGAAATTATTAATAAAGTCATCTGGAATGGCGAAGAGCATTCTTGCAGGACACGCAGAGTTCATCAAGATTCTCTGGATTCATCTTCAAGGCCTCCTCCTCCATCTTACCCTAGACATGCTCAATAATGTTCATTTCTGGTGACTGGGCAGCCCAATCCTGGAGCACCTTTACCTTCTTTGCTTTCAGGAACTTTGATGTGGAGGCTGAAGTATGAGAAGGAGTGTTATCCTGCTTAAGAATTTTCCCTCTCCGGTGGTTTGTAATGTAATGGTCAGCACAAATGTCTTGATACCTCAGGCTGCTGAAGTTGCCATCCACTCTGCAGATCTCTCACATGCCCACAAACTTAATGTAACCCCAAACCATGATTTTTCCTTCACCAACCTTGACTGAAAATCTGTGAGAATCTTGGGTCCATGTGGGTTCCAATAGGTCTTCTGCAGTATTGGGGATGATTGGGATGCAGTTCAACACGATTCATCTGGAAAAAATCTACCTTCTCCCACTTTTCCTTATGATCATCTAGAAGTCAAATTATTATCTGTTGCTCTTACAACTGGGATCGACGACAAGACTTTTTAGGTAGTGTAGGTATCACATCTTGATGACGCAATATAAATCCTAACCCCAAACTTAGAACTATTCAAATGTATTGCTGTAGTACAATCGGTAGGATAAAATGTCAGGAAATTTGTTCACATTGAAAACGAATGGCTTCCAACATATTTTATCTTCAAAATTAAAAAAAAAAAAGTTCAAAAGAGTAACAGGATCAAGTTGAACATAAGCTTAAAAACAGTCTTTTTTTATTATCTGTGGATGATAACAGAAAAAAATATTTGCTTGTACAAAATTTTGTACACTTACATTCATTGGACACCATTGTCTCCAGGATTTTCCTCTGAGTTTGAATGCTGGGCGCTACACCACATACAGAAGCTTCACCTGTTAGGATGATGTGATTAATACTAAGAAACTAAATTGATTTCTTAATCAGAGGTACAACACCATATACTGTATTACTGAATTCAACATTTGGTCTTTCGAAGTACTGGGTTGCGGCTGGAAGGGCATCTGCTGCATAAAACGTATGTCGGAATAGTTGGCGGTTCATTCGGCTGTGGTTACCCTTAATAAATGCAACATAGGCTCATTCTGAAAACGTAGCTCTATATACGTTTTTGGAGATCGTGATTTATGTATCAAGAGTTACATAAGACTGCATTTCATTTTTAAAATGAACGCTAAAGGGCAGTATGACGCAATTCCTTTTCCCGCTTACCAACTCACTGCTTACCTCCGTATGAACTGCTTTCCAACAGTTACCAGATTGTCCCATAAACTCGCCCTATACGACGGCAGACTTAAGACGCAGAGAGGAGTTGACCATGACGACGGTGTTCGAGTCCGGAAAGCAGGTAAAACAAAAACAGAATCCAAAAAATAAAATAGACAAGTAAATAACTGAGTGAGAATGTGTTAAAATCTGAAAACGTCTTTTTTGGAATGCTTTTGAAAACTGTTGGTTGGGTTTAGGGAAGTGGGTGAGCGGATCAATCAATACAATTGGTTGGGTTTAGTGAAAGAGTGGAATGGGTCAGTCGATCAGTTATTCAATCAGTCAACAGCAGCCTCCGTTGTGTTTTCGTGAGAACAGCAGGTGTGAGAAAATTGAGAGCTCAAAAAGCGTACACAGTGACCTCTGGTGGATTTGCGAAAAAATAACAAACAGCAAAAAACGTACCTCCTCTGAAATATTTTGCGGGCTCCAGAAATGTATATAGAGGTACGTTTTCAGAATGAGCCTGAGTTGGATAAATAAGAGACTAAGCCAAAGGAAAATTAATAAATGAATGAACATTTGGTCAGAAATGTCATTTTAAAAATACTGCTAGTAAAGGGGTCATAATATGCCAGCTTAACATATTTGATCTATTACTCATACACCATGCTGTTTTCATATATGTTTCTTTAAATGCAAATGAGCTGCCAGTCTCAGCCCCAGCGAGAATTATTTAAATTTAATAACAAGATATTTTAGCAATAGTAGTGCTTTGGAGTAAACTTTGTTCTTTGTAAATGCAGATTTTCATGCTCTAACATCAAGATTACACAATACAGGAAGTTGAAAGCAAAATAGCATTTTTATTTTAAATAAAAGAAAGAAATGGATTACCTGGTACAGTATTGACCTGGCTGACATTCTCCAGCATCTCAGACATGGCTACTTTCTTCTTTCTGTCGGGATTGAGTTTCCAGTACATGGTCATGGCTGCTCTCCTCACTGCCTGCTCAAACTTACTCTCTGAAGACAGACATCTCACCTCCTGTGCGTTCTCTGCTGTAATACCTATCAAAAGAGAACGAGAAAACGCATACATTTGTGATTATGACCAACAATGTATCAATTACAACAAATCCTAAGATTACACTGTCCGTACTGAAACCCGGTGTAGCTAAGACATCCTCAGATTTCCCCTTACCTTTCTTTTGCATCCAGCATTTCTGAAGTAATTTAGCTGCATCCCTTCGGCCTTGTTTTGCAGCCTTCATCAACCATTCGACAGCTGTGAGGTTATTTTTCTCTGCGTCTTTTTCTTCTGCCAGTTTAAGGTAGTATCTACCGAGCTAAAGCACACAGATTATACATTAACAACATAATTTAAAACCATTTTAATGTAGTATTTACCTAGTTAAAGCAAACAGATATCAGTGGATCTCAAACTTTTTTCGTCAAGTTCCACCTCAGAAAAGATTTGTCTCTGCAAGTACCACCATAATGAGCAGTATTGAAATTCAGTAGCATAGTAGGCCCAGTAAAGACGCTACAGATCTGCACAATTAAAAAACGTGGCAGATTAATTCCTATTATTAAGAATGTTTATTATTATCAGACACTTTATACATTATAAATACTTTGAACTTTAACACTGCACTGTACTTATATGTAAAAAAAAAAAAAAAAAAAAACAAATAAAATAAAACATCAACGTTTAAATTGAAATTTGCTTTTAAAAGTTAAAAATGGTAGGCAACTGTTCTTAAAAAGAAAATAAAAACTCCTCTACTTAAATGTAAAATAGTAGCCTATTTATCAAAACCTAGAGATGTTGCTTGGACCTCATAAATATAGGCTATGTGTTATCACATTGATATATAAATCCTTTTTGATAATTTTTAAACATATGTAGCAAGTACATACATGTGAAATATTTACCGCTTACCACTAAAAGGAAGCCCACGTACCCCTAATGGTACAGGTACCACTGTTTGAGAACCACTGGATTATATAACATACATTACAATACTTTTTTTGTTATAATTTTTGTTATTAGAAACAACTGTTTTATTTTATTTGGTGAAAATTGTGATTAAAAATTATGATAACATGTTCCAACAGAAAATGGAAAGTAGCTATGTCTGAGGTGCAAGAAAATGTCAGCCAGGTCAATACAGTACCAGGTTATTATCCAATCAACTTGTTTCTTTTATTTCAACATTTCTCAATCCTGGTCCTCACACCCCACAGATCTTCTCAGACATTTTCATACCTCTCTCATATAACACACCTGATTTAGATAACCAGTTATATATATTCATTACCAGACAAAAGTCTTGTTGTCATTTTTGATCATTTGAAAAAGTGGCAGAAGGTAGATTTTTCTGATGAATCATCTGTTTAACTGCATCCCAATCACTACAATTAATGCACAAGACCTATTGGAACCCATTGACCCAAGATTCTCCCAGAAATCAGTCAAGTTGGGTGAAGGAAAAATCATGGTTTGGGGTTACATTCAGTATGTGGGCATGCGAGAGATCTGCAGATTGGATGGCAACATCAACAGCCTGAGGTATCAAAACATTTGTGCCGCCCATTACATTAGAAACAACAGGAGAGGGCAAATTCCTCAGCAGGATAGCACTCCTTCTCATACTTCAGCCTCCACATTGAAAATTCCTGAAAGCAAAGAAGATCAAGGTGCTCCAGGCTTGGCCAACCCAGTCACCAGACATGAACATTATTGAGCATGTCTGGGAAAGAGATAAAGGAGGAGGCATTGAAGATGAATCCAAAGAATCTTGATGAGCTCTGGGAGTCCTGCAAGAATGCTTTCTTTGCCCTTCCAGATGACTTTATAAATACGTTCTTTGAATCATTGCAGAGATGTATGGATGCAGTCCTCCCAGCTCATGGGGCTCATACACAATATTAACTCTTTTTTCCACTGCACTATGACTATATATTCTATACTGTACATTATTTCTGTCTAAGCAAAGTCAGACCTTAACCTGTCCTAATTAAATAATTAAAAATCAAGGCATGGTCATATTTTATTTTGATTACATAAGCATAATCTAGAGGCTTTTGCCTTTCATATCAGCCACTTCTGATATCAAATCATCAACTAGAAGTCAAGGTATAATTTGTTGTTCTTAATACTTGGATAAGCGACAAGACTTTTGTCAGGTAGTGTATATGAGCTCTATGCATGAACGATTTTCTGTTTGACAGATCCCTAAACAGGGGCGAAGCAGTGGCGCAGTAGGTTGTGCTGTCGCCTCACAGCAAGAAGGTCGCTGGTTCGATCCTCGGCTCAGTTAGCGTTTCTGTGAGGAGTTTGCATGTTCTCCCTGCCTTCATGTGCGTTTCCTCCGGGTGCTCCGGTTTCCCCCACAGTCGAAAGACATGCGGTACAGGTGAATTGGGTAGGCTAAATTGTCCGTAGTGTATGAGAATTTGTGTGTGGATGTTTCCCAGAGATGGGTTGTGGCTGGAAGGGCATCCGCTGCGTAAAAACTTGCTGGATAAGTTGGCGGTTCATTCCGCTGTGGCGACCCCGTATTATAAAGGGACTAAGCCGACAAGAAAATGAATGAATGAGGTCCCTAAACAATGTGCATTGCTCCCTACTCCCTTGTCTCTTATATCACTCTCTACCAGAGCACAATTAAACTTAGTTTCACTTCAGAATGTTCATTCATGAATTTGCATACTGCTATTGCCTGCAGTGTCCTCTAAGAAAAGAGTGACGTCTACATAACATACTCTATAATTAAATGCAATATACAGTAAATTTACATATCACACACTAAAATGTCATTCGAATAATACATATATGCTCCGTATGCCAAACTAAAATCATGGTGGAATATCGCATGGAGTCCACTTTGCAGGGCATTTGGTTGAATTTGAGCAAGCATCTGAAGTAAAAATTTAAAAAAAGAAAGGCAAATAGAAAATATGTAGAGCAGTGGGCCGTGAGGACCGGGGTTGAGAAATGCAGTTTGATCTATGTTTTTTGTTAGAAACAACGCATTTATCTTTTATTTTTATTTATAACATGTTGCAGAATTGACTACATTACCCATCATTCCCCATGTCATTTTGATTAACAATAAGAAGTGATCCAATATCCCAGAGGCTCAAAGCTAGACTATCACGTATCCATATCTAATCTTAGCTTAAACACTAAACCCTGATTATCAAACCACACCAAGATGTTTACAGTGTGACCTTACCGACACCTTCACGGATGCAAAATCATTAACAGAAAGTCAAATATGCTGTCAAATATTTGGCTGATCCCTTCGATTTTTCTCTCATAATGCTTTATGCATTGATGTCTTCATAACTAAGCAAATGTGATTGACACAAGGTAATGGTGCTGTAGTAAAAAGAACAGTTAGGACTTATGATACAATGTATGCATTTGCAGTATGTATGCCAGCAGTCTGTATATGCAGACACGTTTGCTCTGACTGTGTGTGTATGTGTGAGAATGTGTATGAGTTATATTGAGGCCGGGCTCAGCTTCCAGACGCTGAAAATAGATACACTCATGACCATGCTAGAAAGGACATGTCAACTACTGAGACAGACACACTACAGAATTTAATCTGTACCGCAAAATACACTGTAGATTGTTTAAAATCATATAAAATTACAGACACTTGTGTACGTTATATAGGTCAAAAAGATTTACATAGCATCCAATAACATTTAATTATTCATTTTCTTTTCGGCTTAGTTTCTTTATTAATCTGCAGAATGATCCAAATTTCACAGGAGAACTTATCTAGCATATGTTATCATGCAGCGGATACCCTTCCAGCTGCAATCCATCACTGGGAAACATCCATACACACTCATTCACACACATAAACTTCGACCAATTTAGCATACCCAATACACCCAGGGGAAACCCACACGAACACGGGGAGAACAAGCAAACTCCACACAGAAATGCCAACTGACCCAGCCGAGGTTTGAACCAGCGACCTTCTTGCTGTGAGGCGACGGCACTACCCACTGCGCCACCGCGTCACCCCATTAACATTTAATACTATTAAAAATCAGTAATTCACTAAAAGTTAGCACCTGTCAGGATTTACTAAAGCCAAAATGTGAAAAAACAGCTATAAAATTATATAGATAATATTCTTTTCCCCTTGAAATAAACATTTATTGGAAGGAAAAACGAAATGTGTAGAGATTTGAAATAAATTAGAAATTCTTTCTCAACAAAATTCAGCCTTCTGTAACGGAAAAAAAAACATAAGATGGCAAAACAAAAGAGTTAGAACAAAATGACCTCTCTGGGAAATAACAGTCCACCAGAGGAAGTACCGTTCTTTACAAAAACTCAGTTATACAGTTGAAGTCAGAATTATTAGCCCCTCTGAATTATTAGCCCCAGTTTATTTTTTTACCCAATTTCTGTTTAACGGAGAGATGATTTGTTCAACACATTACTAAACATAATAGTTTTAATAACTCATTTCTAATAACTGATTTATTTTATCTTTGTCATGATGACAGTAAATAATATTTTACTAGATATTTTTCAAGACACTTCTGTACAGCTTAAAGTGACATTTAAAGGCTTAACTAGGTTAAATAGGCAGGTTAGAGTAATTAGGGAAGTTATTGTATAACACTGGTTTGTTTGATAGACTATCGAGAGAAAAAAAAAGTGTAAAAGGCCTAATAATTTTGTCCTAAACTAAACTAAAGTTTGCCTAAACTTGCATGTACTTAATTTTGTTTGTCATTGTACCAAATCCCATACTCTTATTTCTGCATACTTACTCACTAATTGATTTCCCTGTATACATTAGTGAAAATATTTCATTAAAATTGAGTGTATGTCATAGTTAAAGCTTTAGCGGGAATATCCATTGTAGATGCAAATTTCACAGAGGAATGTTTTAATTGAGTCAGTTTACTGGTGTTTGCACATTTATTTAACGCCCTCTTTGTATTTGCATTCAGCCTGATTCACAGTATGTTATCAGATAAAATGCAACATATTTTTCATAATAAACCAATTCATAAACTTTATGATCAACTTCACATTGTCATTTAATTTTAGATCATAAAAAGATTTAAAAAATTGTCAACATCGCTTTAACTTAATCCTCATGTACTCACTCGACTCTGTGCTCTAGGGTCTCCTGCTTCAGCTTTTTTCTGGAGCTCCTCAAAAGGCAGATCGTCTTCCATATCATCTAGGAAACAAATTTGCAATAAAATCAACTCTGTTTTAACACAATATTAAACTAACTGAAATCTTAAAGTTCACTCAAATATATACATTTGCAGTTAATTTAGTCACCTTTGGGCCATTCGATATATATGTGACCTACTTACCCTAAAATGTAGTGCAAAAGTATTTTGTAAATATTACTCAAAGTATGAGGAAAATGTAGCCCTTTTAAAAGTGCTCAAGAGTAGTGAGTGAAAGCTTGATGCATTTACAGTACATTCAATTTGTGCGAGTGTGTGAAAATGTAACATTCTGTAGCACACTTTAATTATTATTTAAGGCCATTTGGCAGTTTCAGTCATCATATAGCAGGCATGAATCATATTCTAATCAATGACATGGAGTCTAGACAGTCTCTGAATCACATTACTGATTATTCTACTTTAGCTAATTACCATAGACCAGGGGTAAAGAACCTTTTTTGGCCAAAGAGCCATTTCTGATTTTTTTTGGCAAATGCATTTTTTTGGAGAACCATGAGCATCACATGTTGATTAAGTGCATTTATTAAGAAAGGCTAATTTATAGAATTGTTTTCTTTTCGCCATCAGCACTCATGAATGTGGTTTGAATTTACGTGCGCAAGGTTAACATAGAAATGGAAGTTGCATAACCTTTATTGATATCCGATTCAAGTTAATCCACAGCGCTGCACATGCGCATTGAAATGTCATTTTATTTTTATTCTTATTCATTTTGCTGTAAAAAATATACAATAAAAAGGTCATTTTAATTGTATTTTCAATAGGAAACTAATTTTTAGTGACAGTTTTAATTTTTTATTGAAGGGAGACAGCTGGAGAGCCACACATTTTTGGTCAAAGAGCCACATGTGGCTCCCGAGCCATAGGTTCCCCACCCTTGCCATAGACAAAATAAATAATAAATATAGGATAATGAATAAATAATAAATAATAATAAGGATAATGAAGGAAAATAGTGGAGCAGAAGTAGATACGGCACTAAAATGTCTTCAAGTGAAAGTAAAAGTACACATTTTTAAGACTACTTAAGTGCAATTCCTGAGAAAACCTACTCAATTACAGTAACCTGAGTACTTGGAATTTATTACTTCACACCACTGGTAACATCTTATATTTTTTCATTAACAAGTACTTCAGCTGAAAATGTGGTCAGTGATAATTCAAAAAAATAAATGCAATAACTACCAGTACTTCAGAAGAAAAAATATAGAGACTAAAGCATTTTGTGGCTTGTGACAATACATTGAAGTCTTTTTAACTGAAACGATCATTCTGTGCATGAAAATGAGCATTATTTACAGCACTATTATCATACAGCCTTAGCAAATTGTCATACACGAGTTGACACTGCGTACATGTTTGTAAAGTGCTCAACATAAATGAGTACAATCCATTTTGAAAATGAATAATTTTATCCATTTCTGTGAATAGGTAATATATTTTGGTGCATTAAAACAAAATTTATTGATAATATAATATTTTAGTCACAGAACATCTTTACAAATAGAAAGATAATACATTTCAAGAGTTCGCACTTAGATAATGCATATAATAGCAGGTTTGGCATGCTGTCCCGGGAGAGAACCCTGAGCTCGGAAATATATGAGCCCAAGATTCCTGCATGCCTGGTCAATGAGCATTAGGAGTGATACGAGATCATTTATTTCTCGAGGGCCCCCCTGTTCGTTTTTTACCTATACTTTGGTTAATATGGCGGTTCTAATTAATTCACTATGTGTTAAGTGCTTGTGCCTGTTATTACAATTGGCTTATGTACAGGTTTTAGACTGCAAAACAAAGATAGGGAATGAAGTTTAGGCAGGATATTTATAGTAATTTTGGTATGATCCGATAGGCTAGCTAATGATTAGTGATAAGAATCAGCTGTAGTCGATCATATAATCTGTTACTCTTGAAATTAGTTTGTGAAACTACACTCAAATTCATGCAAAATATCATGTTTTAAAATGTTTTGTTTCTCTTCAGTTTTGTTCTTTTTGAATATTTTTATTTCATATTTTTATCTAACATATAAATTTGGGTGTATACCAATTTTGCACCGTTATCATAAGTTATTTTGTTAGATAAGCTCCAGATTTGGTTTCAGTGGCTACTGACTAGCCTAATGCATGTGTAGCAGAGGCCAGCTAGTAAGTGCTGTGCAGGTAAACCTCACTCCTCTGAGCTCTAAAGGTGCTCTAGCGACAGACACTAGAGGCCATGGTCTTTAGCCTCCTTGGTAGAGCAACCGACTCCTATCCGGGAGAGATTTAAATGAGAGATTTGTGAGGGATGTACTCATATATGTTGAGCACTGTATGTTTTAAAGCCATGAATCTATTTTATGAATCAGCGAGGACCAGAGTTTTAGCTAAAAGTAATATAATGTTCTACTAATGAACTAATAAATCATGGACTTACGCTTTTTAGAGTTACACTTGAAAAGTTCAAGACATTTGCAGAGCATTCTTTATGTGTATTTTTCCACCAACTGGCTTGTTTTATTTGATTCTTTGTCTTTATTCATGCCATTAATAAATTTAATTCAAATTCAGAGTTGACATATCCATTACTATCTGACACTATAAGCCAAAAACAAACTAGAAAGGCAAAACCAGACCACCAGTAAATAAATGTATCCCTCTGATTTTGAAATGAGAGGGGAATCTATTTTTTGAGCACAGATGTCCTCATGCAGACGTGTCCTCAGAAGCCCATTAGTTGGTGATAAAAATAGTCTTTATGTTCTTGGTGAAAATAAAGCGAGCGCACTCCAGCATCTGCCACCAGCACTAGAATGTCTCACTGGTGACCCTCATTCACATGAGCACTCCTTTAGCGTGATACATATTATTCATATTAAGTGTCTTTAAAGATAATGCGAAACTATCAAAAACAATGAGGATGCTTTATTTTTTGACATAGTTTCTAAAATTATTTACAAAAAGTAAATAAAATGTAAAACTCTGGGAATAGTATAATGAGCCGTCAGCACATTATCAGACAGTTCACCCTCCAGAAAAGACAATTAGCTTGTTATTTACTCACTTCATGTCACTTGTTCCAAATGTTTATGCTTTTTTTAATAATGAAAACAAAAGAAGATATTTTGAAGAATGTTGGACTCTGGTAGCTGCCTTTCACAATATGTTCTTTTCCGACTATGGATGTCAATGACTGCATCCAACATTTTTGAAAATACCTTCTTTTTGATTTAACAGAGAAAGAAACTCTTCTGAGATTGAGAAAATGATCATTTCATTAAAATTTATGACTGAACATTCAAATTAAGATTTTAAAATGTATTTAACTAAATAGTTCAGCCAAAACTGAAAAATTCCATCATGATTTACTCACATTTTTATTTGTTCTAAACCTGTTTGACTGTTTTCTTCAGTTGAGCACGATGCTATTTTGTAGAATGTTGGAATCTAGTAGCCATTGTCTTCCATAGTATTTTTTCCCTATTGTCAATGGCTGCATCCAACATTCTTCAAATTACCTTCTTTTTGATCCAACAGAGAAAATAAACTCATACAAGAATAGAAAGATCTGAGGTTGAGAAAAAGCTGAGTACATTTACATTTTTGGATGAACTATCACTTTAAGATTTTAAAAAGTATTAAATAGTTCAGCCAAAATTGAAAAAAAAATTACCATAATTTACTCATCTTTTATTAGTTCTAAACTTGTTTGAAGATATTTTGTTGGACTCTGGTCCATTGACTTCCATAGTATCTGTTTTTCCTACTATGGATGTCAATTACTGCATCTAACCATCGAATCTTCTTTCAAATACCTTCTTATTGGAACAACGGAGGAATAAACTCATACAAGTTTAGAGCTGTCTCAGGTTGAGAAATTGATAAGGACGTTTACATTTTTGGATGAACTATTACTGTAAGATTTTAAAATGTATTTAATAAAAAGTTCATCCTAAACCAATTCTATCCCTGTTTACTCACCCATTTCTGTTCTTAACCTATATGACATTTTTCTGTTGAACACAAAAGAAGATATTTTGAAAAATGTCTGGTAGCCATTGACTTTTATACTGTAGTGTCTTTTTTCTAATGTCAGTAGCTGCATTCAACATTCTTCAAAATGCCTTCTTTTTGGTTCAACAGAGGAATAAACTCATACTAGTTTAGAAACATCTGAGGTTGAGAAAATTATAAGAACATTTACATTTTTGGCTGAACCATCCCTTTAAGATTTTACATTTTTTTTTAAATAAATAGTTCAGCCAAAACTGTAAAATCATTTACTCACCCTTCATTTTTGTTTCAAACCTATTTTACATTTTTTTTCTTCTGTTGGACACAAAAGAAGATATTTTGAAGAATGTTGGACTCTGGTAGTCATTGACTTCCATTGTATATTTTTCCTACTGGTGTTGACATGGTGGCACGGTGGGTAGCATGATCGTCTCACAGCAAGAAGGTCGCTAGTTCAAGCCCTGGCTGGGTCAGTTGGCATTTCTGTGTGGAGTTTGCATGTTCTCTCCATGTTCGTGTGGGTTTCCTCAGGGTGCTCCAGTTTCCCCCAAAGTCCAAAGACAAGTGGTATAGGTGAATTGGGTAAGCTAAATTGGCCATAGTGTATGAGTGTGTATGAATGTTTCTCAGTACTGGGTTGCAGCATGGAAGGGCAACCGCTGTGTAAAACATATGCTAAAATAGTTGGCGATTCATTCCGCTGTGGCGACCCCAGAACTAAGCCGAAAAGAAAATGACTGAATGAATTTTTCCTACTGTCAGTGGCTGCATCTAAAATTTTTCAAAATACGTTCTTTTTGGTTTAACAGAGGAATAAACTCACACAGGTTTAAAGCCATCTGAGGTTGAGATAATGATAAGAACATTTTTGGATGAACTAGTTGTTAATAGTTGTAAGTTCTGTCATCATTTACTCACACTTCATTTTTTGTTTTGGTCTAAACCTATTTGACTTTTTTTCTGTTGAACACAAAAGACGATATTTTGAAGAATGCTGAATAACCATTGACTTCCAAAGAATTAGGTTTTCCTTTATGGAAGTCAATGGTTACCAGTTTTCAGCTTTCTTCAGAATGTCTACTTTTGTAGTCAACATAATAAAGAAACACATCAAGGTTTGGAAGCACTTGAGGTTACAAATAATAAGTGTGTCTGTCAATCTTTAATTGACTAATATAATGTCCTTGATTTTTTAAAACACATTCATCAACATGCAGAAGCTTCACTCACCACACTCTTCAGCTTTAGCCTGTTCCTCAGCCTTTCTTGTTTTCTCCTGCATCATCACCTTTTGTGCCGCAGCCAAAAAGCTCCGCTGGCGGGGAAGTTTACCGGAGTCAGATGCAGGTGTTTTGGTGGTGGACGTTAAGCCCTCAGGAGGAGCTGTAGGTGGGGGTGGGTCAGCGGAAATGGCAATGCTTGGTGCGGATGGTTCATTGGGAGAAGATAATATTGGCTGTGTTGTTTTTGATGATGTTGGGGCTTGCATAGATGGAACAGGTTTAGAGATGATATGTGATGATGCAGGGGTGGGTTGTTTCTCAGGTGTTGGTTCAGCTGGAACTTTTGAGGTTTTAACACTGCCGTGTTTTAATTTAGTATCCAGAGTTGAAGAAGGGGATGGTTTTTCTAGGCTGCCTGATTTGGAGAGAGGAGGACCGGCCGTCTCTGTGCCTGGAATGGATTTGGTGGCTGGAACGGGAGGGTTGAGACGTTTATGGGTTGCACTTTTCTCCTTGGATGTCTCAGGAGATGATGGTGGGTTGGCATTAAGATCCATGTTTCCTAAAAGGCAACAAACACCATAACAGTTTTTCATCACTTACTCTTATTTCTTTCATGTACTCTTAAACAATTGATTAACGTCTTAACTTCTTAGCATACAGCGGGGAAAATAGGTATTGAGCATGTCACCATTTTTCTCAGAAAACATATTTCTAAAGGTGCTGTTGACTTGAACTTTTTCCCCAGATGTTGGTAAAGAAGTCCATATATGCAAACACAACAAATCTAATTAGTTTACAATTTAACTTATGCGTAATAAAATTAAATCATGCATGAGGAAAGTATAGAACACATGAAGAAAGTGAAGTGTAGAAAGGCAGTAAAGCCCAGACAGCTGAAATCTCTCAGTAGTTCTTCAGCAATCTTCTGCCCTTCCTCGTTATGAATAAATATGCTTCAGTCCAACATCTGCATTATCAGGATGATGAAGATGAGATCAGGGTGGACATTTCAGCAAGACAATGATCCAAAACACAGTCAAAAACACTCTCAAATGCTTTCAGAGAAAGACAATCAAGCTGTAGAATGGACCAGCCAATCACTTTACTTGAATCCAAAATACAGATCAGATTTGACAGACGAAACCCACAGAAACATTTTTACACTGCAACCACTTTTACACTGAGCAATTCATGTGACCTTATTCTCAATATGAGAGGCGTCTTTAAGCTGCCATCACCAAAAAAGACTTTTAGATAAAGTATTAAATATGTTTCAGTACTTTCTCCTTGAGTCATTTCATTGTTATTACACAACTCATTTTTCAGATTTGTTTTATTTTGTTTTATTTCTATAGTTGTATTGTTTGGGGTTTTGGGTGTCAACAGCTTCTTAAAAAACATTATTCCCTGGACAAAAAAAGTGTTCAATACTTATTTTCTCCGCTGTATATTGATTTGTGTGTGTTTGTGTTTACAGAGCCAAAAATAATGAGTGTCATACGTTTAAGTATTATTTTTAGATCAGTGAAAAAAGACTAATATTGTCAGGTATATTTAAAAGAAGAATAATTTCATTATTTGTTAAATCATTTAACAATTAAAGACTCTATGTCATTTGTAATTTTATACTAGACACCTTGCATTTACTTTCTATATATATAAAATTTGTAAATTTGATGCAGCCAACTAAATGATATATGAAATATGTGCTTATATTTGACCCATAAAATAATATTTACAAAAAGTTATTAGTGAATATGTTATTCTCTGTATTCTCCATCTAGATAAATTATGCAAGAAGGCTTTCTTACACATTTTATTTCGGCTATATAAATAACCACTCTCTGGTTTAACAGATATATGTTAAACGTGTTATATCTAAGACAAAATTTTGTATGAGTATTGTTATAAAGTACTTTTATTTATTTTGTATGTGACAGTTACTTCCATATAGCATGTTTTAATAAACCTTAGAAAATAACTGGTCTGGAATTAAAAGCATTTATTTATCTCTCAAAATTACGGAAAGCTGAATATAACTTACTCTTTAAGATGAAGCAACAGACGGTCTTCAGGCACACAACATACTGTGTAGTACAATAAACTTAAATGAGTTTAAAAGGTTTCGATCCTGTCCACACACAACCACCATGAGAAACCAGAGCCCCACTAAGGTATTGCAGTGGCTAAAGCCCACCATAACTCTAGAAAACGGAGCGTCGATTGGATTATTCAAATGTCAATCAACTAGATCCGCTGTCTGATTGGATGCAAGTCGAGGGGTGCGCTGCATTGCTAAAAGGATTGTCATCGTACTTATTTTGGATTCGCGTGACGAACGCAGTCTTGCTTTGGCGGAGGATTAACGGGTAAGCCTGGAGTATAGTAAAATAATAATAATTACAGTCCTTCTTGATCATGGTAAAGTGAAAAATGTCTAGTGAAGGAACACCATGCTTAACAGAACTGATGGGCAGCCACTAGATGTCAATGAAGGGATGAGAAATACTTTTTTTAGCTCTAAAACAGTGCTCTATGTGTTTATAATTGTAGCACTCTATGGCATAGAGTCTATGCTATAGCAGCTTGAAGATTTTTATTGATCTCAGCGACTCGAATCGATTTTTTTCGCTGTTACTTTAGTTAATATGATAAATAACCAGATAAATAAAATGATAGTATATATATATAGATATATAATAAAGTACTTGAAATGATATGCTTTTGTATTTGTAGATGCTGTAATAAAACAACTAGCCTAATATAAACAAATAAGTTTTCAACAGCTAAAACATAGCCTTACAACACACTGAAGTTTTATTACAGTATATCCGTTCATAATACTAAAAGGAAGCCAAGGTTGTGCAGTTTGGGGAAAAAATTTAATTGTGATTTTCTTGACAGATATTTAATTATATATAATTAATATTTTTAATTTTCTAGTCAAGCTTCAGCTCGATATTCTGTATTTTAGCTTCTTACTGCTAAAAGGCAGTGAGTGTTCGTTTAAAAAAAGGAACTGAAAAGAGATTAACTTACTTAAACATTTATTCAAATTTGCTTTTAAATATTCAGATATGAAACACTCTATAGAGCAGACAGTAAACACATATGACCTTACCTTTCTGTAAACAAGTTGAACTCAAATTAGGAAGATAGTGTAGCTTATTATAAAAACAAACAAAAAAAAAATACTATAAAAAAAACAAATTACAAAAAAAACAAAAAAAAACAGAACATTTAGCAAACTAACATGGCTGAAACAACTACAATATTAAGTGTCACTGGCAAAACTTTCAGTTGACTATTTACCAAGACACACATCACTAAATTGTGCTCACTCAATTGTTCAGTAAGACTATCACACATAGACTGCAGTCAGGCATTTGCTCTGGGCAGGGGAAATTAATTAATTAAATAATACAAATATATTTGATATCGCAGCCTCTTGCGATTAGCTAATCGCAACGCTTCAAATCACGATTGCAATTTCAATCAATCGCACAGCTCTATAGGAAGCTGTAGAATTTATTAACAAAAAGACTACTAATTAATAAATAAATTAATTAATTAATTTACTAAATTATATTCACTTTTATTATAGTAAAATGACTATCATTTACTCTAAATTACTGTAGTGTTTTCTCCCGGGTGATCTATACTAGTCTAAACACCTATGTTTAACACATTAAATGTTAAGCTTTTTTTATGTTGTCTGCTGCTTTAATTACTAGCTCCCACTGATTGCAACAAAGTAATGTTTCTTTATTTTTTATAATGTATTAAAAATAATACTAACAAGGGAAACTATAGGACAACTTCCTCTAGTGTCTCCCAAGGTGTTGCCAGCAGCCGAGAGACATAGTTCCTTTAGGATGTTTGGTCTTCCCCAGGGCCTCCTCTCAGTGTAACAAGCCTCCAAAGGCATCAGAAGCATCCAAAACAGATGCCTGAGCCATCTCAACTGGCTTCTCTCTGTGTGAAGGGGCAATGGCTCTACTCCGAGCTCCTCACCCTATCTCTGAGTGTGCGCCCTACCACCCTGCAAAAGAGACTCATTTCAGCCACTGGTATTCGCGATCTTGTTCTTTCAGTCATGACTCTCAGTTCATGATCATATGGTGAGAGTTGAAATGTAGATTGACCAGTAATTTGATAGCTTTGCTTTCGGCTGGGATTGGCATGGTGGCTCAGTGGTTGGGCCAGTTGGCATTTCTGTTTGGAGTTTGCATGTTCTCCTCGTGTTCACGTGGGTTTCCTCCTGGTGCTCCGGTTTCCCCCACAGTTCAAAGATGCAGTAGGTGATTGGCTAAAACAAAATTGGCTGTAGAATATGTGTGAAAGCGAGAGCGTATGGGTGTTTCCTAGAACTGGGTTGCGGCTGGAAGGGCATCTGCTGTGTAAAACATATGTGTGGAATAGTTGGTGGTTCTTCACTCATGATAAATAAAGGACTAAAGCAAAGGAAAATGAATTGCCTGTCGATTTTGCATTCCATCCTTCCCTCGCTCGTAAACAAAACCTAAGATAATTGAACTCCTCTACCTGGGGCAGGGACTCTCCTTCAACCTAGAGATGACAAGCCATCGTTTTACAAGATAAGCACCACGGCCTCAGCCTAGGAAAATCAAATAATGTTAAATAATATATTTAAAATGTGAACTCAAAGCCTGCTTGCACTGGGCGATGCTGGTTTACTGACTACAGTCATCCTCTGCTTATGCACTCACAAAGCAACCTGGTTCACAGGTTTGGGTGAATAATGGCAAAACAAATTAGCACCTTCAACACTGTACACTGTAAAAATACAAATGTAAAACACGGCTGGGGTGCTGAAAAACAAACGTACAATAACAGCTGTTAAATTACAGAAATTTACTGTAAAATAGCGAAGGTTGAATTACCAGAAATTTAAATTTAAGAAAATTTCTGTAACTTTATGTTTGTTAAATTTCTGTAGTTTAACGCTAATTATTTTACATTTTTTTACAGCACCCCAGCTGCCAGAAATAAACCGTAAAATTATGGATTTTTTTTTAAAGTGTACAATTTGTAGCAGAAATAAACTGCTGAAGGAGAAATTAGACATCAAGTAAAATGCAACTTTCCATTACTCCCCACAAATGTATTAAAGAGTATAAAACGTAGTCAAGTAAACAACAAAAGTTGCTGTGATATTGATACACAAAGTAAAAAAGATGGTTAGAAGTAGTAACAACTTGCATTTACTCAAATATTTACACCACTGGAATCAGGAGATATAGCCTTTTTTGTCCTGCATAATTTCAGCTTTCGGGTCTTCTGATCCCCTTTTGTTCTAAAATGTCCATGAATAGAGAATTCAAAAATGTTAGGAATTAAAACAGAATCAAAGTATAAAAACCTTAAAATGCAAAAAACATTGCAACTTCTCTGAATTTGATTTCTTTTTCTTGAAATGTAAATAAAATAGCAGACTGAAATTACTGAACAGGACATCAACAATATAGCATTAGACATTAAACAATATTGTCCTTTTTTATCCTGTGGCAGAAATCAATATTATAAGTTTCTTTTAAAACGCTGACTGTTTAAGGGACCACTAGAGCTCACCAAACCCTGCATTTACCCAGTCTTAATAGTTTCACGCTAGTCAGTGCAGCTCACTGCAGTCTTTTTGCGCATCTTGCACGCACTTTTGGATGGAGCATGGCAGTCACATTACAAATCAAAAGTCAAAAAGAAAACTTTAAATTTAGTTTAAACAATAAATTAAAATAGCACTGACTAATCATGCAGAATTGGATTGGAGGATGAAATATCATTAAAGCGCCTTATTATATGACTGCCCTTGTGTCTGGAAATTAGATCGCAGCTTCATTCGCATTCTCAGTCTGCGCGCTGCGACCTCCGCTACGCATCCCCCGGCAAACCAAGGCTGACCTGATTTTCTGAACTAGCATCTCGCTTCCTCACTGTATCAGAGCATCATCATCTGCCTCCTGTGAAAGATGTCGGACTATAGGCGACAGTGGAACCGGGAGGATGAACTCCCGGTATATCTGGCAAAGCCCATCTCGGCGGGCAACCAGCGGCAGAAGTCTCACGGAATGTTTAGCTCTGTGGAGGGCGCGTATGACAGTAAGACTATTGATTTCGAGCAGTACGCCGTGGGAAGGAGCAGGACCTCGCGGAGCAGCAGCAGGGAGCGCATTGTGGACGGGGATTTTGAAGCCTATGAGATTAGCGGGAGGTCCATCATCAGTTCCCCGCGCGAAAGAGGCGACGGGCGTCCGGGTGTCGAAATCACGGATCAGACCGAAAAGGAATCCCTTAACGAGCGAAACAACGACGAGGTGGGCTTTAATTTCCATTGATAAGAATATATTGTATGGATTATTTCACTTAACAATGGTAATATGATGATCATGCTAACGATTAAATGCATTTCTTTGTTTACATAATGTTTATCATTTGAACGAATCAGTTAAAATTCTAGGCGAATAGGTTGTAAGTTACCTTATCTAATGTGACAGCAGATATATTTTAACGCAATATTTAATTTTATAGTCAAATAAATGGGAAAATATTTGTTAATGAGATTTTTTTGTATTCTCATTTATAAAAAAAATTAATGAGAAGTTACAGTTTGCTTATTTATTTATTTATTATTTCTTCATAGTTGCCTTATGTATATAACTTATGGGGAACTTCAAGTGCAGGCTCTCCATATGTTTTTTATCAGTTGTATTTTATATTTTTAGGGCTATTTATTTATTTTAACATCATTTAACGGTCTATTTTTAGCCTTAAAAGTTATAGTAGAGCGGCAAAAATTTAAATTCTGTCACCATACTTACCTTCTACTTTTCCAATATTTACTATTGAACACAAAAAAAATAAGCATATATTTTTAGGATTGTTGCTGATAGCCAATGGTCCATTTGCATTAACCAACGTTTTTTAAAATATATAATTTTGTGTTTACCAAAAAAAAGAGAAGAAGAAGCTCTATAATTGCAACCACTTGAAGTTGAGTACATTTTTAATTTTATGTGAAGTAACCCATAAAAGCGATATACAATTCAGAAACCATTGTTAATAGCCCCACTAGTAGTTAAACTGCAGCCAACAACTTATAAGAGACTAAACTTCATTGTTGAAGTTCTTTCTCATTTTTTTTCTGCTTAGTAGTTAAAAGACTGCGGACATAATTTTCCGGTGATATAGTCTATTGTCAATGGACATGCAGATGTCCATTCAAATATATGTGCCTTTCCTCTCAATAACAAAATAAACACACAAAAATAACAATTTACAGAGCATGATAACAGTGATGTGTATTTGTTTGGACAAACCCTGCAGTTCAGCTTTATCATGTCAACAGATGAAGTTAAAATCACACTGTCAATATTAAAGATATAACTGAGACTTGAATTACTTCCTTTTCTTAGCAGGACACATTGACATAGCAGTAAAAATAGCATAAAATGCATAAGCATGTGTTTCATGTGTCAGACTCAAAAGAGTTTGTGCAAGCAACATGCTTTTACTTAGCTAAAATGTCCCAATTCCGTCACATAAAAGCCAGTCTACAAAGGCCTACAAGCTGTTTGCACATTGCAATATGATTGTACAATATGCAATAATGTTTGAAAAGTCTGACACAATCTCTTTAAGTTGATTTATTCAACAGTTCAACAGCATAATTGTGCATATAAAAAAGAAAATCAAACACAGAGTTTCAAAAAACCTTTTTTATGAGGATCTACTTTCTTCCGCCATTCATTCACATCTGCAGCCGACATCAGAGCTGAAACCATTGCTACTCCCAAACGTCATTTTAGAGCTAGCATTTGCATGATTTTCTAGCATAATATCTGAAGTGATTACAAAACAGGGGATTTTGCTCAAAGTTTAAGATTATAAAGATGAAATGAAATGAAATAAAATATCATCAGTCTACAGAGATTACACAGTATTTCTCTGTTGCAATCGGGAAATCACAATAATTAACCCAGAAAAAGCCAAAGCATCGCCAACACTATTACACTACAACACTAAGGAAAAACGCTGAACACATGCAGGCATTTCTTCTTTTTTTCTTTTTACTGAACTAGTCTGCAGTAACGAAAACAGGAGACGCATTTGAAACAAACAGATGGCCAACCAAAAAGGAACTCAGGGTTATACAATAAGTGGGCAACACAAAATACACACATTTCTGAAATACAAGTCTTATCTCACACTCAATATGTATATGGTATAAATACAGCACTACAACATACAAAAAAGAGAGATCGACTTATAATGTCATTTACCTGTTTAATAATGATTTGATCAGCTGTTAGAAATTACGCTGTTCTTCTCTTCTAATCGCCTAAACCACGGCGAATGAAGTTCTGCACAAGACTTTTGGCCAGCGGAGAAATTAAAATGGTCGTGCCCAACTGAGTCTGGTTCTCTCAAGGTTTTTTTTCTTCACTCCCATCAGGTGAAGTTTTTTTTCCCTCTCCGCTGTCGCCACTGCCTCTGCAACTAAACTTAAACACTAAAACCTGAACCACACTGTTCCAGTTACTGAACCACACTGTTCCAATTACTATGACCATTTATGTGAAGCTGCTTTGACACAATCTACATTGTAAAAGCGCTATACAAATAAAGCTGAATTGAATTGAATTGAATCGATATTGATGCGTCTCTGTCGCCATCTTGTGGATGAACAACGTCAACCATCTTAGGGGCCGATCACACGCACATTTACGTTCCAAAAAACGAGGCACACCTCACTGCCTTTTTTGCTGAAAAACAGAAGCGCAGTTGTCACGGTACGCTGAAGGGACGGATACAAAAAGGTGTAGGAAAAAAAATAAAAATAATTTTAAAAAAATAATTTAAAAAAATGTTAAAAAAATAATTTAAAAAAAATAAAAATAAAAAAATAAAAAATAACTAAGTAGCAAACAAACAAACAAAACAAGGAACTATGACAGATTAACTCGAACAAGACTCAAGAACTATGACAGGAAACAAAATATTTCTCAGAACAACATACCAACAAGGACGAACAACGAACTGACAAACAATGGGTGAATGGCTGTATAAATAGTCCAAGAAATCAACAGGAAACGGAGACAGCTGTAAATACAAATCAGTGTAAGTGGGTTCTGGGTGTATGCGCGCGGTATGTATGGATTTGTAGTCTTTAGGGACTGTAGTTCGCTCTGAGTTAATAGCGAACTACAGTGCCCTCTGGTGGACACAGACATTACAGCAGTGTGCTTTTTTTTTTTTTGTCGCTATGACTGAGTCAGCTAGCTATTGTGAGAAAGTGTTGAAAAAGAGGTGACTAAAGTAAAGTGCTTTTTCCGCTCAGAGTTGACTTTTTTCAACTGGGTGCGCATAGCGCGCAAGGGCAAAAACACGATGCACGCAGGGTGCATAGGCAGCGCGCAAAATGCTTACACAGCCGTTAGTAAACCATTTAAAAAGGCATAGCCCTTCGCCGTGGCCATCGCCGTCGCTGACGTACACCTCTCAAAAAATGTAACTACACGTCGCAACGACACGTAGCGTAAGCTCTGTGATTGGTCGGCTTGGTAGCGCTGACAAGTCTAGGCGGGACCGAGAGCCGCGCGAATGGCGCGAGCGATTGTTTACAAGTGTGGAGTCCCGTGAAGGAGCTCCGGATGTAAAGTTTTGTTTTGTGTTTACCTCATAGTTAAAGTTGTTGCACGTCCGCCGGTTCCTGCCTCAAAATGAGCGAGTTTGAGCCACTTGTACATCCCGGAAGTGTTCAGGAAAAGCAAAAAAAGCAGAGAAGAAACTCGACACAGAGGAACATTTACACCTCACTGCCCACTAGCGTTTCGGAAGTGATAATGCAGACCTACAGAGACAGCGCGCAGAAGTATAAATGCACAGCCACGCGCGTTGCCTGCGCCGTGGGTTACGCCGGTCACCTGACGCAGAAGTATAAACCAGGCTTGAGTCTGCTCAATGACAGGTTAATGGCTGCCGCTTCACTGTATTTCAGAAATTTTAAATATTTTAAAATAGGCACTATTCTTATAAATAAACTGCTTAGTTGCAATCTAAACAACTACATTCTCGACTATAAAAGCCTCAAAAACACTTTACGTTGTCCAACAGCAGCAATATTTGTCAAACTGTAATGTTCTCTGCTTGTCGCTGTATGTGGGCGAAGTAATTCACAAGCGTAAAGAGGCTGGACGAGTGCTGTTATTTGCAGAATATCCAGCCTGATCTCACGAGAAAACGTAAGTATTTTACGTTTTGCCAGTTTAGTAGCTAATTCGTACAAATTTGTACGAGTTCAGCCGTACGAAATTGTACAATTTTTAAAAAAGGAGGCATGGCACCTAACCCCCACCTAAACCCAACCGTCATTGGGGGATGAGCAAATCGTACTAAATTGTACGAATTAGATCGTAAGAATTCATACAAATTAGCTATTAAATCAAAAAGTTACGAATTGTCGTGAGATTGTTTTGGAATAGCACACGGCTATCAGCCAATCAGATTGAAGAACCAGACAGAACTGTTGCCTTATATTAGGCATTACTAAATTTCTAAATTGTTTTAACTTTGCATTATTGGAAAGTGGATTGTAAAATGCCAAAAGTGTCAATACAACGTACTGTAAATAGTTATTTTTTAAAAAGTCTAAATGTGTATTTGACTACTAATTCGATAAGTTTTACAGCATATACATCAAAAACAAATTATGTTGACCTGACTCATAACACCATACAGTTTTACCGAATCTCGCCCGGTTCATGCTCCCTTTGTTCAGTGTAAGGGGGGCGCTCCAACAGACACCAATACTAAACACGTCTGCTAACAGATACACGCTTGACACACACTCACACACACACCCCTCGGCGGAGGCGCTCGCTTGTACAGCACTGAAGGAGCGCTGGTTCGTTTAGTGGGTTGGTAGCACAGAAAAGCGGGTGACTGCTGATTGTTCATCTCCTCAAGTCTCAAAGGAGAGATGTCTGGGACGGGCTACCAGGGGAAGAAGAACATCCCGCATTTGACGGTAAGGCACCGGCTGCGAGGCGACCCGTCTGCTGCTGCCACCCGGTAAATCCTGCGCATAAGGGAAACGAGAAGGGATTAAATTCTTAGCGAGCCAACAAAAGCTGAGGCCGCTTAGAAGAGCACTGAAAAATCAACCAAAGGGAAGGTGAACATTACCGCTACAGCGTGTCCCAGGCAGAAAGGCATCTCTACCGTGCACGAAGCGACGAATGCTCCGGTTCATTTTAGAATAGATGCAGGAATACATAATAAAGCAGCATTGTTGGGGCGCGCTTCAAATCACGGCGAGTGCATTTGCAGCGCATGAAACGCAACAGGGTCTGTCGCTAAGAGCAGGAATCTGGAATAAAGGGGACACTTTTTAAATGTCACTGCACACATTAAGCCGAAAACAGGAGGATTCTGTGCCCTACATGTTGTATTTTTGCCTCTAGTTATGAGTAGTGGATTAGAACGATCCTAATCCTTGACTTGAGCAATCTTTCCGATCCATGCCTGCTTGATATCTAGGAATAGTGTATATTTTGAGCTCAGATTAAAATGATTTTGCTATGAAGAGGAGGTGTAAATGCTCCAAGGGGAGAGCCATGGTATGTGGCTTCCTGACAGCAGGATGATGTGAGGTTACCATGACAACCTAACATCTTTCCACATCACCACATTTGCTCTTCTCTGTTCATAGAACCGCACCCATTCACAGAGAGTGAAGCTGAAACTGTGCAGAAGGCTCTTTTATCGGTGGTTGTTGTAAGAGCACTTCACCGAATTGCAAATAAAGCTGGTAAAATAAGGTTTAAGCTGGTTTTTGAAGCACTCACTTTTGCTGTTTCTGTTCCTCTTGTTTTTTCAGAGCGAGCGGCTGCTGATTAAAGGTGGACGAGTGGTCAATGATGATCAGTCACTGTATGCTGATGTTTATGTTGAAGATGGAATTATTAAGTAAGACACACTTTCACGCACAAGCAAATGTTAACTGTTTCCACAGCACAATGGAGATTTTCCTTAATAGTTACATATAGTCATGGGCCAGTATAAGATTGTGACAGTATGATAACCTTGCATAAAAATATTACGGTTTTACAGTATCACAGTATTTTGATTACTGCTCTAAAATAAGTTCTTTTTTAATGTCTAGGTAAAAAAAAACAACTTTTTCCCCACATTGAACACAATATATTTTATTTTAAGAAACATTTACAATATTTTGGAACAGTGGCTTTTAATGTGGAGGGTCCAGGTCTGTAGTTAGCCTGGTGAAAGGGGTGCTTCCTTTCTTTCAAAAAGTGGACCTTTTTGCAGTTATTCACTTAATTATGGGCTACTATAAGCACTACTTTTAGCTGGATTAGCTTGTCGGATGGTCATCATTACCACACTTTTTGATTAACTAAAATATGTCTTAAAGATTTAGGATAAAGAAATATGAAGACAAAAATACTTATTATTAAAATACATATTTATTACATCATATGTCATAAGGAAAAAATAGGAATCTCATTTATTAATTCATCTTCTTTACGGCCTAGTTTATTAATCCAGGGTCACCACAGCGGAATGAACCGCCAAATTAAAATAGGAATCTTAATGTTTTAAATTAAAAACTAGTCTATTGTCATTTATTAGGCAATTAACAAACTGAGCAGCACATTCAACTTTCCTCCATCAGAATTTGGCCATTTGAATATTGAACAATTAAAGCATAATAATAATAATAACAATAATAATAATAATGTGAAAAATCATGAATAACAACAGTAGCCTAATTAGTATTAAAATTTTGTCTTTTTTCTTTCAAGAATAAGGTCCAAGATTTAGAATAAACATTCCTTGTAAAATTGCTTGTCTCTGTTTAACAACGTACAGTAGGTCATTAGTGAAAGATGACTTCACTTACTTTAGATTCTGCTTGGTCTTAAAGACTTTGATGGGCTACTTTTACAATTTATGATGGCTTAGTAGCCAAAATAAGATATATGGGCTCACATATGGGACAAATTCTGGACCTTAGTGATTGAGGGGTGGGTCTTTCGAACCCCCCAACCCCATGCCCCCCATCCTTACCGACGTTTTTCAGTATCTGAACTGATATGTAATAAGCAACAAAAGGTCAGATGCAAGACGTTTTAAGTTTGGCTCCTCTTAAAGGCTTAGTTCACCCAAAAAATGTAATTGTATTCTCTATTTACTCGCCTTTCTGTTTAACACAGAAGAAAATGTTGTGAAGAAAGCTGAAAATCTGTAACCATTGACTTCCACATAGCAGAAACTATTACTATGAATGTCAATGATTACAGGTTTCCAACATTTTCAAAATATCTTCTGTGTTTCACAGAAGAAAGAAAATCATAAAGGATTGCATCAAGTAATAGGTGAGCATATCAAGAATTTAAATTTCTTGGTGAACTATAACTTTAAAATTAGCAATTTTGTCTTGCTTAAAAATTTCACGTCCATACTATAAAAAATGATATGAAAAAAGTAATTACAACAAATGTTTTTGTGCTACTTTAGCTTATTTTATTTTATTTTATTTTATTAGGGTAATCAGGTTTAATATTTTGTGTCAGTTTGTTTGAAGTAAATTGAAATGACTGGAAAAGCTAATTTGATTCAACTAAAGTTTACGTAGCTAGATTTTTTTTACAGTGCATGAAACTAATAATAATAATAATAATACATTATATGAAAATATGAAAAGTTCCCATTTTTGTTTCCACATTTTAATGCAAGGTTATTTAGAAAGAACCCTGATGTTTATGTGAAAATGGACATCAGTCTTATGTGAATACTATAAAGCACAATGCAGTTTTACTGGCATGTTAAAAATGTTTCCAGCATAACAAAAAATCATCAAAAATATCTTATAAAGAAAAAAGTATCAAAGTATTGAAACAACATTAATAATGACACTTGCACAATCTTTTTTTATATGGGATGATATGAAGTTCTCCTGTGTAATCAAATCATATTATATTCATATTTGAGTTTATGATTTGTAGTATGCAGTGTACTTTACCAAGAGCATTTCCTTTACCCCTTTGGTCCACTCTCTTCTTCATAAAACACTCCATCTCTCCTCCAGACAGGTTGGGGAGAACCTGATTGTGCCCGGGGGAGTGAAGGTGATTGAGGCTAATGGCTGTATGGTCATCCCTGGAGGGATTGATGTGAACACCTGCCTGCATAAGCCATATCTGGGCACCCCACCTGTAGATGACTTCTACCAGGGCACCAAAGCTGCTCTGGCAGGCGGCACCACCATGATCAGTGAGTCTGGATGAATTGTTAACTTAATATTTTTAAATGCTTTAAAAAAATAAAGCATATTATTTTTCAAAAGCAATTTTTTAATACTATTTTAAAGGTTTCTATTTTATTTTGTATAGGTTTCTTATTATGTCCAAAACATTACACCCATTACCAGCTCTGGAGGTTTTATAAGCACAATTTATGCATATTAGTATAAACATCACTGATAGTGTTGGTTGTAGCTTATCAATTTGAGCCTAACACATGGTAATGTTATAATAAAAATATTTTACTTTGTTAAAATAAAAGTTTCAGTTTCATGCTATACTAATGTTCTCAGAATGATATTTAAAAGATTATTAGAACTTTCCATTTGCAATTTATAAGTGTTCTTAGACAAATTTTGTAACATTTGCAGTAAAAAAGTTTTTGTGGAAGGTTCTTGGATGATTGGAAGTATCCCGTTTTTAGACAAATCATCCACATTATATTGTTGTTTATAAAAATGCTATTCCCACATGATAGTCTCGTGTTATATTAATGTTCTCAAAATGTCATTCGTTCATTCATTTTCTTGTTGGCTTAGTCCCTTTTTTTAATCCGGGGTCGCCACAGCGGAATGAACCGCCAACTTATCCAGCAAGTTTTTACGCAGCTGATGGCCTTCCAGCTGCAACCCATGTCTGGGAAACATGCACACACACATTCACACACACACACTCATACACTACGGACAATTTAGCCTACCCAATTCACCTGTACCGCATGTCTTTGGACTGTGGGGGAAACCGGAGCACCCGGAGGAAACCCACGCGAAGGCAGGGAGAACATGCAAACTCCACACAGAAACGCCTACTGAGTCGAGGTTCGAACCAGCGACCTTCTTGCTGTGAGGCGACAGCACTACCTACTGCGCCACTGCTTCGTCCCATTCTTAAAATGTAATTTAAAATTTCATTAGAACATTCCTATTTTTAAAAAATCATTTAAAACGCTGTTAGAACATACAGCTTATTGCCTGCTTTATCAGGAGTCGCCACAGTTGAATAAACCGGCAATTACTCTGACATGTTTTATACAGTGGATGCCTTTCCTGCTCTAACCCAGCACTGAGAGTACAACCTTCAGTGCTGGGAAACACCCACGCACTCTGCCATTTACACACTACAGACATTTTTAGTTTATTCAATTCTCAGATACTGCATGTTTGAGAGGAGAGCACCCAGAGAAAACCTGCGCAGAACATACAAACTCCACACAGAAAGGCCTCCAGGTCCAACCAAGACTCGAACTAGCAACCTTCTTGTAAGGTGACAGTGCTAATCACTTATCCACCATGCTACCGCTAGAACATTTCATTCACATTATAACATTAGCAGACATTCCTAGACTGACATAAGCAGACATTCAAAGACAGCTGCATGTTACACTCTAAATGAAAGGTAAACTCAAATGAAACTAAAATCAAAATTACGAGCAAAATCAAGCTTATTTTGCTCAGTTCGACAAATGTGCAATATTGTGGAATTTCCTGGATGCAAATCTTCTGATTTGGATAAATGTCTCTAATAAGAAGGTATAGAAAGGCAGGAATCACTTGTATCTCTCTGTGAGAGCAAAGCAGTGTCCCAAATAATGTCTGTTGTGGCTTTGCGACAAGGGCATGCCCTAGGAATGTCTGTCCTGCATGTCGGCTACAGCCAATCAGATTTCTCTTCCTCCAGGAGTCTGAGCTGAGTCTGTTATGGTTACAATAGCTTGTCTTCTTTAAACAAGGAGTTAACCTCTATTAAGCTGTTGACAGTGACAACATTTCCAGTCACAAACAGGGAAAATAGTCTTTATTGTAAGACTTAGAAGGACACAGTGAGTTTAACACAATAATTGATTAAAAGAGTAACATTAAAGCATTAAGATTAATAATATATTTAAATAAAAACATACATAACAAAAAAGTCTTATATTTATAGTAGTAATAGATTACAGAATGTATAATTTCCTGTTTCAGTTGATCATGTGACACCACAGCCTGGAGATGGTCTATTGGAGGCCTTTGAGAAGTGGCAGGAAGCGGCGGATAAGAAGTCCTGCTGTGATTATTCACTACATGTCGATATTCCGCACTGGCATGAAGGAGTGAAGGAGGAGCTGGAACAGCTGGTACAGGAAAAAGGTGAATATGTATTTAAAGATGTAACGATATCCCAACACAATAGTTCTGCAAAGCTGAATATACTCAGTACTTTTTATACTACATACTTGATTATACTGATGTTTAACAGCCACTTGTTGAAACCTGCCAAATGTTAATGGTTGTTAATAACCTTCAGTCAAATGTGTTGTCTTTTATTCAGCAAGGACGTATTTATATAATCAATTAACTTTCAGATATCTTACAGGAAACCGAACGTTTTGAATGGTTGTGTAGGCAAATGCAAGCTAATGTTCTTTTCTTTTGACAGGAATCAACTCTTTCCAAGTGTACATGGCTTACAAAGGGTTATACCAAATGCCTGACTCTCAGGTGAGTAAATGCTGCCGTTTGCAAAAATGCCATCTGTGGCTCTATATTTAGAGCAAAATATGCAGAAATACAATAAAGTAACTAATAGCATCTCTGTTTTTTTCTTCTAGTTGTACGAAGCGTTCTCTTTCCTTAAGGAGCTGGGGGCAGTGGTGCTGGTGCATGCAGAGAATGGAGACCTGATAGCACAGGTACCTACTCACTTAAATCCCTAATAATAGTTAGGCTTAAATTCGCTTGAAGTCTAACTCCATCATAGCCCATGAAAATACATCCAGATGAAAATCTTTCACTCTATTAGGGTTAATCTTTGTGACAAATCACGTTTTGGTGCCTGGTCAACTATAATTCCAAGTCAATATTTCAGATCTTGTGATGTGACTATTGCAGATTCTCACATTGCAATATTGATGTTAAATCTGTATATTGTACAGCTCTATAATAAATCTCTATTTTATTTTCGTTCTTCTTTTAGGGGTAAAACTAAGTTTGATGTTATTTTGTGCTGCCCTTCTCCTCTCAATAACAAAATAAATATCTGAGGGGAAAAAAAACAAGAGTGAGAAATCAGCAGTTAAGAAAGCATCTGATTACAGCGATGTGGATGTTAGCGCGAGCTCTGCTTTCCAATAACATATTGTTACATAATGTATTGTTATATACTGTTACACTTTATATATTAAATTGATTTTAATTTCTATAAGCTTTACAGTATTAAACCTTAAAACACATCTGCATTGCTTGAAATTAGAATTACTCTTAAGTTTCTATTAGGTAACTTTTCTCATGGTGTGTTGTCTGTACATTTTCAAGTGAAAGAAGGCGGGGCCTCAGAGCCACACCTACCTATTACATAATCATCATGGCCCAATGGTAGCTTGAATGCATTGACACATTTCTGTAAAAGTCACTTACTTTGGTAGACTCTTAAAGGGTCAGTGCACTCAAAAATGTCCACTTGATCCAAAAATATGTGAGTTTCTTTTGTCTATTGAAAGCAAGAGAATATTTTCATGAACAGTTGATGATCCCCATTGAGTCTACTTTGGAATTCATTTGGGAATATCAACTGTTTTGTTATCAACATTCTTCAAAATATCTGTATAATATAATATAATATAATATAATATAATATAATATAATATAATATAATATAATCCCAGAGATGGGTTGCGGCTGGAAGGGCATCCGCTGTGTCAAAACGTGCTGGATTAGTTGGCGGTTCATTCCGCTGGGGCGACTACGGATTAATAAAGGGACTAAGCCTAAAAGAAAATGAATGAATGAATAATACAATATAAATAGAGAATTTATTTATTTATTACATGTTTAATGCAGGATCTGTTTATTGACCATACTGTCGTAAATTTTTACAATTTATCCATTTATTTAACTGTGTTAACGTTTGTGTTCAAGGAACAAAGCAAAATCTTGGGAATGGGCATCATTGGTCCGGAAGGCCACCCACTGAGCCGTCCAGAGGAGGTGGGATGAATAAACAAAGTGATGAACTATTTAGCTGATTAACTTGCTGATTGTTTTAGTGATGCGAACAGTCCTGATGCGGCTGGTTTTCTGTTTCACAGCTGGAGGCGGAGGCTGTTTTCCGGGCCATCACCATTGGCAACAGAGTCAACTGTCCTGTGTACATCACCAAAGTGATGAGTAAGAGTGCCGCAGAGACTGTGGCCATTGCACGCAAGAAAGGTGACAGCATATTGTTGAAAGAAGTCCCTAATCCTCACCCAGGCTGCATTTATTTGATCACAAATACAGTCAAAACGGAATTATTGTGAAATATTATTACAGATTGATATTATTTTTCTATGTTTGATATTTGAATATATTTTAAATGTAATGTAATACTTTGATGAAAAAGCTGAACTGAATAAATCATGAATTCAGACTTTTGTATCAAATGATCAAGACACATTAACTGTTATGATCAAAGTTGAAAACTTACATAAATGTATTCTCTTTTGATCATTTAATGCATTCTTGCTAAATATAAGTATTTATTTCTTTAAAAAAGTCTTACTAACTCCAAATCTTTTAACATTAGTGTACATTTCTAGAAAGTTCTTTTAATGACTTTAGTCAGGGTAGTGCGGGATATCTTGTTTGCAGTCCATATATTTAATAATTCTTAAGGAAGCATTTTCTAGAAACAAAAATGATTGTCTTTTCTTCAGAAAAAACACACTAAAATATCCTTAAAACAAACACAATAATCTGCCAGTTGGATAAGTAAAATAAACTTGTTTTTAGATTGTTTTGCTTACCCTAGTAGCAGATTTTTAACTTGTTTTATGAAGAAACTCAGTTAAAGGTGCAGTAGGTGATTGTCTTCAGAAACATGTTTTGTTGTGCTGGTTGAAATTCTCTTCACAGTCCAACAGAAATGATTAAAGTAAATGATCTAAATGTGTTAATATGTAGTTTTATATTCTGGGTAAGGCATAAGACTCAAAAATGTTCATCCAGTTAAAAATTGTCAGGCCGACACTTCCCATAATTCTGATAGGTAGCCCAAATTGTCTGTTAGCAAATGTAGATTTGTAGAACTGCGCTCCTCTGTTCATGCAGATCCGCCATTAGCGTGTTCGCGTGGACACATGTGACAGCAGTAAAAACAAATGCTGAATCAGAACTCTTTAAATTCCTGAATCAATGTTGAGTTAGTGAATCAATAAATGAGTTAGTTTTTCTGGAGGAAGGATGACACCATCTCTCTGGTATTTCTGTTAGACAGGTAATGTTCTGTTTTAAAGCTGTTTTAGTCACGCAGAGCTGATGTAGATTTGGTTGTTACTAATGGGTATATGCATGGAAGTGTTGTTCACTGAAATCTTCCGGCGAAAGATTGATTGACTATTTTCAGTTTCATAAGATACCTTTTACTGTAAGTAAAACATAAGTAAATAGCACTATTCCACCTAGCCTTATATATAGCACAATATAGTGTTTACCATGCTACTCTAAATATTCGCTCTGAAATAGCATGTAAGTATGGCTTAGTAAGAAGTCCTGTACACCGCCGGCCAAACACTAAGCATTCAGTAGTTGCTTCAGGACAGCGCGTGAGAGAGTGAGTGATCCTTGCATTCATGAAATATTGCACATTGACAAGTTTTGCTTGCTACACAACTGAAAATGTGCTAGATATAATACAGTTTTGTTCAGAATTGTAGTATTGTAAAGGACTATAAAGTTTTCTAACTGGTGAATGACATGATCTAGTGGGCCTCTGTCATCTTTGATGAGCATGTTCGTGATTCCAGGAGGTCTGGCTGGAATGGCAGGGGAGGGAATGGGTTTCAAACATTATGCTAACCGGTTAGCATTTAGGCACCTTTAATTTTGTCACATTTCTTTTTTTTTAATAAGAAAGTAATTTGCCCTTATGTAGAAAATGCTTCTTGATTTAAGAATTTTTAGATAATATAATATATATTCGGTGTATAATACATAATAATACATATATATATATGTATAATTATAAATATATATTATATATATATAATTAATTTCTTGATATAATTAATTAATATCTGTAGTTAATGAATTGTAACAATGATGTTTTCTCTGACCTACAGTCTGCTACTGTAGAATCAGTCTATTCTGTTCACACTCATTTAAGTTAAATCAATGTGACATTTTACTAGACAATTGCAGTATCTAGCAAAACTCTATTTTAAAAGACTTACACACCCCAACCGTTAAGTTTTGGATGTATTCTCTCCACTGCACCGGCTTTAGGCTCTGTTGTTTTCGGTGAGCCAATCACAGCCAGCTTGGCAACAGACGGATCTCACTATTGGAGCAAAAACTGGGCAAAAGCGGCAGCGTATGTGACCTCTCCACCCCTCAGCCCTGACCCGACCACACCAGAGCATCTTCACTCTCTGCTGGCTTGGTAAGAACATTTGGACTTATTTCAATCATTGTGATAGATGCAGCATAACACCGGATCCTTTGGATGAAGGCCACGACTGACATCATCCAGCAATTTTCTATCTACTCTCTCGATTACTTCAATGTAACACCCAAACCAAAACCACAGGCACACCTTTTCCTGCCCCCGTTTCTAAAAATAGAACAGGCTTTCATCGCTTGTTACCATGGTTACACAGCACCCTCCTTCTCGCTCCCCACCACACACACACACACACACACACACACACACACACACACACACACACACACACACACACATAACTTGTGGACTTGCAGGCTGCTACTATGGGAGAAATGTCATTATGCTGACATCCACAGCCACACTGAGGCAGACTGACACAGCTGGATAGAGGACATTTATTTTTAGCATAGACAGATTAGCGGAGCACAAAGATTAGTGAAAATGCCTGAATATTTCTAGAAAAGAATGTTCATTTATTGTTAACGTATTGTTATTGTTAATGTATCATATGAAGACAAACTTTAGTTGTGCTGTATTACTGTGAAAAGTGCTAAACAAGTCAACTTGAATTGTATTGTGTAGATGTGCACTGTTGCAAAGAAAATTTCATTTCTGGATGATTTTGTCTTTATTTTATCATTTGCATCTTAGCTTGGTATTATTAACCAAATTGTTGCATATTATGTCTTCTATTTTAGTAAGTTAAATTGTTTAAGCTGATAAATTGAAATTATTTTAAAAGATTGGTAATTTAATGGTTAGCCTACATGACTGTAACTCGATTCAGATTGCTCAGTAAATACATCTATTGTATCTATCGTTGGTGGAAATATCTTAAAAATAAATACAGTGCTCAGCATAATTGAGTACAGCCCATTTTGAAAATGAACATTTTTCTCCATTTCTCAGTAAATATAGGCAATGTATTTTGGTGCATTTGAACAAAACAGATTTGTTAAACAGATAAATTTATTAACATAATATTTAGCCGCCAAACTTATTTAAAAATGGGAAGATAATACAATTAAATTTAGGCAAAATATTGCAAAAATAAATCACAAACTACACAATTTCAACTAAATTAAAAAAAAAAAAAATTTGCTTCTCTTAATTTTTCCTCTTTTGTAAATGTGTATTTAATATTTTCTATCACATTTGAACCATTATTATAAGTTATTATAATGTTAGATAAGCTGCTGATTTGGCTTCAGTACTGACTAATCTAATGTATATGCCCAAATATAATATTGTATAGTCTCCTATTAAAATATGAATTTAAAAGATAGATTTGTGAGGGGTGTACTCATATATGCTGAGCACTGTACAGTATGTTCTGTCTCCAAAATAATAGCAAAGCTGGTAAATCAAAGGATAGATGAGATGTTCGTTGTCATTTTTGTAATATTCATCCAATATTTAATCAATCTAGGATTGTAATAAATTGTGAGCAGTGCAGTTATGATTACATTTTATTTGATGAAAAAGTACTTAATGTAATGTATTCATAATAATATATTAATAATTATAATTTCATTAAACTTAATAATTTAATAAAGCCTAATAATAATTATACTAATAATTCGGCAAGAACATAAGGTGACAGTAGACCTTTTATGTTGTAAAAGATTCACATTTAAATGAAATTGTCCTTTTCAAACCATTCATCAGAGAGCTCGTTCACATGAATACATTTCATCTAAAAATATAGTAAAATAAAGAAATTTTAATAGTGTTTTACAATATTAATTTTACAGTATTTATGATCAAATAAATGCAGTCTAAAAAATGTCTCTAAACATATCTCTAAACAGCCTCAAATATAAAAAATAGGTCACAAACAAAAAATCATCTAGCTCTGGAAGACCCCATAAATACCCTTGTATTAATGAAGCGTGTTAGAATATTTTTTTTCTTTGTTATTTATTTCTAAATCAAGGTTTTTTTTTTTTTTTTAAGAAATGAACTCATTATACTCAGCAAAGCGTGACCAGAAAAATTTTTTCAGAAGATTTAACATATATTAGTAATGTTAAATTTATGTATTCCAACTTATGTATTCAGTTATGTATTCATTTGTTTGTGGTTTTTAATTGTATATTTTTAATTAAATGTTTTTGCATTGCAAATAGCAGTTGTGGCTAACATGTCATAAACTATGATAGGATGATACATGACATCTTATGATATGATATATGATATGATATATGCTATGATATAATATGATATATGATATAGTATGATACGATATGATATATTTCTGAATAAAACAGCATTTTGAACTAGAAAAAATATAATGGCTTGTTATTGGTGGATCTCATAGTGACAAGTTGTCCTGCTCTCTCATCACTAATCACTCACTCAGCCAACTGTGTTCAGAGATAGCAAGATAACACATGATGTTTCACAAACTATGGACGTTCACAAATAAATGGTTTATAATAAATACTGCAGGATTGCAAAAAATAAAAACTGTGACCTAAATGTTGTTTTTGCAGTGGGGATCTGCAGGTTGTGGGCAGTGGACATTGTGCATACAGCACTTCTCAAAAGGCCATAGGGAAGGACAACTTCACCCTTATACCCGAGGGAACCAACGGAGTGGAGGAGAGAATGGGGTTTGTTTGGGATAAAGCTGTGGTAAGTGCATGTCTATGAATTGTGGCTACAGGTCGCATTCATTATTCATCATGTTCACCCCGTATTTATTTCCTACAGGCCATGGGGAAGATGGATGAAAACCAGTTTGTTGCAGTTACAAGTACAAACGCTGCCAAAATCTTCAACCTGTACCCTCGTAAGGGGCGGATAGCTGTGGGATCGGATGCTGACATTGTTATTTGGGACCCCGACAAGATCAAGACCATCACAGCAAAATCACAGCAGTCGGTGAGCTATTCTGAATAATACTCTGGACTTCTGGATTTAAAGTGTTTTCCTATATTGGATGGCTTGATTCAATTTATAGAGAAATTTAAGACAATTGAAAAGTTTTAAATGCTATTTTACAAGGTATTAAATTGTGTATATAGTTTTTTTGATTATGCAAAGTATAGTTGTATGCTAAAGTTTACCTAAATTTAATCTTCTAAATATACTGTAAGTCGGTAATGTTTCAGTTTAAAACCTAAAGTAGCATTAAGGTCTTAAAATGTGTGGAAAGAGTCTTAAAAAAGTTCGTAAAATGTATTTAATTTTAATTTTCTAATTCCTGTATATGTCCTGATTTAAACAAACTGTGGTGTGAATGCTTTGTGCAGTTCATTTAGTTAAAGGAACTAATAACCTTAACTTTTCTGATTTTGATTGCAATACATGTGCACATTTTGTAAAGCGGCTTTGAAACAATAATTATTATGAAAGCGCTATACAAATGAACTTGAATTGAGCTGAATAAGTGGGTAAGTGTGTTGAGACCAGTTCTCAGTCCTTTTCTGCTATTTGACTTAAGTATGAATGCAAACCAAAGACATCTAAATGAATTAAAAACAGCACATAATGTCAGGTTATGCTATTATAGAAGCACTGGATGTTCAAGTGTTCCTTTTTTTCTATTTAGTTTTATTTCAGCCATTACAGTCTAGTAGTATATCTTGGAGAAAATGGTTATTTACTAGCTCTCTGCAACTCTCACATGGTCACCCACTGAAGCAAAGCAGGGCTGCACCCGGTCAGTACCTGGATGGGAGACCACATGGGAAAGCTAGGTTGCTGGCTGCCGAAAATATTGTTAGTGAGGCCAGCAGGGCTCACTCAACCTGCAGTCTGTGTGAGTCCTAATGCCCCAATATAGTGAAGGGTACGCTATACTGCTCAGTGTGGGCCGTCCTTCTTAAGAACCGAGAACCGAGATCCTGTCTGTGGTCATTAAAAATCCCAATACCAAAAAAAATAATTTGAAAAAAAGTAGGGGTTTAACCCCGGCATCCTGGCCTCTTTCCATTGTGGTCTACTAACCAACCCCATATCATAATTGGCTTCAGTAATCTGTCTCCTTTCCACCAATCAGCTTGTGTGTGGTGGGCGGACTGGCGCAAAGTGGCTGCCGTCGCATCATCCAAGATTCCCTCTTCAAAAATGTGTAAAGCTCTTTGAGTTTCCAGAATAGCACTTCATATAAATGTAAGGAAATATTATTATTATTATTATTATTTATTTGTGTTTAAAGTAGGAATTTCTTCTGCTTTTATGACTCCTTTGCACATTTTAAAAACTCTTCATGGGTTCTCAGTGAATACAAATATTATCACATGTACAGCACACACATTCTACAAGTGTGTTACTCCAAAGTATACATCATAAAATCCCTTTTTTGTATCTCTAGGTGAACATTAAGTGAACCAGGGATAAATGTTTTTTTTTTTATTTGGTCCAGAACAAAAGAACCAAAAACAAATATAAAGAGTAAACACAACTTTAGTACTGAGTCAATCTTAATGGGTTCAGTAAAGACAATGCTATAAAAATGTTTTGCAAATATATATATATATATATTTGCAAAACATTTTTATAGCATTTTATATATATTTACTTATTTATTGCTAATATTTTCACTTTTCAAAAATTTTTTACACTGCTTGATTTTTATTTGCAGTTCTTTATTTTTATTTTTGTTAGTAAAAAACTAAATTTTTATTTCAAAGAATAAATTTTTGCTTTGTGATTTTTAGATCGGATTGACTCTATACTTTGGTTATACATATATTTAATTTTGCATTTTATATATTTTTAATAGAATGTTGAATATATTTTTATACATAAAAGTATTATAGCAATAAATTGATTTAAAACACATATGATTTGTCTTTTTTATAGAAAAGTATTACATATCAACATTAGTAATTATTATGTCTGTGCTCTTCTTTCCAGGCTCTGGAGTATAACATTTTTGAGGGCATGGACTGTCGTGGTGGTCCTCTTCATGTGGTCAGTCAGGGCAGGGTTGTGTTTGAGGAAGGGAAGCTTCAGGTTCAACAGGGAACGGGACGTTTTATCTCCCGCAAACCCTTCCCTGACTTTGCCTACCAGAGGATTAAATACCGCAACAAGGTATATCTGGTTTAGTCATTTCAGCTCATTTAAATAGTAAGCATTTGACCAAATAAACTGACCAAGACTTATTGTCACCAAGGCTGCATTTATGAACTATAAGTATAACACATTTAAGTGAATGTAATTGTTTAAACCTTTATTGCATGATTTTTATAATTAATAGAAATATAAATCAGAATAACAGCATTTATTTTAACAGATCCTTCTGTTAAATCATGGAAATCATTATCTTTTTATCAAATCTTATTATATCTTATTTTAGTATGTCTTTGCTTATAAAAAAGTTATTTTTATAATAATCTCACTGATTATAAACCTTTCTACAATAGTGAGAAGGATAAATAGGTTCTTAGCATATATTTATGTAAATTACCAGCATAAATATAAACTAGATTTGAATTTATATATAACATATCATTGATATGATACAAAAACAAAATGCAAAAATGGTTAAAGTTGGCAAAATAGATAAAAAATATGTGTACTACCAAAGTTTTAGGTGTTAATTAAACATGTTCGTTACAGTATTGATAGCTGTATCATGATCAGTATTAGTATTTTCATATATGCACAATCAACTCTTCGTACCATTGTTTTGGCAGATAATGAACATGCAAGGTGTTTCTCGTGGCATGTATGATGGTCCAGTATATGACGTACCAGCTACTCCCAAATACATAACTCCTGCCCCCTCCGCTAAGACCTCGCCCACTACACACCAGCCTCCACCAATCAGAAACTTGCACCAGTCTAACTTCAGCCTATCAGGTAAGGAGATAAGATCAGACGGCACAAAACAACTGTTTTAATTATTCCCATGCATTTCTAATTATTTTCTAATATATTCCCACAATCTACATATTAAGTATGCTTTTATTAAACAGCATTTTATAGCAAGTGTGTGTTTTCTTTATTATTTCTATTCCCTCAGGGTCTCAAATTGATGACAACATTCCTCGGCGCTCTGGCCACCGCATTGTAGCTCCCCCTGGTGGTCGGTCCAATATTACCAGCCTTGGTTGAGCCTTCAGTAGCTCCCAATTGACTATGAGTGTGTGTATGTGTGTGTGTGTGAGGGAGAGAGAAGGTGTATTATTACAGTTCTCTGTTGACAAATCATCAGTATTCTCCTTTCACAGGGTTATGCTATAAACAGGTTTGTTGTGCAACACGTGCATGTTCAAATATCACTCCAACTTACCTGTGCAGCAGATGTCCCATCCACAGTGAATATCGTACAAACTATTCTCACTGCTAAAGCATCCCTAGAGAATTACCTATAGATAGCTAGACAATCACTAGAAAAATACTCTATAAGAGTTTAGAAAAAGTAGCATCTAATCAGTGCTAATATAATAACACATTTTGAGCTATTCAGCCCCTTATTCTGCCGATGTGACACCAAGTGTTTGTGAAGTTGTGTTAAAAATGTCCGTTATTAAACCCTGTGAAACTAGTCACTGGTTATCCCAGTAAATGGTGCTCCTCCTATTGGATGGCTTACAGAACTATAGATCATTTGTTTTAGTGATGAAGAGAAGAGAAATGTGCTGTAAAGGTCTGGGATCCGTTTTGGAAAAGATGTACTGCTAATAAGTACATTTTAAAACCGAGTTTACCCTAAAGTTGTGGTCACATTAGTGGAATTTTAGATGTAAAATTTATTTCAAATTAACACTTATCAAGAACCAAATGCAAGTCAAAGTTGGTGAGCATAAAAAAGAGTGTTACGTCCCAGTTGGCTGGTTTTATTAATTCTAACAATACCTAAGAGCGTGAGATGATTGTTAGAGTGTTGATTTCAAAATTGCAAAGGCTGCATCACACTTAAAGCAACCCAAGCTCATTCTGAAAATGTGCCTCTATATACATTTCTGGAGAGCGACAAATACGTCCCAGGAACTACATTGTTTTGCAGTTTTTGTTTTCACGAATTCACCAGAGGCCGATGTGTACGCTTTTTGGGATCTCAAATTTCTCTTACAAGAGATTCGCACCAGCTCTTCTCCCGGACTCATTCTTCGGACTCAAATCCTGTTTTCGTGATCAACTCCTCTCTGCATCTCGAATCCTTCGACGTGCGTGGCAAACTAACTAGACAAACTGGTAACAGCAGAAAAGCCGTTCACACGCAGGTAAGCGGTCAGCTGGTAAGCACGAAAAGGAACGACGCCATAGCACCCGATAGTGTTCATTTTAAAAACGAAATGCAGCCATACGTACCTCTGGCTACGTAATTTGTGATCTTCAGAATTGTATATAGGGCTACATTTTCAGAATGAGCCTATGTTGTCTTAAAGGGATAGTTCAGTCAATTAAATGAAGATGTATACACTTTTTACTCACCCTTAAGAGGTTCCATACATTTATGTGTCTTTTTTTTTGTTTGCATTGAACTCAAAAGCAGATATTTTGAAAAATGCTTAAAACCAGTAACTAAGGCTGCACAATATATCGTTTCAGCATTAATATCGCAATGTGATCATTTGCAATAGTCACATCACGTGTATGCGCAATGTTGAGTCAGCTTTAATTTATCTAGATTATAATACTACTTTGCAAGTAATTTTGCCAGAGTTCTGTAACCCTGGAACCTTATATAGACAGGTGTATGCCTTTTCAAATCATGTCCACTCACATGGAATTACCATAGGTGAACTCCAATTATCCAATTAAGCTGCTGAAACATCTCAAGAATGATTAGTGGAAGCAGAATGTACTTGAGCTCAGTTTAGAGCTTTACGGCAAAGGTTGTGAATACTGATGTACATGTACATTTAGGTTTTTTATTTTTATAAATTTTCAACAATTTCACAAGATCTTTTTTTTTCACATTATGGGAAATATTTTTTTATTGTCATTATGGGGTATTGAGTGTAGAATTTTGAGGAAATAAATGAATTTAATCCATTTTGGAATAAGGCTGTAACATAAAAAGTGTGGAAAAAGTGAAGCGCCATCAATACTTTCCAGATGCACTGTATATCGCAGAGAAACATAATATCGTGCAGCCCTAGCTCATACATTTTCTTTAGTTCACTAAACACTTGCATTGCTATTGAAATATCTGAATTTTGCACCTGACATTTCTCTGAGTATCTCACAATGTGACCACACGTTGTGCAAGCACTTTTACCTCTGATGTTTCCTGTGCACTGAAATGTCTTTAATTCTGTGTTCTCGGTCTGTTTGTGGTAAAGAGTGGTGGTGGATTGCATGATCTCACTTTTAGATGTTGGTATATGATCTTTTAACTCTTTATACTTCGAAGGACGGGCTTATTTTTCATCTTAGCAAATTTACATCATTTTACAAGAACATTTTTGTTACATCATTTTTTATTTTGATTGAACTTACTACTTTAATTAAATAAGTCTGCATGCCAGTTTAGCTCCATATAAGCTCTTCTAAGGCCGTGTAGATTTTGCTTATTGCAAAATGAGATGTAGAGAAGACGGTAGTCACATTACCTCAGTGTCACAAATGCAAAGAAAAACTATATGCAAACCACGTCTGGATGAGCATTGAGCACAAGCGTTAAAATATATGCCTGTTTTTCCATGTGTTGTGAGATTTCTACAGTATTGCTCCAAGTAAAGCCCGGTCACTGTGTACGCTAAAAAGTCTTAATGTTATACTTCCACTGAATAAGGAGATATCCTTTGTTTTGGACCAATACAAGGCCACTTCCAAGCCTGCGGTATTGCTTTCATACCCTGTTGTGATTTTGTATCGCCTAAATAGTGTTTATGGTGTTCATGATTGATGCCATTTTAGTTTCTGTAGGCTGGTGTCCACCAATGCACTGACTGTTGAAAATTCAATTCACTTTGGTGAAAAAGTCTGAAAAATAAATAAATGTTGATGCTCCTGCTGTATTTGACTTGTGCGAGATCTATCGTCTGTCTGTTCAGAGTGCAGTTTAGTTGAGTTTTAAAGATCATCTATGATGAAAATCATCTTTTTAGGGCTGTTTGGACAGAACCGTGTGCAGGTATAGTGTGTCCACAGTCATATTGGAGTAATATAAAGACAATAAGACAATATCCAAATCCCTCCCATATTGAGGCCGACCACAATGTGACGTAGGAATGCGGTTTCCCCACCCACCGATTTGATTAACAGCCATGTATTAACATGTCTCCTTAGTAATGCGCAGGGATGGGCAGTATTCGTGATACATGTATTTCAAATAGAAAATAGTATTTTGAAATTTGTATTTGATTGTGTTTATAAAAAAGGCTTGATATGAAAATGGCTTAATATTTTCTATCAAATTCTGGAACACACTTTGTAAGAAGTTGTCTCGCTGGTAGACAAGGAAAGCAAGGATGGTTATCTTTTGTGAGCCTTGTTCAAAACAAGTCACTGAATCAAATTGAGGATAGGAGAGTGGTGTCACGGCTGTTAGCGATCTCACACACAGTGCGTTCTTGGGAACATCAGAAGGTAAGTATACAGACATTCATCAGGTAAAGAGCAGATTTTAAGAGAGTAATCACTTCCCTTGATCAGTAGGTTAAGGATTTGAAGGCACATAGGAAACATCCATGGAAGAAGAGGAGCAGACGAAGGAGTGAAGGAGAGGACAACCATTCAACTTCAATACCGGCCCATGAGTGGAAGAATGAGGTGGGTCTTCATAGTGTCCTTTGATGAGGGGGAACAGGTGCAGGTGATTAGAAGGCCGGTGATGGTTCCCGAGATTGGAGAGCGGTGGTTTGTGGAGCAGGAACGAGCCGAGGGTGTAACAGAAATCTACATTGGTGCTTTCTCAGTTATTTGCCAAGACTTGAGAAAAGATTAGAAATTTGAAGAATACTGAAGAAGTTGATCAATGCTTGAAGTATGGATGGAATTTATGCATCACATATAAAGAAAATAACAGACAGATATTGGGGGTAGATTTGGGAGTAAGTTAAAATAGGACAGGAAAATAAGACAAACAACGTAAAAAAAAAAAGTCCTACAGTGGCGATACATGCAATACATGGCTGTTTCAAATGCCAGTAGTTGATCTGCAGGTGCTCTTTACATAGGACATAGTTAATCAGTACGAGATAAAACTAATAATACTCCAGTCAGCAGACAGACTGGTCAAAACCTTCCAACACAGGCTTTATGGCAAACAGAGTTATTTTTTTTTTTGATATTGTCACTTTAGAATTATAAGGTTCTATCTGACATTTTGGTCAAAATTGAGTCATTCACATATTCTTATTTAATGTCAGATGTTTTTTATAAGTTGTTGACACTCCACAGGACTGCTCCATTGACAGTGGGAAAGACCAAAAGAAACACAAAATCCGAGTCGGCTTAAGATTGTAATTACAATGTCATTACATAGCAATTATATGACATTAAATACAATGTAAAAAAAAATTTAGTTACATAGTTATTACATAGTAACAATGAAGTTTCATAGTAATTATACTGTCCGGACAGTAATTAGAGTATTATAACAATGTAATTACAATGTTATTACTTAGTAGTTATAATGTTATTAAAGTCCAAGTACAATGGTATAACAGTGTAATTACAATTGTATTAGATATTAACTATAATGTTATTACAATGTTAAAACTGTAATTATAATGTATAACTTAATCATACTGTTATAACAATGTAATTAAAATTTTATTACATAGTAATTATAATGTAATGATAGTAATTACAATGTTATTACACTGTATTTATGGTGTTATAACAACGTAATACAGTCAATACAATGTAATTACTATGTAATGAAAGCTATTACAATGTTATAACAATGTATTTACAGTTTTATTACATAGTAAACAATCTTATGACAGTGTTATTCTGTTATAACAATGTAATTACACTATTCTAGCAATGGTTTTACAATGCTATTACGTAGCAATTATATTGTAATGACAGTATTTATATTTATAAGACTGCAATTACAAAGTCATTACATAGTAAACAATGTAATATAATGGCATAGTAATTACAATGTTATAACAATGCAATTACAATGTTATCACAGTAATTTTAATATAATGATAGTAATTATATTGTAATAACATTGTAATTACATTATAATTACTACACAAAAGCAATGTATTTATAATGTTATAACAATGTATTTACAATGTCATTGCATATTAAATATAATTTTATAACAGCGTAATTATGTTAAAACAATATAATTACACTGTTATATCAATGTAATTACAATGTTATAACAATGCAATTACAATGTTTATACATAGTAAATATAATGCACGGACATGGTAATTACAATGTTATAACATTTTAATTACAAAGCACAATGTAATTGCAATGTTATAGCAATTAAATTACAATGTTAGTACATGGTAATTATAATGTAATGACAGTAATTACAGTGTTTTAACAATGTAGTTACAATTTTATTAAATAGTAATTGTAATGTCAAAACATTGTAATTTTGATGTTCTTACATTATATTTATGAACAACAATGCAATTAGGTTACAACAATGTAATTAAAATGTTAGTACATAGTACTTAATATGTCATAGCAGTGTAATTACAATGCTACAACAATGTAATTACAATGCTATTACATAGTAAATATAATGTTATAATCAAGTAAATACAATGTTATAACAATGTAATTACACTATTTAAGCTGTGTAATAGCAATAGTAGCAATATTATTACATATTAATTATAATGTTAAAACAATGTAATTAAGTCTGTGCCAATGGCGTAGTGGAAAGTGCACCAATACATACACTCTGGTGTTCACGGCGACCTGAGTTCGATTCCCGCCTCAAAGTCCTATGCCAATCCTTCCCCTCTCTCTGCTCCTCACATTTTCCTGTCAATTCTCTCTACTGTCCTGTCAAATAAAGGTGAAAAAAGTGAAAATGGTGAAAAAATATTGTGTATAACAATTATAATTGTATAATAATGTAGAAAAATTGTTATAACATGTAAATACTATCACTAAATTATATTTACTATGTAATAACATTGTAATTATGTTGCTTGAACATTTCAGTTACATTGTTGTAGCATAGTAGTTGTAATGTAATGACATAGTAGTTACAATGTAATTACAATTTATTTCATATTATTTAAAATGTAATAACAATTTATTTACAATGTTATAACAATGCAATTACAATATTATTACATAGTAACTATAATGTAATGGCATGTCAATTTCATTGTTTTAACATTGTAATTACTGTCTACTTAAAAATTACTTAGTAATAGCATTGTAATTGCATTGCTATAACAGTGTAATTACATTATTATGACGTTGTAATGAGACTGTTATAGCATTGTATTTACCATGTAGTAGCATTTTATTACATTGTTATAACATTATAATTACATTATTATTGCGTAGCAATTTTACATTGTTATAACATTGTAAATACACTGTTATGACATTATATTTACTATGTAATTGCATTGTTATTACATAGTGATTTTAATGTAATGACAGCATTTACAAAGTCAAAACTTTGCAATTACAATGCTATTACATAGTAAATGTGTTGGCAGTACCTACAATGTTATAACAATGAAGTTGCAATGTTATTACATAGCAATTATAATATAATGACCTATTACTTCCAATAATATAACAATGATTTCCAATGTTATCACATAGTAATTATAATGTATTGCCATAGTAATAACATTGTAATCACATCGTTATAACATTGCAAATACTATATCGTTATATGTTATTACAAAGTAGTTATAATGTTATTACATAGTAATTATAATGTAATGACATAGTAATTACAGTGTGAATAAAATAAAACGACATATTAATAACAATGTTATTACAATGTAATTAAAATGTTAATACTTAGTAATTATAATGTTGCAACCGTGTAATTACTATGGTGGCCCCTGATTAATAAAGGGACTAAGCCAAAAAGAAGATGAATAAATGAATCATCTTCAAGACAATACTTTCTGTATGAAATCTGAACAAAATCTATACTAAAATCAAAGAGAAACACAAGTTATTTTTTATGTTTAGTAAAAGTTAATGAGTTGACAGAGAAGCTGACTTAAACTTGACCAGAGAACCGCTGTTGCTGTCAAACAGTCCGAAGACATGTGGTTAGGTGAATTTGGTAAGCTAAATTGTCCGTAGTGTACGTGTGTGTGAATAAGTGTGTATGGATGTTTTCCAGTGATGGGTTGCAGGTGGAAGGGCATCCGCTGTGCAAAACATATGCTTGATAAGTTGGCGGTTCATTCCGCTGTGGCGACCCCAGATTAAAAAAACGGATTAAGCCGAAAGAAAAAAAAACATGGAAGAAAGAATATTTATAATTCAGATGGTCGACATGTTAGAGGTCAACAGAGGTTAACTGATCTATAATTTTGCATCTCTGCAAAAGTGATCGATTAACTTCTGTTGAACTAAATCTGACACATTTCAGACATCTTCACTTACATTAAAACGTATAATTTAATTGAGCTAAGTAGTTAAATTTGCATGCATAGTGTTGCTATTATTACATATCTTCTATTAAATTGTTTATATCCGTGTCATGCCAGTATATAAGGCATAGAAGATTTTTTCTTTTAGACAAATCTATTTACTGGCACTCTACATTAACATTGGCTATTCAACAAAATGTACAACAAATGAGTCACTTTGTTAAGCTGCAGAATTGAAGTTAACACTTTACAGAATGGTCACATTAATGTATGTGTTAATGCATTAACGTTAACAACTAGTGAATAATGCATTTATTACAGTATTTGTTCATGTTAGTTAACGAGTTGTTCATTGTTAATTCATGTGAACTCACAGCGCATTAACTAATGTTAACAAGCATAAGTTTAGATGTTATTATTAATGCATTGGTAACGGCTGAACTGTGATTAATAGATGCTATACAAATGTTGTTCATAATTAGTTTATGTTATTAAATACAAACTAAAAACAAATAAATAAACTAATGAAACCTTATTGTAAAGTGTGACCAAATTCAACAGTTCATAAATTTGTATTAGAAAATGTCAAATCAAAGATTAAAGTAGCATAAAATAATTCATATCACAAGCCATTTACACAAATTCTGTTTAACTTTCCTTGAACATGCCATGTTTCTATTATTTACAAAGTGTTTCGAATTAAATAAATGTGCCACAAGAAGAGCTATGGCATTAATGCATTTTTAAGTGTGGAATGGGTTTTGAGGCCACTATGTGTCTATTGAGTAAAATGGGCAAAAGAGGGCGTACCGCAGCACAGCAGTATGAATGTGACCTGCTCTATAGAGAGAGGCTGACACGAGACACTCCTGACTGCCGTTCAGTCATGTGGACATTTCCGCGAGGGTCTTAACAAACAATGCGGTTCATTACAAGACACGCTCAATTAGAAGAGGTTGTTTTGAGTGAAAGTATGCTGTGTCCACCACGCGCAGCATATTTCAGTGACGCTTAAAGAGATGTACAACTTTACCACATCCATGACACCTTCATGGAGCGTTCACGGAGAGCCAGCGGGACGCGTTTTCCTAGGTTGCGCGCTTTCTCTCCTGGTATTATGGACGTTATTGGGGAATTTCATGGTTTGTGCCGCTGTCTTGCGCTTCCGTCACCTGAGAGGAAAAGTTACCAACGTCTTTATCGTGTCTCTGGCGATGTCAGACCTGCTGGTGGCTGTTCTCGTGATGCCGTGGAAAGCGGCTACGGAAGTGACCGGACACTGGGCGTTTGGCTCCTTCTGCGAGTGCTGGGTGGCGTTTGACATCATGTGCTCCACAGCCTCCATCCTCAACCTGTGCGTAATCAGCTTGGATCGATACTGGGCCATTTCGGACCCGTTTCAGTACGAGAGAAAGATGAACCGTAGAGTCGCCCTCGTTATGGTCAGCGTAACGTGGATCGTATCGGTGGCCATATCATTCGTGCCCGTGCAGCTGAACTGGCACAGGGCAGACCTGGACACGGTTAACACAAGCAACTGGACCACCAAGGAAATGTGTGATTCGAGTCTGAGCAGATCTTACGCCATTTCATCATCTTTAATAAGTTTTTACATCCCCGTAGCAGTGATGCTAGTCACATACACGCGCATCTACCGCATCGCTCAGATTCAAATCAAGAGCATTTCTTCGCTGGAGCGCGCAGCGGAGCGCGCACAGAGCTGCAGCGCAGGTGCGCGCACCTGTCCTCTCCAACACCGCGCCATAAGAGAAACCAAACTCTTCAAAACGCTGTCCGTGATTATGGGGGTGTTTGTGTGCTGCTGGTTCCCGTTTTTCGTTCTGAACTGCGCGGTTCCCTTCTGCCACAAGCCGGATTGTGTCAGCGAAGCGACTTTTAACGTGTTCGTGTGGTTCGGCTGGTGCAACTCCTCGCTCAACCCGATCATCTATGCTTTCAACTCGGACTTCAGAGATGCTTTTGCTCGACTTCTGTGCTGCCGTGGCCTGTGCTCCAAGACACCTGTTGGTGTTCAGTGCAAGGATCCAGTGGCCATTAATAATCAGGGCAGCTCTGTTACCACTATGGAGGTCGGCTGTGCCAGTTTCAGCAGGATGGACAACGAAATGCAATGTCCATTGGTGGAGCTACATATGTTTGCAGACGAGAGCGAGGTTCAGCATAGTAACTCAGAGGATTTATGTCAAAATAAATAATTAGGATTTGGTGTAGGGGAGACCATGGTTTTCGTTCTGAGGATTATTTTTATAAGTCTGCGTGCACTTTACAGTTTTACAGGCTACGGGAATCTACGATTAATTATTTGACACAACGCACCTGTTGTGTACGTCCACATTTTTACACCGGGCTTGTATTTTTAAAAGCCTGTGTGTGATTTAAATATTTTTGTATTTATATCTGTAAAAAAAACACTTAAACGTAACTATTCCACAAAATCTTTAACTTTAAAATAATAACTAATTATTTTCAATAGCCTATAACATAACCACAGTAAGTACATTATATAAAGACATGTGGGACTGTTCCATCAATACATGTTTACTGTTTATTGTCACACTGGCTGTATATTGTCGGTTTGTCCTGTCTTACAAAAAAAGTTGTAATAAATTTAAATATATTTTAAAGTAAACCTATATAAAATAAACTAAAATAATTGCACTTTCTAGGAAACTATTTTACATTTACCTTTATTCATATAGCAGAGAGATGTTAATCATAACTTTATCTAGCTCACAAATTAGTGACATAAATATAATTTATCTCAAGGTGGCAATAAACAGTAAAAACACTGAGCAATCAAGCATGTAATATGAGAAATAATTAAACCAGTATCCAGTTACATAAAATATATTGATTGTATTTTATTTATTATAAAACACACATGAGAAAACTTGCCCAAAGCTTCTTTTGAATGTAATTCAGTAAAACTGAATCAAACACTAAGGATATTTGTGCATAGACTATTTTGAGGGATATAAGCAAAAACAATTGTCCCAGCGTATTTCCTGTTTTACATTTTTAATTTCTAAAGCTTCTAAAAATTAAAAAAAGAGCCACATACTGATAAATATTGATATGATAGTGGTTTTAACATTAAGATATGATTGAATTGCCTCTTGTTACAGTCATGAAATAGTTTGACAACAAGCAGAAAAGGTTTATGGGCTAATGACATGATCACATTGAAATGATCTGTAATGGAAGAATTAATCTAATAAACTAATGTCAAAATGTTCATTTTGTGAGTGAACTACGTTGAAGCTTTAGTGTTATATAAGTGCAGGGTGCGAATTATACTTTGGTGATCAGCGGGGGACAATGTTTTTGTTAAGTTTTTGAATTAATTTTATCTGTTTATTTCAATGACATTAAATTTATTACTAAGACGTATTGAAGTTTTAAGTGTTTTGAGGGATATTTACTGTATTCTGACATACAGTCACCTCTGATTATTTCAAACTATGCATCTAATTTTACTTTCCTTATAGGCTATATTTAAATACAAATGCCTATTGTACAAGAAAAGTGTCTCGTGACCACTTACAATATCCATCGCTGCTCTAGATCTGCTGGAATGATTCTTCCAAAGACTGATTAGCGCGATTATGCGTGAACCCCTAGATGAACCTTTATAGGGGTGGTCAAATGTATGTTTGTATTATCCATTATTTTAATTATTAATATTATTACTTAAGATACAGATCAGGGAAAACTATTTCTCACTATTAAAGGGCTGACCCCCACCCCCCTCCAAACAGCTTATTTTGACATCCTTCAGGGGAGATCAAGCTTTAATTTGGGGGGTCAATCCCCCCTAAACCCCCCTGTAATTTGTACCCTAAGTGTATTACCCCAAACCTAAATTTGTGAAAAATACTTCTGTCTTGAAAAGTAGTAGTTTAAATGAAACAAAAATCTTAAAATCAATTTTTTATTTCAACATAATATTATTGTTTTCACAATTTTTACATTACAGCTGCAGATTGAAGGATAAAATGCACTTAAGTATTCCACATCTTTGTAAATAACTGTCTAAAACCAGTTGGATTTCATTAAAATCCGAAAGTTCATTAGATATTGACTCTTGTGATGACTTCCCATGTCTCCCCAAAGCCTACTTTTTGATTACTGATTTGCATACTTTATTTTTTAATTTTTTTAAGATGACCACAAAAGGTCAGGTTATCACATCTGTGGCCACAGAAAGAGGTATGGAGATTTAAAAGACCGGATGCCAAACAGCTCGACGAGTCCAAGTATCATTTTCCATTAGTCACGCTACTTCCTCTCATGAATAATTAGTTGGCTGCAATCTCCACAGGAATGTTACATTTCAGCAGGAATCAGCATGCGAAGGCATTTCAGACTGTATATTCTGTTTGGCATGCTATACTAAACACTTAAGCGCAATAAAGTCGATGTGGACACTCGCAATGATCTATTGATGAACATGGCACTTAAAGCATCCCAATAAGTTTACTCTTAATTAGGTAGATTATCTTGACTTTTTATTAGGATGGACATTCTTTCCTTCAGTGAAACATACTTAAGTCTCAATTAAATGATTAACCGCACGCACCAAAAGTCATTTAATACGGGGTTTCCTGTAAAGGCTGAACTGAGCAACATTTTCAGAGTCTTTTAAGGACACGTGGGACTAGACTGCATTCACAACAGGCATGTTACGTATGTAATTAATTCACAATGAGTGGTTTCAGTTGGCTCACAGCAATGAATAAAACATGGCAAGGCAATCCCTAATCCCTCATTAACCCTAAACAAACAGAGAACTAGATTTTTTAAAAGATGAATGTTGATTTTAAAAGGGTGGGTGTTATATATTTATGTGCTGATGTATCTATTTGGGTAAAATCACAGCTCAGATTTGTCTCTCAGTGAAGGGGTGTTTAAAATTGATGGGCCGCATAACTAAAAATACATCTTATGACCGTCCTTGATGTCTTCATTCTTGAAGCTCATCCAGCCCCCGAGGCTTGCTTTAATTTCGGAATCCACAGGGATGTTTGTCTATTGAAATTATTAAAAAGAGCCATGATGGAGCCGCTAAGAACAAGTTCAGGCCTCTTTATATCTTCACTCAGATCTTAGTTTTAATTTCTTTTAGCGGCTGGGGAGTCTAATCTGAAAATGTGCCAGCAGGTATAACCAATTCTTCTTAAAAAACTGTATATTGGGACACTTAAGTGAGACTTAAACATGTAAGAGTATCAATAAAAGTTTAATACGGCTTCAGTCTTTTAATTCAATCATTATTACATAGAATGTGTGCTGCTTAATCATATTAAAAAGACTACAGTTTTATTATAATTTAGAGGGGACACAAACTGAAATGTCATTAAATTTAACAATATTTTATATTTGTTGAAGTTCATTTAGAGATAAAATGAATAATATTTCATCAAATATGAATTCTATATTAATATAATTATATTAATGCACATTTTAATCATTTTTGTTTAGATAATTGAACGAACCTAAGCTAGTAGCATGAGGTGACAATGAACAAGGATTAATAAATACTTTATAAAGTGTATATTAGAGGTGCTGTATGTATGTTTTGACTATTCTAAAGCTTAAAAATGCCATAATGTGTTTGCAGATATTTAAGAAACATGCCAAGTGTTGGCACTAATAGCCTAGAGATTAAGTGCGCCAATATATAGCACTATGGTGCTGCTCGTGGTGACCCGAGTTCGGCTGGAGGTATTATGCCAACCCTTCCCTCTCTCTGCTCTCTCTGTCTGTCCTCCACTATCCTACCTCAAAAAAGGTGAAAAAATATATAAATAATAATAAAAAACATGGCAAGTGAACATTTTTGTTTATCTAACAAACAATCACTGTAAAAAATAAATCCGTAAAATTTACGGTAAAAAAACGGCAGCTGTGGTTGCCAGTACTTTACCGTTAAAAACACGGTACAAACCGTAAAGGTAATTTCTCATTTTTACGGTAAACTACTGTATTTTATTAATTTATAGAGGTAATATGTCTGTATTTTGAAAGACCAACATCTACACATCTCTTGTTACACAGTTAGACACGTTAGCACACCCACATGCAGGTGGTGATGAGAAAGTTACATAATGAGCCAATGCTCATCACAATCAACTTTTCCCACAAGCAGAAATGTATGGTAACACGCATAAAATTAAAGTCATGAAATAAACATTGTTTATCATTATTAGATGTAACATAAATCTCTAATGTACATAACTGATGTGGAAACAACTAAAAATATCTATATTAATGTCAACAAAATGCATAAAAAGTTATGTGCCATGCAAGGAATTCTTGAAAAGTCAATGTATGGTTATTCGCTGTATATATTAAAGAAACATACCGTTAACCAGGTTTCGGATTTGTACTGTAGCATTTTTAAAGTTTTTTTACCGTTGAAATCACGGCCATTTTTTATAGTGATGTTGAAGTCAGATATTCTGCTTTGAAAATGGAATTTAAATACAGAAATTCAGAAGCACAGAATAGTGCACTTACTGCACTCCAACGAAATGGTAAGGTTTATAATCTAATTAATACATATTAAACCACTTTAACATTAATTATTGTTCATGCTGAATGACTGAAATGGGTTGGTTTGCACTGAGTTACAGTGCTAAAGTTAAATTTCAAACGGTTTATTTTATTTTCAAGATCTGAGCTGAACTATCTGCTGCTGCTTTCAGTATGGTAATAAATGTCATGTAAAACGGTATTCAAACTCACATTATTAGCATTTAACACTGAATATAGCACATGTGGTTTACCTGAGGTGATCTTTGTCAGTTTATCCTGTTGATATGCTGCAAGAAACCTGTTTCTTAAACATAAATTTCAGGTGTTGGTTAAAACAAAAACTCATTTAATATTAAAATATTCCTTCTTTTGCGTGTGATTGCTTTTAGTTAGAACACGATTTAATTCAGTCTTTAGGCTTGATAGGCACACTCCTGTTGATGTTTTCAATCTTGCAACCTGCGCTTGCGGGTTTCGAACCAGGAGTGCAATACCTAGTTCAACCACTGGGTGTCAAACTAACATACTGCACCTGAGGCTTGTCTCAAGAGTTTCCCCTAATGAGACCCTGAAAGTAAAAATTAACAAGAAAATCTTTGTAAAGGCATAAGCACAATAGGAGTGTTTATTTGCTGAAATTCAAGGCAACCCGGAGTGCTGAATAATAATTGGCTAAACTGGCATTGGGCAGGTTAAAAAATAAATAAATAAGACAGCATTCCGGAACAGAAAACACATTTTCAAAGCAGAATATCTGACTATCAATTGTTTTTTAGATAAACAAGAATGTTCACTTGGCGTGTTTCTTAAATATCTGCAAACATATTATGATACTTTTATGCGTTAGAAGAGTCAAAACCTTACATACAGCACCTTTAATGTTCATGTGTTAAACAATCAACTTGTTAGTCAAACCAACTTGTGTTAGTTTACTTGCAAAGAAAGTAAGCACAACCACAGTACTGAAGCAAAATATTCTCCACAAAGAATTTCTATATATTTTAGATATGCAATGGCAAATACACTAGTGAAAATAAAGCCAAAAAGTGTTTACACGCTACATGGTTATCAAAGTGAGGATCATGTACATAGTTAATGTGATGAGAAACAATGTGGTCAACTTAAGGACTTCATATTTCATTATAAATCATTCTGAGACAGGCTAGTTAAAGTAACCACAAGTAAAAGACAGGAATATATTTAGTTTGGAGAAATGCTACACATCATTTGTTTGCAGAGACCCTTGATTTTATGAGTAAGCATGACTTATGTGTCCAAAAATAGTTTGTGGGACCATTGCATATATGCCTAATGAAGGAGAAAGAGTATCTTTGAGTGACTGTGTGCTTGGTCATCAAACACTCACAGTAATGCTAGCCTGTTCTCTGAGTTTCCTGTAACTGCTCAGTTCACATGCACAGGAGATCAGTCACTGAGGGAGGAAACACAAACGGCACACAAATCAGTCAAGTGGGCATTATTTACATCAGTGTATTACACATACAATTAAACCTCATTCACGTCAGACTGAAGTAACTTGTCAGTTAGACAGGAGGCAAAAGAATAAACATTAGTTTTGTAGTTTGACTTTTTAAGGAAGAGTCGAGGATTATTAAAAATAGTTTCATGAAAAGGTTTTTGTGTTTTTGCACTAATTATAAAGTTGCAATATTTCTAGTTTGCTACTTCGTTTTATGC